GTTTTTGTCTTTGTGTGTCTTTTGAATGGGAGTTTCCGGAAGTTGATTGTTTATTTGTTGTTTGAGGGTTAATAAGTTTCTTACTGAAGTGTCCAAAACAGAAACAGTTGTTTTTCTTGGATTTGAATTCTTAAATGCTCAGGATTTTGTTTGTAAAAAGGCTGGAACTTGACATTCTAATGGAGGATGTAAGATAAACATCTGTCCTCTGCTAAACTTCTGAATAAACCAGAGAAAAGAAAGAAGCAATGAATTTGAACTGCAAATTTACCTTACTTTGGCCCAGTAGTTCCCTTTGTTATGGATTGCAAATTTCTAAATGTCTGTTTTCTTCTATTTTCCCAGTTTGTTGGTCTGTAATCCCTCTTTGGAATGAATTTTCTTCGCAGTTAGGTGCCGATGGATAAAATGAGAATCCGTGGATGTTTAAAGATTCCAGAATTAGCATTGGCTTTCTATTCTATAACCTGTATAGTAAAACCACTAATAGTATGTCTGAGAAAGAAACTTGTAAAGACGTATGTACTAACTTTGAGTTTTAACTGTGTAACTGACTTCGATATGGAGCCGGAAAATATGTAGCAGGTGTCAGATAGAATTTGACCATGTTAGAATTGATGACATTTGAGGACTGCAGACTAATGGTTTTCATTAGTAGATCACAAGCAGTAAGACTTTTCCTGGATGGGTTATGTGGCATTCTTTTGTAAATTGTTAAATTATTAAAAAACCTTTTAACAATTTTATGTTATCTTCTTATTGAGTGTGTTGAAGTTAATCTTATTTTTTAGTGATGTAGTTAGGACAAGTCATCTGATTGGTCAAGATCTTTTTATCTATGCCAGATAAATTTCTATTGTCCTGTATGGCTTGTAATAGGCCTTGTTGTGCTTGTTAGTTCAATTCATATACTCTCCTATCATTGTTGGTTTACCCTACTTCTATATTTTGTCTAACAGATAGATGAAAATGTACAAAGAGAAATTATAAACCACAGGTCATTGAGGCACCCAAACATTGTCCGATTCAAAGAGGTCTGTTAATTTCTAACATCTAATCACACAAATTAAATCCTCCATGGGATTCAGTAATGTTACTATTGATTGCAGGTAATTTTAACCCCTACTCATCTGGCTATTGTGATGGAGTATGCATCTGGAGGAGAGCTCTTCGAGCGGATATGCAATGCTGGGCGGTTCAGCGAGGATGAGGTTCTTATCCAATACATTAATTTTGTTTCTAATAGTTCCGACTTATTTCTAATGTACTTGTGTTGCAGGCACGCTTCTTTTTCCAACAACTTATATCAGGAGTCAGTTACTGTCATGCAATGGTGTGCTGACTAATCAGTCTATCTCTATTGTGATTCTTTTGATATCTACTAGATTTCTGACTGGATATATATTTTTGCATTTCATCATGAAGCAAGTGTGCCATCGGGACTTGAAGTTGGAGAACACATTGTTAGATGGAAGTCCAGCTCCTCGTTTAAAAATATGTGACTTTGGCTACTCAAAGGTATGTGACTCTCTCTCTCTCTCTCTCTCTGTCTCTCTCTGTGCACGTGCCCTTTCCTTCATTTTACAGAAGTTGGGTGCTAAATTATGACAGATCTCTGGTGATTAAACTTAAAACAAAAATGTATCCAGACAATCACTAGAAAAGTATGGTTCCTTGAATGCTTATGTACACTTGTTTTCCTGTTAACTGGTAGATACTTCATATGTCTGCCCCTTGTACTTTTGTGATATTGGTGAAATGTAAGCTAATTTTTCATTGCTAACCTGTGTGTCCTATTACCTTCTTTGTTCTTTGTTTTTTTTTGTTTTGTTTTGGTTTTTTTTTTGGTTCTTTTTTCCATATCCATCTAATTAGGCTCTGTCTATTTTCTCAGTCCTCGGTGCTGCATTCACAACCAAAATCAACCGTTGGCACCCCTGCATATATTGCTCCTGAAGTGTTACTTAAGAAAGAATATGATGGCAAGGTAATAATGTTTTTCATCTATACGAATCAATCTATTTAAAGTTGGAGAGGATAATTCTTTTAACTAACATGTTAAGTAATCTCGAGTAATGGTCTCTTATTATGTTTGTTGCACTTTTAGTTATTTCTCTGTTCAATTCTTTATAAGTTCATTTGTCACTGTATTTGCATATGCTTAAGACTTTCTGGGAAAAAGAAAAAAAAACTTATCTTACAACTTATAACTTGCAACATTCCCATTATCTTATAGTTATGAGTATGTAAAGCTGTCCTATTTCTATCTCAATTGTCACTATAAATAATTTATGAGTAATCCACCCTTAAATCAGTTCCAAATCTAGTAGGGCCAAAGTGCAGCTCGCAAGGTCAAAACAATTCCACCATGATATATGGAGTTCAGTTCTGAGTTCATCTGGTAGAAATTTAAAACACTATGACCATGGGTAACTAGCTGCAACTGAAAGGATGAGCCAGAAAAGATTGTTGGATATTACCACAATACATAAATGTTGGGGGGCTTTACTTTTTTCTTCTTGCCTTATCCTTGTTTTTGGTACCTTACAAACTGTACTCTTGAGGGCCTTTGTGTCGACTGATGATATAACCTGAGGCAAACACAACTTCAGGAAAGCAAAAGTACACTAGTTAGATGCACATTCTAAAATATGGCAATTTGATTACTCACCACCCCTTAGAAAGAAATGGTTCTTCCGAATCAATGTTCGATCTCTATTCCCTGCATACATGATTCAATGCTTGTGTACTTCTGCATGATGGATAAAGGTTATTCTTTCCTCTGCTTTCACATAAATTGAATACGTCATGTTAATAGTGCTCCACTTTGGTATGCCTTTCAGATTGCAGATGTCTGGTCTTGTGGGGTGACCTTATATGTCATGTTGGTGGGTGCATACCCATTTGAGGATCCTGGGGAGCCTAAAAACTTCCGCAAGACAATACATGTAATTTTTTGCACAATATTCAATACTGAAATAGGGAAGCTATGACACTTAACTAAAATGAAAGATTATTTCTCTTTTGCAGCGTATAACAAATGTCCAGTACTCGATTCCTGACTATGTTCACATATCTCCAGAGTGCCGCCATCTAATCTCAAGGATTTTTGTTGCGGAACCAGAGAAGGTGGGTGATATTCTTTGTATTATACATGTGCACCTATACCAGTATCTTATTCCACCTTGATCCATGTCCTATTTGCTTATTGCTGGATTCTAGTACATGAATTTATTAGGATCTTGCATTTACTTTTTCTTCTCTCTCTTCCTATATATGTGGCATCCCTGAACCTGATTTCACAAAATGCAAAGAGAATAGGCTGCATTTTGTGAAAGAAACCAGGAATGCAGCTTAGTCTCTTTCCTGGTTTGCAGCCTACTCTCTTTTCTGCATATAGAAATATGCTTTGCAAGTTGTTTCTTTCATTGGCTTGCTCCCCATATCTGATTAGGGTTCAAAGGACAGAAAGAGCAATGTTCTAATTTGAGTTCCATTGAATATTTTTCTGTGTGACAGAGGATAACCATTCCTGAGATTAGGAACCATGAGTGGTTTCTGAAGAACCTTCCAGCAGATCTCATGGTTGAAAGCACCACAAACAGCCAGTTTGAAGAGCCTGATCAACCCATGCAAAGCATTGATGAGATTATGCAGATAATTGCTGAGGCTACAATACCTGCGGCTGGGACGAACAGCCTCAACCAGTATCTTGCTGGCAGCCTGGACATTGATAACATGGAGGAGGATCTGGAGTCTGATCCTGACATCGACATTGACAGCAGCGGAGAGATAGTCTATGCAATATAGTTGGCAGAATGCTTGGTCATGGTGCGGATGACGTGAGCAATGGTTTATAGCCTTTCCTGGCAATGGAGGGTTCAGTGCCTGAAAGTTCCTGGCAATGGAGTCCATCCTCCGCCTGTGTTTCTTTTTTTTTCCTTTTTCTAGTGGCAGCTTCTGTTAATTAGCATTGCTTTGTTTTTACCACTAATTACTAGTGGCATTTATCTACTGTTATGTACTTGTCGCAAGTAATGTAACAGGTGGTTTGCTGAAAATTGTATCAGTGCTCATTCTCCAGAAAGTTTCCCCTCTCTCTCTCTCTCTCTCTCTCTCTCTCTCTCAACCAAACATGTTTTTGAAAGAATTGTAGGAAATGTAAGCCGGGGTTTTGTCATTTCATGGTCAAAAGAAAGAAGAAAAAGACCTTATTTAGTTGACGCCTGTAGGATGTGGATCAACCCGACGTTAATTTGAATTTAGACATTGTTGTGTTTCTAATTCGACAGGATTGTACTTAAATTTCCAAATCGAAAAAAAAGGTTTGTGGTTAAGCAGTGATTACCCTTTCCAAGCCACCCGATTTGTATCCATAATTACAAATAACGCAAAATCACATAATATGTAACTTTGGGTAATAGAGATTTAACAAGGAACCCACGTTTTTCAGTTTCAAACTTTCAGAAGTTTTTGGACCTTCTGAAAACTAATTACAAAATTTTAAATCTTATTTAAGGGTAAGCAAAATAACAAGGATGTGCATTTGTGCGTAGAAGCAGGACCAGTCTTTCCAAAGCAAAGCACTTAAAACAGTACCGTATTGTCAAAAATGGGCATCCATCTTGTGCATCAACCATTGATGTATTTGTAGCAAATTTTTTACTGCAAGCATATTGTCAAACAACAAAATTACCTTCATAGCTCATCTGGCGCCATTCAGTTAAAATATTTCATGGACCTCGGGACTACAAATGTTATGAAGTTAAACAAACATAAAAACAAGATAACTCATGGACCAGCTGTTGACTGCTAATCATCACATATGAACATAATAAACGGGTGTCTAACAAGATATTCCTACATATTACGGCTAGAAATATAATGCTTTGCAACCACACAGATGGTATGTGAGAGCAATATGAAAAATCATTCCAAAAATGAAAATAGGTAACAGAAAGGAAATAAGTAAGAGAGGACATCCTTAACCAGCTAAAATATCAGCTTTCAGAACCAACAGTTTCTGCTGCAGGGGCTGAGCGATCTTCCTCCAAATTCCTCTCACCAGTTTTTTCAGCTGCATAACCTGATGGATCCACATATCCATTGGTCGGTGGCTGTGACTGGTGTTGTGGCTGATGCTGTGACTCTCCATTGACAGGTGGATTCACTGCTTGGCCATAATGGGAAGGGTCTGGCTGAGGATACCCACCTTGTCCATATACTGCTGACTGAGATGCTGCAGAAGGGTCTTCGACCGCCTGCTGCCCTCCATAACTTGTTTGGTAATAGCCCGTTTGAGTATGTGGTTGCCAATACCCAGCTTGAGAGTTGGCCGGTGGCTGGCTGTATGGAACTGGATAAGCAGCTGATGGCTGAGTACTTTGAGAGGAAGCGCTTCCATCTACACTGGATGGCACTGCTGGTGGCCCATATCCTGAAGTTGCATATTGTTGCTGCTGATCAGACCCTGGAGCTTGACTAGAGATGTTTTGTCCATAACTTGGTGGCTGCTGAGTGTAACCCTGATCATAACCATGGCTGGCGACAGGGGGTGTCTGGTTGTAGTTGTAGCTAGGATTTGGGGGAGCTGGCCCCATCGGAGGTTGTTGTCCATAGTAATTATATGCACTGCTTTCTTGTGGTGGTTGAGAGCTGGGTACTTGGTTTGACTGATCCCAACCTGCAACCTGGGTAGGATAGTTACCATAGTACGAGGCAGGAGGTGCATAGCTTCCTGGTTGTGTGTACCCATAATGAGGCTGCTGTTGCTGAATTGGAGCTTGTCCTGGTGGGGCCCAATTACCAGGAGGGGCGTAAGACTGCTGCATATAGCTATTGGTTCCAGAGGTATTTACTAAACGCTTCTGCAGAAGTGAAACCAAGGATAGAATATATAGAACTAACCAAGAAGCAACAATCCAGTAATTCAGTGGAATAATATGATGAGAAGGGTAATGGGAACTGAATGTTTCAATTGCCAATTATGTCTGCATTTGGACAGATCAGTACAAGAAGAATTTAACCAGAAACCGAGTTCAAATTTAGGCCAAAATTTCTGATATTCAATAAAAATTATAAGAAAAAATTAGAGTAAATAGAGGAAGAGTACAAAGTGATGAAAAGAGGACCAGTGCTCCAACCTTAGCTATCAGAACAATTTTAAAGAAAACTATACACCACATCAAGGTAGAAAACCAGTCCTAAAAACCACTATTCCAGTCCCCAAAAAGAAAACTTCTGAATAATCCTTATAAAATAGTTGCACTTGAAACCAATAATGAAGCAAAATATAATGATATCTTTCTCGCTCTCTGTTTCTCTCCCTCTCCCTCTTTGACAAGTTGCTCGATGGTCATTGTATAGGATTACAATTGATAAAGAATGAACATCAAGCAACTTGTCAAAGAAAGACTCGGAAGAAAATCTGATAATGCTAACCCGAACAAGATTTTGTGCATCAGATTAAAAGGTCAATTGTTGTAAGTAGAAAGCAATGCTAATCCTTTATCATAAGATCATACTTTTTTAAAAATTGAACTTTTAGGAAGAAGATAAAAAAAAGGTTGAATGCAAAAACAGGTAACCGACAAACCACTGATGACTCACCCCACTGATTACTTCGTTGACCAATTCCTTGGCTGCCTCAATTTGCTCTGTCACTCCATTTATATATACTGATCTCTCAGCTGACATATCACCAGGAGGAAGGTGCAGTGGTACAACCTGAACCAAAATAATGTATTAAATATAATGGAGATAAGATGTAGGAACATACGAGACAAATGGCATGCAAGACTTGTTCCATGTGGTGAGGCAATTGTCATTCCATAAAAATGCCTACGCTATCAATTTTATTTCAGGAACATAATCTCAAATATGACACAAAAAGGTTTGACTCCTTGACAGCTTTAGAATGAAAAATAGTAGATAAACATTTAAACCTAAAAATAAAATAAAAACAATGCTCTAAATAACAGACCGATCATTGAACAAAAAGTGGCAGAGGGTCAAGGTTTAAAGGTTCAACCACATACTATGATGCTATACTAACATAACAATTATATTTTTCATATAAAGTTATATGATAAAAATTTAAGAAGTTACATACTATGTAATTTTAACAACTCAAAATTTTGAAAAGAATATGTTATTTTGCTAAAATTAGTTCCAATATTTTGTATTTCTCATTGAGCATAAAATATCATTAGTAAACATAACATCCACATTTTTTTAATGCACACTTCATGTTCATTAGGTTAAATTATTTATATTTTAAAGCACTTATAAATAAAGGATAAACATATTTCTTACTATGGTCTTCATGCTTTTTTAATCGGACCTAGGTTTAGATTTCTGAATATTAAATACAGTGTTTTCCAGGAATGGTTCAAATAAAGAGGTTACTATAACTAGAGAAGTGAGTACTATAGTAATTTTTTTTTCCTTTTTTTTAAAGGAGAAAAGTACTATAGTAATCTAATGGATGCAAACCCAACACAATGCCATTTCTGCTTCCATACTAAAGTTATACGATATTAATGTCCAATCCTCTTCATGCCGAAAAACTAAATGCTCTGAAGCCATCAAACCAATCAAGTTGAATTTAATGCAGTAAGATTGCAAATATGAACTAAGTGTCATAATTGTATTTTACTATTTTGACAAGGTTGTTATAATTTCTATTTGAAAATACATGTGACCAACCAATGGAATTATGAGATACTATAAGTTCTCATGATTACTTTTACCCTCCTTAAAATACAAACCTGAATACGAGCTCCTGACTTGCTTTGCATATTCCTGATAGTCTCACCTCCCTTGCCAATAATTAAAGCAACCTATGACAATAATGAGTGCAAGCATGACACTGTTACATTAGCATTAGCTTCATCTAATAAGAAAAATATCCAACAGATCTACCTTATTATTGGGAACTTTCATGACAAACTGTTCTGTTCCAGGTTGGATTGAGTTGAATCCCTGATTTGTAGAGGGAGGAGCAGAGCCCCCTGCATCTGCCTGTACAACAAAAATATTTTTAGAGAGAACGGTACTTTCTGAATCATGAAACAGCAAGAACATCAATGCACAAACCAATATAAACATAGCTTTCACCTCTGCTATGACATCACTGATAAGTTGTTCTGCCCTACTGATCTGTTCAGACGTACCCGTCAAGTCCACATCCCTAGTTAGAGAACTAAGATCAGCTTCTGAATCCCTGGTTATCTGGATTTTGGCCCCTGACTGAAGTTGCAGCTGTTTTATCGTTTCTCCTCCTTTTCCAATAATTACCCCAACCTGAAAGACGGAATTACCGAAACAAATCCAATTTCATCAGCATTTATGCCATGAAAAAAGTCCGAGGAGCAGCAAGAAACCAACAAAGTACCTTCCCATTTGGTATAGTTATTTTCTTGCTTGTGCCTGGAGAACCATAAGACTGGCCTGATTGCGCGGTAAAAGAAACTGAACCAACTTTTTAGTTAGAAAACGAAGGTCTCATGCAGTTCTAAAAATGGGGATGCTTGTATGAAAATATAACACCACACTCCTAAAACAATGGGAGAGGATCTTGGATTCAAACATGCAGATGCACTACAGGAAATAGCCCGAATCTTTATATTTAACTACTGTATGACATCCACGCAACAGGCTCTCTTTTTTCTTTTAAAAACAAAAAACAAAAAAGACATTGAGCACTCGTGGGAACTGATACCCATGATTGAGCACCAGATGCTCCACAAAAGCTCAAACAGTCCAGGGGTGGAGTAGTTCTTTACTTAATCCCAAGTGCTCACTATCACCTAAATTCCCTAAACCTAAAGTTAGGTTTAACGACCAAAGAGCTAGACTGAAAGTAGAACTCTCTTTTTTTTTTTTTTTCCATTCACACAATCCCAAAATCTCCACATATCTTGCGCTATAGTTAACAATTATTTCCCTTTTTTTTCAATTTTCAATTAACAGTAGAGGCGAATAGTAATAAATTAACAAAACTAGAAGTCTAAAACCCTAGAAAGAGCAAAGCATTGGAAGAATGAACGAGTACCAGGGTAGGGAGGAGGGTTGAAGACGGGGCTAGGCTGGAAAGGCTCCTCTTCGAGTCGAGGGCGCTTTGACTCGGCGTCGCTGACGAGTCGGGCGGCGATTTCCTGAGCTTTCTGTTTGGCCAGTTCGATGCTGAAACTGCTGTCTTCCAGCTTTCGCTTTGCACTGTCGCCGGTGGCGGTGGCTTCTTGGTGTTGGTGTTGGTCTTCTTTCATGGTGCAATCGCTCTCTGACTCAGCGAGTGACTCGCAGACCAATTGGGGAGGGAGAGAGAGAGAGAGAGACAGAAAAGGTGATGAGGGAAGCGAAAGGAGTGAAAGACTTGGCATAACAGATTACATAGGGCTCTGATTGAAAATATGAAATCAGTCCAGACGACGTCGTTTCTAGATTAAATTGTTGAATATTTTTTTTAAGGTCAGAAAAGTTAAAGATCAAGTCTTGCTTGCTTCCCATTTGAGCAATTTATTTTAGGCAAAATATTAATTAAATACAAAGCTTTTATTTTTATTTATTTTTGCAGCTTAATTGTGGATGGATACCATGCTCTCATTGAATTAGGCATGAAAGTGAACTAATTTCAGCTATAAATATTCTGATCTACTTCTCAAAATTCAACGAAGAAAACATGTCCTTGCCGATAGACATCGCATTTAGCTTACAAAGAATTCCTCAAGATCAAACATCTCAAATTGACAACTTGAAAGACCAAGAATTCCTCAAGTCATCGCTCTCACACCATTTATCTGTTGGTAGCCCAAGCAGAAGAATACTTGAGTGGATTCAATCAGAACAGAGAGCTTCAACAATTTACAGATGAAGTGTCAACACTTCTTTGAGATGGTGCGATGCCGGCTGCGTAATAAAGATCCTAGAGTGCTATATCCTAACAAGAAGAATATTCTGATACTTGCAAAGTCTCCCTCTCCCACAACAAAGAAAAGAAACATAAAGAGCCAAAAAGGCTGTCCAATTAGGCAAACGAGTGTAGCAGTTATCAAGCCACCAAAGGCATCTTCAGAACCACCCTTTGAGCTCCGAATTGATGCCACTTCCCACCTTGAGTAATTTCTCAATCAATGGCATTGATCACCTCATTGGATAAAATTTCACCTCATTGATCACCTATATCAAAAGGGAGAGTTAAAATTATTTGACGAAGCCCTAAATCTTACTACTTAAAAGGTTCAAGTAAGCAGAAGCATACAGGTCTGTGACATGAAAAACTGAGACATGGATTTATTACATGAAGTGCTCATCTTATTAACTAAATGAAAACCGAAAGCCTCAGGGAAACAAGGGGGATGTATAATACCTACTCTAAAGTGGTAGGGTACAGGCTACGATGAACAGCGTAAAACTTAACAAAGAAAACCTGAAAAAGTTAACAAATACCTGGTGCAGGTTTGGATGCAAGAATTAGAGCTTATTTGGTTCAACTTCAGATTGACTGCCACTTTCAGAATTTTGTGACGGTGCCATTCTCAATACCCTTTGGGGTCTTCTATACCACAAAAATGCAAACCATAAGGTCCTTAACAACCCCCCATTAGCCAAGTGTGGGATTAAAATTCTCCCCCAGAATGGGTAATATGGACCTGGCAATTTGAGCAGTGTGAAGAAGATTGCCATGACAATCAGATGCCAGGGAACTTCTGCATCCTGACAATTAAAACCAGACAATAAGCTTCAATAGTAAATAACTGAGTTTAATTTTCATTCCTTCACTTATGCAAGAACTGTTCCCATAGAATGAACTCACAAAAAAATTCAGGACACTCTAAGATACACTGAAAATGAGAAATTCAAATCAGGGCGTGCAGCAATTCTAAAGGAGGGAATACAAATAGACAGAAAACAAAAACAAAAACAAAAGGCAAATGGAGAAAATTATGTTGCAGTCATCAATTATTTCATAATATTGTCTTTAAATAATAAAAAATTATAATGATATTTTGAGCAAGATAATAGCAAACAAAGAAGAACCAGATTCCTGAAGAAACAAAACCCACCCCCCCCCCCACATCTCTGTTTAAATCTTTCTGCCACAAGTAAGGGGTTTGAGCAAAATAACTTTACCTTAAGAAGTGGGGAAGCATCCAAGGCTGCCAGTTTTAAGACTTCCGCAATAGCCATTCCAATGAGGACTGGAATAGGAACTAAAAACAACTTCTTCGCATGTGCACAGTAGGACATTTCACTAAGGGAGGAAACGGCCAGCAAAGGTACAGATAAGTATTTGACAACTGCTAGTATAAGGTCAAGGATGAGTTGAATAAAGTTTTGCACGGCCCTTTTCCAAGGGAAGATCTTGACCGGCTGTGGAGAGCTGTCCCACAATTTTCTTGCTTTATTAATCAGGTGATCGAATTTCATCTTCCCAGGTTCATCCGACTGTCCTGCAGTCATATTTATCGCACACGAGATATTGTGCCGAGAATTCTTACGCAACCCAGAAAGCTTAACACTCTGGCCAAAGGCATGCAGTTTACTACACTGTGCCAAACCCTTCAACAACAAAATGAAACTAGTTAACTGAGGAAGCTCCTCAACCCAACTGAACAAAAGCTACATGCCAACTAGTTTGATATTCATGGGGAAAGTTACTCACTAAAACATAACATTGCCAAAGTCAGCGGTTCCGAATTCAGATAAATTAGATGATGTGAGGTTCTAAATTTATTTCCACAGAAAAAATAAAACGCAATCGTTTAAATCACAATATGATTGTGCTGACAATTCTAGACCCATTTTATGCATTTGTTTTGCCCATCAACCAAACATATCAGCATACAATAAAAAGTTGAAAGCACATATAAATTTCTACCACAAATGAACATAAGATTGAAAACAATTCCAGAAACACGTTTCCTAACATTCAAAACTAAGAAAATTTAATCTTCACCCAACGAGATTCAAGAATGCCCATTTCAATTCTGTTCTATGAAGATTCCCATATATATTATCATAATTTTAAAAAATAAAAATATATATAAATTAGAAGCTCACCTTGAGCCCAAGAACAGAAGGAGGAGCATGAGCCCGACGGTTGATTTTCGCGGAGGCTTGGAGGTGTGGGGAGGCAGATAACAAGTGAGAGGGATAAAGAGTTGCCATTGCTTACAATGCTCGAGCCCTTTTCCAGTAAAATTGAAAAAAAATAATAAAAAAATTAGGTGATGATTTCTTTGATTCGAAACGCCATGGCTGGATTTGTTGGAGGATAAGATACTGAAGGAACTCTTCGATGTCGGACGGTATTTTCGGTGTGGGAAATTGAGAATGAGAGAGGAGGGTTTAAGGGATGGAGCTGGGATCCGCTACTGCCGCCATATTGTAAGCGTACCTTCGTGGCCGCCAGTTAATGGGCCGTCCATAAATTTTTTCTTTTTATTTTTCGGTTTGAGAAACACATTTTATAAAAATAAATAAAATAGTTCAACCAAAGAAAATGAAGAATTATATATAAGTGAAGCATTATTGAATAATTTAAATAAATAGAGCTCTCGTTACTGATAAGCTTCTTACACCTTGCTTTCATATCATTACACGTACACTAATTTTAAAAAAATAACTTTGGTTGTATGAATCATTAGCAATTTGAGCTACAAATTTATATATCATTAAATCATACATTCGAACGAACATAAGTATGATGAGTTATACTTTTTGCACTACTCTCGCATCACGATGGTACAATTTATGCCCTAATAAAAACCCTATATCCTAAACCAATAAGTCTCTCAAGTCATGCTACAAGGTACTCTAACACACTCGTATAGCATATAGGCCCTCACATCAATCACAAAAAAAAAAACACTAAAAAACAACAAAAGGTATAATTTAAAAACAAAAATCACAACCGTTCGAATAGCCTTTAAAACAAATCAAGGCCGTTTGAGCGTCTACAGGAGGAAAGTTTGATTTTTAAGTCCTTGTAATTATTTTTTTGACACAATAGATACAGGGAAGGGGGAACTGACCTCGAATGCATAGGTAAATGCTATCAATTACTTGAGTTACAAACTTCTTGTAAGTCCTTATAATTTCAACAGAAGCATCCGACAAATTTTTGAGTATTTAATAAAGTTGTCTCGAGCTTATGAGTAATTGATTAATAAAAGTATGCATTTAGTTTTAAGTTTACCACGATAAATTACATGGTAAATTTTATCAGACTATCTGTAGCAAAACAGTAAAACCGAGAAATAGGTGTAAAATTATTTCATGATTAAGTGCCACATCAAATCAAACAGGCTAGCATCTAAGAGGATACAAAATCTCTAGATACAACAGGTAAAACATATTTCTAAACTTGTATAACCAAAGTAAACTCCCAGAAATAGGTACGCAGCTCCTGCAAACGGCTTTTTACACCTTAATTACCTGCAACAGAATCAGCGGAATGTAAGTTATCAACCCAGTTAACAGAAGGTTTTTAAAACCACTTAATTATAAATAATAATAAAAAAGGAAAAAATATTTAATCTTGGCTTAATTTGCATGAGAATCAGGAGATGGGAAGATGAAAATCAAGGCCAAAATTATAACTTTGGGACAAGACAACCCCAGCTAAACCTGTGATGGTATTACAGATGTCATACAAGGTAGTCTTTTATGGTGGTCTTACACCTTGGATGCTATTAGAAACATGGCATGATATGCAGAGGTTTGCATAGCCATTTATGCAAAAGAGAGCCACTAGGACAATAGAACACCAAAATGGTGGGGATCGAAAAATTCCTAGATGAGAAAATGGGTTTAGCATAGCCAAAATGAAAGTTTTAGTCTAGACTTGCCTGCTTACTCATGTGTGATTAATTAACATGTCAAGGAAATAAGGGCTGATAAAGAAGCCCTGTGCTTTCTGGAAACCCCATCATCACATTAAGATTCTGCAAGGCTTGACCTGAAGCTCCCTTGACAAGATTATCAATCTGCAACAACATTTTGAAAGTTTAGCTGTCAGCCGATAATAACATAAGGTCACACTTACATAGAAGCACAATTTTTTTTTCAAAATGCAAGGATGGGGAACATGAACATACAACAGAAATTATTATTGCTCTTCCAGGAATCCGATCAGGAAAGACATTGATGAAACAATAATTAGATCCTCGAGTATTATGAGTGCGAGGGACAATTCCTTCATCCAACAAAACTACAAAGTCTTCATCCTGCAAAAGAAAAAAGGAAATAGAAAAGAATAATCAATACTTTCACCCATCACCCAAGAGAGTAGAGAAAAACACATGATATAAGCATACAAGCAATATGATTGCAGGAATGATGTGCTTCCTAGTGCAACTGCCACATTGCCAAGGAGATTAAGGGACACTGGTAATTTATCTGACTGACTTATGTTTTATTAATCAATGCAGCATAAGCAGGAGTCCTGCACTCAATATCTTGCCATTAGCATTGGGTGTTTACACATTGTTTCAGCCAAAAGAAAAACTAGTTGAACTGTGAATCCTATGAACCATGTAACACATAATTCTGGCAGATTGTTAAGCCATGATAGTCTAGCTCCACTAATGTAAATAATTGTTCACTGATATGGGAATCTATGCAAGAAAATTCTTGCTTGACATGTATGTAAATAACTTTTATTTATTAAACCAAACTACTATACAGTTTTAACTATATGAGTGTGTCTGTGGGGTGTGCATTTAAACTTCAATGTATTGGCTTTTATTCCCAATGAGCATCAGAGATGCATCAGTTTTTTTTTGGTCGTTGATGTGGACATCTGTTTTCCATTGTTTTCGCTTCAGCTAAATCACCTAAACACTCAATTCACCCATATGCTACATCAGTCGTAGATGCATCAGATTAGTACACAACCAGTATATACCTCATAGGATAACTTCAACTGTTGGCGTAAGTCCTTGATTTCTACCCCAGGAGCCAGTTCCACATAGATAGTTGATTGCATACCACGGCTCTAAAAGACAAAAGTAAAATAATGCTTAGTCTGTTAGCAAAAAGTCAATTGTAAAAATGGAATCTCTAATTGCATATGAGAGTAATAGTTACCATTGGCATTAGATGTGGAGTAAAACTAACAGTTACTTTTGAATTTGCAGCATCAGATAGTCCCTGCTCAATTTCCGGAACTGAATTTCAAAGATAAAATCCAGGTCACTGCCTTAGGTAATCAAAATCAAATAAAAAAAACACACATGCTGTCTACTGTTTATGTAACTTCGTACAAGTATCCAGAATATGCAGATACACCATGTTCTGAAGTGTAGACCTTCAATATGAACATCAACTAGATCAACCAGTAAATTCCAGAATTATGTCATCTAAGAGGGACCACTCAGTCCAGTCAATGAAGGAACACAGTCAACCCCAACTTATCTATTCCATTCAGAAGACGCCAGTAAAAGGCAATACTATAGTTCCTACCTTCATGTTCCTCAACAGTATAAAACTTACAAGCATCTGAATTTGAAAGGTGTAGCAAAGAAGCCCTTCACCCCTTGTTTCTCTTTATTTAAACCAGATTCTTACTACAAACATCTGAGTTTCGAAGTTCTACATCTATGATGTAAGACTACAGTTCCAAACTGCATGTTTGTTCAATGGTGTAAAAAACTTACAAGCATTTGAGTTTGAGAGGTGTAGCAAAGAAGCTGTTTACCTGTTGTTTCTCTCCACTTAACCAGAATTCTTTAAGCATCTTTTCAGGCATATGTTCTCAGTAAAGAAGTAAATACACACTTTTTAAAGTTATTTCCCATTATTTGTGTTTAGCTTAATTGCCCATGCAGTGTATTTAGCTTAATTTCCCATTCAGTGTATTTAGCTTAATCACCCATTCTGTGTATTTTGCTCAAGTTAGGAAGTAAGATTGAACATGTCATATAGTGTAAAATTTAAATTTCTACAAATCCAAAATCTTACCATGGCGATGACGGGTAACGCCATAAGAATATATGCCTTCAGCTATTTCAGTGTACAAATTTGCCTCCTTGGCACCACGTCCTGCAAAAGTAACCAGGTCGCAGGCATAATTTATGGGAGCACTAGGAGCACATATATGGTAAAGTTTCGCAAGGAAATGTTAGAAACTGCAATCAAGTCCTAACCTGCTCCGCTAACACCAGACTTTGAGTCAATAATAATATTTTTAGGTTGAACGAGATTAGCCTGCAAGGAAAATGCAAGAAGAGAACCATAAGGCATGTGCCAGGACCATTGGGAATAAAGAACAGCATAACTGGCATGCGGCTAGTGACTAGACAACTGCCATTTATACGATTATAATGGCTACCTAAAACATAATTCATGAGAAAGCAATGCTTACATCCAAACTTTAAAACATAATTCATGCCACCTGCATACCTTTAGTTTCATATTTTCAAGGGTCAAATATTTTTATTTCTTTTTTTCTGCTCTGAAGAAATCTTTAACTTGTGATATCTTATGTACTGCCAATAGAATCATAGATAAAACCAAGTTTTGAAGCTTCGCCTTTATACAAGTTTATCACTTTAAGATTGTTTTCTGTAAAATTCCAAGGAATTTTAATGTCTTGTTTCCCTCCTAGTGCATGGCGGTTCAGTATGCATAATAAGTGTGCAGGAGTTTTAAGACATAGTATTTCATTTTTCCACTTTTGTTGCTCTCTAAAGAGTATCCAGGAGTGACACCCTCCTGTATGTATATGGGTTTGTATCTCAGCTACATTATTACATCTCAAACAGTGAGTGAACTGATCTCAAGCCCATATTTCATAAAAGCATGCAATTTGCAGAGAACTCATATACAAGGCACAAACCTTAATCAGTGGAACAAGGGGAAGTTGAACAGAAGTTGGATAGCAACCAGGGTTAGCAACTAGGCGTGCACTTTTTACCTCCTCCCTTGAAATCTCCGTCAAACCATATACAGCTTCTTTCTGGATCCAGGAAGATAAATGCTTGTTAAAATAAGCAGAGCAATAATTTAATGAAATAAGAGCAAGATGGTGCCTGAATTTTATTTGTCATATACATTTGCTGCAAAACAAAGGTGAACTTTATGACAACAAATTAAACAGGCCAGAGTTTTTGTTGAAAGTTGAAGTTAACATTCAATCTATCCCTACAGTAATGCTTGGTGGACTTTATAATTCCGTAGAAGCCTAGATATGCAGAAGAAATTACCTTACCTGCAATTCTGGTGCTCTATGTGCCTGACCATACCATTCTTCATACTCAGAGATATCTCGTAGACGGAAGTCCTGAAAAAACCATCACATAAAATTAAAAATGAAACAAATTTATAGTTGATGAGAGCAAATTAAAAAAATCCCAAAAGCATTGCATGGTAGTGCTATTCAAAGCATACAGCAGAAAGATCAACAATCTTTAAACTCTTGGGAAGGCCTTTGATAATTTCCTGCAATTGAAATAACAAACATATACATGTTAGAAATTCAGGAGGAGATTCAGTAAATCAGAAAGGATTTACTGATACAAAGGAAAGAAAAAATAACCTGTGTGGTTCCGTGTGGTAAACAACAAAATACAGCATCAACATCAGAAAAATCAGCATCCTTGACAGCAACCATTTTTGGCAGATTCTGCAAACACAGAAAGCCAAGCAATGTAATTCCAAAGTATTGAAAATTATGCCATGATCAAACACCACCATCAAATGATTGAAACCCCATCATCAAATTGACCATGACAACAACTAACAGAGCACAACCATACCATAGGAATGCACCAATATTTAAGCTTATATAAAGAGAAAGAGAAAAAGAAGAAGAAAGATATCATATCATATTTAAATTCAAGTCTTTGGCCCTTAGAGGAAACACATAAATCATAGAAATTCTTACTTGGGAAACCAGATGAGGAAACACCGATCCAATCGACTGTCCAGCTTTTCTATCAGCAGTCATCAAGGTAATGCCAAAGTGAGGATGGTTTGCCAGCAGCCGAACAATCTTCCAGAAAGAAGGATCATCTCAGCTCATTGTAAGCCATAAAACCATGGAACTACTTAAATATTGAGTACATAATTATCTAACCCAATTCAATTCTCATCTATACTTCACATTACTGCTCTGAGTTAAAATACGAAGTGGTAAACAAAAGGGTTTGTCAGTGAGCCACTACCTCAGAACCAGTGTAACCACTGGCTCCAAGAACACCAAGTCGAACTTGCTTTTCTGCCTTCTGGGTTTTTGTATTCACGGAACATTTAACAAACACCTTCTCTATATTTCGCTTCTTATCCTTTGGATTGTTAAACCCGTCCTGCATTTACCAAACCTCAATAATAAGTTCAACTTTTATGATGAAAACACTAACACAACAAATCAAAGTATCTAATTGACTGATAATTTACAATGCAGGGCTTTAACTGGGTTTCTTTTTCCCGCATTTTCTGAGAAAACAAACAGAAATCTTAATGAGTACATACCTTCCCTGAGGCACCCAGTTTGAAGAAAATTGGAACTGAAAGTTGCAGAGCTCATCTTCTATCAGAAACTTGCACAGAGCAACAGCACCTAGAAAACTTCAAATTGAATACCAGCTCTCACAAGCCTAAACTACAATACAGCATGTATATACCTTCTTCTTTTTTCGCAGACAAAAAAGGTTCTTTTTTTCAGTAAGAAAACGGAGTTTCCCCGCCGCAGAAACTGACAGAGCATCCATGACGAAACATAGAATATATTACACGGTAAAAAAGACACAAGTGCGGGTGAAAAAGTAGTAAACAGTAACTCAGTGGTAAAGGACAAAACATTAGGGTTAGGATTTTTTGTTTTTTGTTTGGTTTGCAAGTAGGGTTTGGATTCAAGTGGACTTATTAAGGGTGAGGCGTGAAATGATAGCTTGAAAATAAAAGAGAGATTCACTATTATATCCAATATAAATGCCCAAATTTAAAAAAAAACTCTATATGAAATGGACTTTAAAAATACATCCAAAGCTCATTTACAGCATAACAAAGACGCTTTGAATTTCCTATAAATTACAAAATTTCCTTAAAACAAACTCAACCCCATAACCTCATAGAAAACCCCAAAACACTCAATAGGGCATCAAAGGAATTTAATAATCAAAATTATATTCAATAGGATTAGCTGTCAATTTTTGGGTTATTTTTGTTTGTTTATATAAATTAAATGATGTAGGGTTTATCTATATCATTAATGCTAAGAATGAGTATATAACTAAATATCTCAAAATAATATTTGAAGATAGTTGCAAAGGGGGTGTGTAGCTTAGTTGCTAAGAGAGTATTTAGCTGCATCTGGGGTCCTCGGCAGGGCTAGACTTGAGATTTTTAAGGCCCAAGTGAAGTCGAAAATAGACTCTATGTATAGCTTTACACAAGAATCATTTAATTTTATTTATGTGTGTATAGAATATTAAAAAATAGAGTCTTTCATAACCGTAATAAATAGTTCAGGCCTCAAATAAAATAAAATTTATTTTCGGTATATCTGCATATATAAGAAATGGTTGAAGACAAAAAAAATATCAAACATTAAAGCTTTTTATTTGTTTAAAGAGATTTGGGTTTAATCAAACATGGATCAGTTGGATCAAATATTGTATTACTAAGGTTTCTTATGCAATACTTATTAATGGTAAACCTTATGGAAATATATCCCTGTCTAGGGAAGTGAGACAGGGTGATCCCTTATCTCCTTGTTTATTTATTTTATGTGTGGAACCTTTTATGAGGCATTTAAATAAATTAACCCTTAATACTTCCTCTCATATTGGGTTGCTATGTTCAAATAATGGGATCAAAGTTTCAAATCTTTATTTTGCAGATGAGTGCTTACTTTTTGGAATTTCGGGAAAATATTTAGGAATACCTAATATAGTTAAATGGAAGGATCTCTCTAATACACAGGAATTGTTGAATAAAGTAAATTAAAAATTTTCTAGTTGGAAATCTAATTTACTATCTAGAGCAGGAAAATTAATACTAATTAATTCTCATATTTTAAGCATGCCAAAATATATAATGGGTTGTTTTCCTTGTTCTAAAAATGTTATTACAAAAACTGAAAATTCAGCAAATAAGAAACATTAATAAACATAGTATAGCCGCACGGCTATACAATTTTAAAACAGTATAAAAAAACCGCGCATAGCCGAACGGCTATACTATATATCCTTGCTAATAAGGGCACGTGTCAAAATACATACGCGCGGCTATACTATTTTTGTAAGAAACATTATTAAAACAGCGTATAACCGTGCGGGGCTACTATTTGGAAAAAAGAAGAAAACCCGAGTATAGCCGCCCGGGTATACTATATATACACGTGTCAAATATGTATAGCCAGGCTGCTATACGATTTTGAAACAAATGTCAAAAAACAGAGTATAGCCGGCGGCTATACTATTTTTGAAAAAAATCAGAAACGCTATACTCGGTTTTTTTATTTGGTAAAGAGCATTACTCATTTCCAGGAGTTCCAATTTCAAGCTCTCACTTATCAACTCCTCAACAGAATACCTTGCTGCCATGAGCTCTCAGCCCGAGGTTTTCACTGGACAGCAATTTTACGGACTCACGCTCTTCCAATGTACCCAACTCAAGAGCGGAGATTACGTCTGTTTTCTCCTGCAGTTGAGTTTCAAGCATTTGGCTGTTAGCAATGGCCTGACCAAGATCGCATGATTTTGCTGAAATCTCGTCCTCTAAAGCCTCCAAAGAAGACAATATTTCCTCAATTTCATCTTGTTGATCCTTATTCTTAGATGCATATTCCTGCAACAAGCTCAGATCAAATAACAATCCCTTAAGAACATCATCCTTCCTTAGTAATTCAGCCTGAAGAGACAAATTTTCAGATACCAGATCCTTAGCATGGCTCTCTAAGCAATCGACCTGCTCTATAAACTCAGATATTCTCTCTGCAGTTTCACATATTTCTTGAAACATTTGTCCACAATGATGTAACATTTTCGCCCTTTAAAATATTATGTAATATGTTAGTCACTGAATCAATGCACTTCTTACTGTTCACATTTGACATGGTGAGGAATTCATCCTTGCTTTTCTTGAGAGACAAAAGTTCTTCCCTGAAGAGAACATTCTCTTCCTTCAGTGTATTAGTTTCGCTAAGACAGATCCGCAACTCCTGGCTTTTTTAGCGTAGTTCTTCCATAATGGCAGACTCTGATTGTTTGAGTTCATACAGTACAGTTCAGCACTTTTCACCCTTGGATTAGTCTCCAGATCAATGTGAATCTGCAGTTTTCTTTATCAAAGACATTTATACAGCTTAATGAAGATGAAAATTCAGAATTCTTCTCCTCCAAATTTTTTAGAGTCATGCTCTAAACTACTCTTATTTATCGGTATAGACTCTGATAATGGCCTAATAGTAATGGATAATGCTCTAAACTACTTATTTATAGGTATAGCCGATCGGCTCTACTAGTACTTAAACAGTCAAGAATAGACACTCAGCGGTACCATTTTAAAAAAAATCAGAAAAAACCGATTATAGCCGCTTGGCTATCCTATTTACATATATACATATATATATATATATATATAAAGAACCACCTTGCGATTAGGCGCCCATGTGTCAAAATAGGTATTCCCGCGCGGCTATACTATTTTAAAAAAAATTTAAAAAAAGCTATTCTATTCAAATAGCCTATGAATAGACTATTTGAATAGAATAGCCGCGCGGCTATACCCTTTAAATAGAATATTTTAAATGTATAGCCGCTCGGCTATACTTTATGAATAGAATATTTTAAAAATATAGCCGCCGCCTGTGTACATTCTTTAAATAGAAATTTTAAACGTATAGCCGGACGGCTATACTCTGTAAATAGAATATTTTAACAGTATAGCCGGCGGCTGTACTTTATGAATATAATATTCTAGAAGTATAGCCGCGCGGCTGTCGTCGGTGAATAGAATATTTTAGAAGTATAGCCGGTCGGCTATACGGTTTCAGTACAGTATTTTAATGGTACCGCCGAGCGGCTGTACTCTAAAATATTTTAAACCATAGCCCAACCACCACCCCTACCCAGATCCATCATCGCCATCACCGTCTTCTTCGTCGTCGTAAAATTCCGAGGAATTATCGTCTGATCCCAAAACTGGATGAAATTCCGAAGAGTTGTGGTAGTAAGGTTGAGAAATTCAGAGCTGGGTTTGTTGTTTTGATGAGAGTAAAACTCGTCAAGTCTCCAAATTGGCGGTGGCATGCTACAAAGCCCTCCTATTTTCCCTACCATAATACACCGCGTTTCAACTTTTTCACCGTTGATGATTCTTCTTGCTTTGTTCTTTCACTTACCACACCCTTTTCTTTTCTTTCCATCTCTCTCTCTCTCTCTCTCTCTCTCTCTCTCTCTCTCTAAATTTCTATACACACGCAGACATGCACAGATTGTTGTTAGAAACACTTTAGATTTCTTGAAGGGCCACCAAATTTGTATGATCCAATATATGCACAGAGAGGAGCACAATGGAAAAATCTGAATTTGTATTAACGTGTATTCACATCTGTTTTATTTACACAACCGCAAAAGAATAATATACAGCTGAAAATGAAAGCTTTTAGACATTAGAAAGACAGAACTCGTATACATATAAATATTAGCAGAAAGCTAACCAGACTCTGATTCTTTACATCAAAGAATAAGGTCATCTATCTAAGGGAGAAAAATATGGAGCTTGGGACATTCTTTTCGGAGTTTGACGATTCTCATCCGTCTTTGAGCTTATTGGTGAAGCTATGAGCTCTGACAGTCGAATTCTTTCACTGCTTATTTTGTTCTGTAGAAACAAAATATTAGGATCATAACATAGTTTTTGTATACATTATACATTCCTGTACAGCAAAACAAGCTCAAAGATAAACAAAATGCTTTTCCAGTGCTAAAATTTTATGTACCTTATACTTCAAATCCTGCAATTCTCTATCCATCGAAGTAACCCTGTTCTTGATTTGCTCGAGTGCCTCTTCAGCAACGGATGGGTTTATGTGGGTTGATGGTTTTGTTATTCCAGCAGCCTGAAAGTTAGTTCAAAAGAAAATATAAGTCCAGGTTTGGTTTTTTAATTTCTGAGAGTGAATTAAGTAACCACATGGCCTTTTAACATACCTTCAAAACACTAGTACACAGGCCTAACAATTTCTGTGCTAGTTGCAATTTCTCCTCCTCAGTTTCCTGCAGCAGATTCACTTCCATTGTCAGGCATCGAACTATGGGTTGATTTTGCACCTCTCTCTCTCTCTCTCTCTCTCTCTCTCACACACACACACACACACACACAAGACAACACTAACCTTCATTTGGCACTCAATCGTTGCTCTTCATCAAAATCAACATAAGGATTCCTCCCACAGGAAGCACGAAAGCGAGCAAGCTCTTCCTTGACACGTGAAAGAATAACTTCTGTCCGCCGGAGCTTAGTGCTTAGTTCTTCATTCTGAACTTTTAGCTTGTGATTTTCTTCCTGTTGCATTATAGACAAGACTCACTCAGATTGGCTAGGAATAGAAATGATAAGTAGAGAAAATACAGATGCTGTGCTTAGAAAGACTTCATTAGCAAGAATATCTTAATTGGAAATATCTTGCCTTGATTTTTGCATGATGATGAATCCGCTGCTGGAGGTTTTGCTGACCAGACAGCTTATTTACTTCCCCTTCAAGTTCCATCACCTTCTTTTTATGATTTACGTTCTCCACCTACACAGATCAAAAGTAATAAGCCAAGAAATAAAGAAGATAAAAGATTCACTTTATTTAGTGAATAATGTCTCAAAAACAGTCTCAACCTTCAGCATTTCATTTTCAGTTTTTAGAAACTGATCTCGCTGCCTAAGTTTTTCCAAAGCAATTTGCACAGCTATGAGTTCAGCCTGTTTTCGGTCAATTTCCTCGAGCCACCTAGAATATGAGGCTTAATATGGAAGATAGAAAAGTTACTAGAAAATTTGGAAGTTTTGAAGTACTATGCGCTCACCCTTGTCTTTCCTGAATGAATTCATTCAGCTGTTTTTTCAGCTTAACTACCTCCTGTTCCTGAATGAAAGAGTTAATTACAACGAAACACAACAAAAGTTATCTATCCGAGTTTTAATATAATTAAAGCTGAATACCTTTTCTTCGGATTCCACACTATGAAACCGGGCCTTCTCTGTTATTTTCTGCACTTGTTGATTATCCAATAGTGACTAGCATTCACAAAAAGGGAAAATGTGAGATGATCATAGCAGTTCGTTTTTGTTAAAAAAGTAAATCATAATTGTGCATCAGTAATATAACTCTTTGATATTTGTTATATTGTGTACAATAATTTACCACGTAAGTGGTCATATCCAACTTGACTCCCAGTAAGTCCCGAATTACATCATGGGTCATGCTTTCAGCAGCAGCCAATTTGGAATTCAAAGTAAATATCTGCACCACCAAAATGGAAAAACAGGATTAATTTGTGGTAGACGAACGTACTTGTAAGAACCAAATAGGACAGTAAAAGCCTACCTCTTTCTGTCGACTTAATGCTAAGGATTCAAGCTCTTCAATGCGGACCCTTGAGGTTGTAAGTTCTTCATCCTTCTCAGATTTTATCTGTTGTGCCAAGCCCAAGCCAATGCATTTAAATGGGGAACCAGAGCCTCTAGACTTTGTGGCATGTTTCTCTGACTTGTTTGATGAACTTGTGGCATGAGTGGAATGGCCTTCAGGTCTGACTTGTTCAGCCATGGATTCCAATGCCTTAAACTGTTTGCAGATTTTGTAGTTACATAATTGAAGTACTAAAAAATATGTTTTTAAAAAGTTCATCAGGACAATGAGATTCAATCTTTCCCCATACCTTCTGCTTGTACTCACAAGCCTGTGCTTCTGCATGCAAATTCAGCTCAGAGATATGTGCTTTAAATTGGGCAATCTGTCAGGTAAACACAAAACCATGATATTGCAAAACTATCACAATAGATATGATTGAGTCTGCATTCCACAGTCATATCAGAAAACTATGGTTCAACGTTGCAAGCTCAGATTAGAGTTAGAATTTATTGCAGTACAGGTGCTACAAGAACTTCACCTCTGCATCCTTCTCAGCTATATCCTTCTCAAGTATTTGTATGTTCTGTAGGGCTTCTTGAAGGCTTTTCTCTTTCTCATCTAAATATCTATTTTCAAAAGAAAATTAAAATTCATTATTTAATGTCCATTTATCAAAACAGTTGAGTGTGTTTGTGCACTTGAAACAAATTGATGGGAGGATGTGCTCTAACCTCTTCATGTCAGCATTAGCATTTTCAACATTCTGCATCTGATGTTTCACAGCATGAAGTTCCAATTCAAGCTCTTCTCCATGCAGCCGTTGTCGTTCAGCTTCTCCCTTAACAATATCAACCTAGGCAGGAGTCCATAGGTTGCAGTGATGATATGATAGATAATATACAGAACTAGAACAAGATTCACGTGACTTAATCGCAATCAAAGACATACCTTGTTTTCCAGCACATCTACAGTACGTTCAAGCTCCTCAACAGACCTCTCTAAGAGCTTCACCTCTGCCTCTTTGTCGTCGGCATAGTTCTTTCTTAATTCAGCTATCTGAAAATTAGTACAGCAAACTAGAATCAGTATATGTAAATTTGAAGAAAAAGTAGTAAACTGTTTGTGCTGAACAAGCATGTACCTCTTGAGCTTCATTTGCAATTGCTTCAATTTCATCCGCTCGTGCTTGTTCTCTTTCGAGCTTTTCCTTCAACTTAAGCATCTCAATGTGAAGAAGATCCTTTTCACTAGCAAGTTCATGCATATTGCTCCTCAAGGATTCATTCGAGTTATTCATTGGTCAAGAGCATTACTCATTCCAGGAGTTCCATTTTCAAGCTCTCAGTTATCTTCTGTCTCTCTGTCAACTCCTTCTCGACAGAATACTTTGCTTCCAAAGCATCTTCCATATGAGCTCTCAGCTCCAGGTTTTCACTGGACAGCAATTTTACAGACTCGCGCTCTTCCAATATACCCAACTCAAGAGTGGAGATTACGTCTGTTTTCTCCTGCAGTTGAGTTTCAAGCATTTGGCTGTTAGCAATGGCCTGACCAAGCTCGCATGATTTTGCTGAAAGCTCATCTTCTAAAGCCTCCAAAGAAGCCTCAATTTCATCTTGTTGATCCTTATTCTTAGATGCAGATTCCTGCAACATGCTCAGATCAAATAACAATCCTTTAAGAACGTCATCCTTCCTTAGTAATTCAGCCTGAAGAGACAAATTTTCAGATACCAGCTCCTTAGCATGGCTCTCTAAGCAATCGACCTGCTCTATGAACTCAGATATTCTCTCTCCAGTTTCACATATTTCTTGAAACATTTTGTCCACAATGATGAAACCTTCGCCCTTTAAAATATTACGTAATATGTTACTCACTGAATCCACAGTTTCCACTGAATCAATGCACTTCTTACTGTTCACATTTGACATGGTGAGGAATTCATCCTTGCTTTTCTTGTGAGACAAAAGTTCTTCCCTGAAGCGAACATTCTCTTCCTTCAGTGTATTAGTTTTGCTAAGACAGATCTGCAACTCCTGGCTTTTTGAGCACAGTTCTTCCATAACGGCAGACTCTGATTGTTTGAGTTCATACAATTCAGCACTTTCACCCTTAGATTAGTCTCCAGATTAGTAATATGAATCTCCAACGAGATAATTTCATCTTGCAACCTGCAGTTTTCTTTATCAAAGACATTTATACGGTTTAATGAAGATGCAAATTCAGAATTCTTCTCTGCCAAATTTTTTAGGGTCGTGCTGTTTTCTGTATTTACCTTCCCTATCTCAGTTTTAAGTGACTCATTTTCCATCTCCAAGTGACTCAATCTGCTCAGCTCGGCATCTTTCTTCTCTACAGCATCTTGAAGTCCAAATGATAAGGTTTGCAACATGCAAATATCATTCTGCAACCTTTGGTTGTCCTGATCAAGGACAGAAATCTGTCGGGCAGAAAGTTCTAAGTTCATTTCCTTCATTTTTAAATCTTCTCGTAGTTTTGGTATTCAGCATCTAGTGCCTGAACGTGGCTCGACAGCTTCACCTCTGTTTGCTTAACTTCACCAAGTTCACCTTTCAAGGCATCATTTGAAAGAGCAACGTCCTTTAGCAACTGAATATCTTTTTCAAGAGCCTTGTTCACTTCATTTATTTGTGTGATCCTTAAAGTTCTTTGGTTCAGCTGTGACAACAATCCTGCCTCTCCTTTTGGGCTTCCTTTTGCAGATGTGCAAACTCAACTTCTTCATCGAGAAAGGACTGTTCTTTCAACAGTGCATCAACCTTTGAAAGAATTAATTCTTTCTTCAAATCTTCAAGCATCACACAACAAGTGATATGCTCTCTCTCCATATCAACTTTGTGCATAGCCATCTCTTCTAATTCTGATGTCAAGATAAGTGACTCAAAGTCTTTCACACACCAATCTATCATGAAACACTCCGCTTGAGATTCAAGTGCCTCCTCTTTATCTTTCAGAAATTTCTCTTGATCCAGAAGGGATGCACCAAAATTTGAGTTGCTCAAATCGAACTCTTTCATTAGAATAGCAAGCTGAGATCCCATATAATTAGACCTTTGCAGCATTAACTCCTCTTGAAACTTAAGTTCTGATATCTGTTCCTCGAAAGTGTTGAGCTTCATATTAAGCTTCCCTGCTTCCTCTTCTCTCCTTGTGATGTGATCAAAACTGTTCTTAATGTCGGTCAGTAATTTCCCCTTTAGAATCTGACACAACTCGAGCTCTCTTTTTGACCTAATGTTGTGTTGCCTCAGATCAGCTATACAAGAACTTGATTCACAAAGTCCACGTTGAAGCAGACCGTTCTCTGCATTCAGCCCAGTCACTGTTTCCAGCAAAAGTCCCATGTGACAAAGGTGTAGAACTGAAACAGCACAATCCTTCACAATTATCTCAGACCAGATGTCCTCAAGTGATGAACGAACCAACTTTGAGGAGTCTGAAAGCAGAGACTTCACACTGCGGAAATCAGAGGCTAAAAGCATGAAATTTTCGTTGTAATTAGCCTGGACCTCTGCAAGCATGCCCTCCAGCTCTACAACCAGAGCCTTTGTTTCCTTTATATCTGAGGCAAGCAACTCTTCACTTCTGCAAATTGTTGATTGCTCAGATGATTGATGGGACTGCAAGCTTTGAACCTCATTTAGTAACATATCCCTGTCACTCGTTACTGAGGCTTCCATTTTCTTCAGCCTTTTTATTTCAAGCTTCATTGTTTCATTTGATATCATCAGTTCATTGATCATAATATCTGCTTCCTTTATGATATCCTGAGCCTCTTCGAACTTAGGAAGAATGCAAGAGACCTCAGCAGTTTTCTGATCTGCAACTAACTTTGCATCATCAAATTCTATTTCCATTAGCTGCGAGGGAAAAAAACCAAAGAAGTTGATAAAGTTGTTCAATGCCAAGATATACGCACAAGTGAGTTAGAAATAAATTTACAATTACGTACAACACAGGGAAACATAAGAGGATTTATAAAAAAAAGAAAACATAAGAGGATGGAAAAGGACAATGGATTCAGGTATGAGCAGATATTATCATTATCTCAGAAGGTTGCTTTTGGTTTTTCTGGGTACACACAGATAAGCGGAAGTCTTGTCAGACAGTAGGGTGTAGCTCAACCAAGAAACAAAAATGAATTGAATTTGAAAATACAATGGTTTACCTCTTTTGTTTGGCACCAGTGAGAGCCAGCTTCCTGCAAAATCCGTTGAAATGCTTCCAGTCTATGATTGTGAGCTTCCAACTTCACTTTTGATTGCCTTTCTAAGTTATTCATGGTTGATTGCAGATTAAGGACCTGAGTTATGAGATATTTCATGCTTTCCTGACTCTGTTGCTCGGACTTGCACATCGCTTTGTTCTCTTCACGTAGTTTGTCCATCTCAGCCTGTACCTCTTTTAAGCTATCAAGGGCAGCTTCTATTTCCTTTTTCAGAAGAATAATGGTAACATCTCTACCACTCACTTCCTTGGAAGGTCTGTCAGACTTCAAATTTTCCCAAGTGCATATATTAGCGCTAATACTCTTCCCGGCTTCAAGAGAACACTCAGATAAATCATCTCTTCGGTCTTCAACAAACTGTTTGTTTCCATTCTGGTCTATAATTGTTCCCGTAGCTATCTGCAACAATATTTAGGCATAGCAATTACAAAACAGAACACTCTTCAAAGAATTCCTCTACAACATAGACGTGAACCTCAAGATCAAGCTATCAGGAAGCAAAACATTAACTTACCCATCCACCTCCTTCTCCTTTGGAAGTCTTACAAGATACTTGTGAATTCTTCGTTTCAGAACTTGTATGATGCTCCGCATGTGTGTTCATGCATGACCTGAGTGTGGATACACCAGTTTTTAGCTCAGCTAGTTTCTCCTTGTCATCAAAATGTTTTTCTCTTCAACATCTTCAAGCTTCTGTTCTATAGTGCAAGCACGTTGCCGCTCCTCAGAAAGCTCCTGCCTTAGATTGGTGCAGGTTCTCTCCCACTCTTCAACTTCCCCACTTAGAGACTGAATTTTTTTCTCTCCTTCTGCTATCACAGTTGCCTGATCATTGAGAATGGCAACCTTCATCGAGATCAAGTCTTCTGATTCACTAAGCTGAATATTCTTATGCTTTAAAGCGTCTTCATAATCAAGTTTCATCTCTTCTAACCTGTTCACAACAACGAAAGCACCTGTTGCACAAACTGATGTTTTTCTTATCTGATCTTCAAGCAGCTTTACTCTATTCTCCAGCTTTTCCACTTTAGATGTCTTTGCATTCAACTGCGTTGTAATCATGACCATTTCTGTCTCCTTTTCACGACATTCCTGCTCATGTGCTTCAGTAATAACTAGTGCCGCTCCTCTCAAAGACTTCAGCATGCACTCCACATCACTTTTCTTGTTGTTTGCATCCTCTAGACACTTCCTCAATTCTTCAATCAAAAATTCCTTTTCACAGATGGTTTGTACAATTCTTCCAACTTGTTGCGAAATCCAAATCCTTTTCTGCGGAAAGGAATGGGATATAAGGTCAAGTTGATCAGAGGCACCATCTAGTACCTCACACCCATCAGAAAGAACTTCTTCAATCTCACTGGACAATAATGCCCATTCTTCTGATAATGTTCTTGCTTCCCCAACTTTCTCCTCAAGCTCTTTACCTAACCTTTCATTATCTTTGTTCAACATGTACAACTTTTCTCGCACATCCTTCAGTTCAGCTTCCAGAATCATTACATTTTTGTTCATCTCCAATTCTTTCAAATGGCTATCATGAATTTGCTGCTGAAGCATGCCAAGTTCTTCCTGCATACAGACAATCACCTCAGCAGTTTCAGCCTCAGCCTGCCTGCGGACTTCATCCATTTCTTCTTCATTTGACACTTGAAATGCACGATCACTTTGGTACCACGTATTCAGTCTCTTTGCTTTTTCAAGGGAATCTTGCATCCTTTTCAAATTTCCCTGTAATGGCGAGTCATGATTGTTTGAGCAGTTCAAAGGTGATAAGTCTCTAAACTCCTTAAAATTACGTTGTTCCTTCAGAGCCCTCAATTCAAGCTCCTGTTCACTCAAAAGCTGCACATAATGATTGTTACTATTCCTCATATCCTCAAGCTCATTGATTGATAGAATTTGCTGAGACTCGAGAGCTTCAATAATAGACTTAGCCTCTTGCAATTTGCTGTTTGCATCATCATGTTGTTTGCTTATCAGAAAAAGTTCTTCATTTGCCAGCTGAAGATCTCTATTTAAGAAAAACACCCTTTCCTCTTGAGTAGTCCTCTCTTCTTTAAGAATGATATTCAGTATATCCAATTCTAGCTGTAAATTCAAAATCTCTTCCGCATGTTTTCTTAGAGGGTCATCCTTCCGTTCTATCTCCTCAATTTGAACCGCATTGTGCACCTGAATTCGAAAGGTAGATTTAGTGAATCCTGAAAGTAATATCTACTGCTTCCCTGTAAACCTTGTACATAGAATACAAGAATCTAAAGCATGCCTATGCACCCAACAGAAGATGCAAAGCAAACACACACGTGTCACATAAGCCTGAATAGACAATCTACAGTGGCGGCCATAAAGAATTGTAAAACTAGGCCACAGGATTCATTACACTAAGGCTCTATTGGATTCTACCATAAAACAATTTACTGGCGGCCATAAAACAAATTCTCATTTTAAAGACAGAAATACCTCCAAAGCTACACCGCCATGTTGATCAAGGGGCTTGAGATTGTTCAGCATTGTGCGCAGATCATCAATTTCCCTGCAACATATGGGAAAGAACAAAACCACATGAGTATATTACTTTAAGAATAAGGATTCCAATATAAAGGCAGAAACTAAGTGTACCAATGACCCCATGTATTGATAAAACAGGAGGACAAAATTTTCTAACCTGCTGAGTTTTGCATTATCCTCCATACAATTATTTAAGTTCCGCCTGCATTCCTCTAACTCATGGAGAGTATTCTTTAACTGAAACCATGAAACCAAATATGTTAATATGAGTAAAATAATGAAGCGGCTATTTAGAGACATGAGTAAGTTCTACCTCTGAATTGAGGGAATCATTCTCTTTGTTCGTGCACATGGTTTCCTGTTTCAATAAAAGACATATAATTAGCGAAAAAAGGTAACACACAAACATAAGTATATTAATTATAGCTAGCCCTGGATTTGGCTCCCGGGGAAGCTTGAGGTAAGGAAAATGCTTGAGGAAGCCACAAAGAGAAATCCACTCTCATTTTCCTTTCATTGACACCATATATTCTGAAATGAATGAAACTTAAAATATAAAGAATTACCAAATAGAATTATAGTAACCAACCTGAGGTTTCATACTAAAATTTGGAATGCTAGGGTTCTTAGAGTGTCCATCAAGAAATTGAAGCAACTGAAAACAAAAATTGTATTTAATTTGTTATAACAGCCGTAAACAACAGCTAAAATGGGGATTAAAAAAACATATTTTTGTTATTTCTTTAAGTACCTGATCTCGCAGTTTAGATACCTCATCTAAGAGTATCTCTCTCTCCCCTTCTTCATAAAAATCTTGAAACCTGTGAATGCCACAGTGAAGAGATTAGTTTAATGGATAGGAGAGTTCTTAAATTGATTGATTTTGAAAAAAACTACCTTCTAAGTTGGTCCAAAAGCCTTATATTCTCCAATGCAAAGCGAGTTACTTCGGGATTCTTATCAAGTTTTGCTTGAAGTAGCAGAATCTGTTCAGAGAGTGTTTTGTTCTCCTCCAGTAAGTAAGTCTCCACAGGAATAGAACCACTAATAAGTGACTCCATTTTCTGAATTTTGTCTTCCCGAAACCGAAGCATCATTTTAGTGCACCTGGTGTCTTCCTCTCTTTGACGAACCTGAGAGTAATGAATGCTAAGGAGTTAAGCCACAATCTCCAAATGGAAAAATAATAAAGAAAGAATGCACAAAGACCCCTAAAAATACCAAACGGTTCAACTGCTCTTTTTCAGCTTCAAGTTGCTTGATGGTAGTTTCTGCCATCTGCTCCCTTCTCAAGGCACCCGCAAGTGTTGTCTCCAAAGATTTTAACTGATTCACCGTAATATTCAGCCAATGCAATGATTCCAAAAACAAGGAAAATCTAGTGACATGGTTCATGGTAAACCCAAGAATAGTACAGCAGTCCCACAACTAAAAATAGAAAGGTGTAATCTAACAGTGATTAAGTGTTTTTCTTATGTTGCTTGGGATGCTTTTATATGAGACATTCCTAATATATGTGCACCCTGTAATGTCATTAACATGAACAACCAGCTATTTAGCATGTTTAGCATGATGCTAAAGAAGAAACAGTCATAGAGACACACATAGATTTATTCACTTGTTTAGGTATTTAGTTGATCAGTTTCTAGACAACATAGAAGCTAGCTAAGCAACCATACCTGTTTGGTGGAAAGTCTCACAGTTCCTTTTGATCCATTTTCCAGAAAATCATCATCACACTCGAGGTCCATTTCACATACATTTCCATTACAATCAATTTTTCGTACTTGTGTGTCTTCAATATTGGTCGAACCAAACGATAAAGATCGGGAGACATTGTGACGCTTAAGAATGAAAAGCTCCTCCTATTCCAGAAAGCACACCATTTGAACTATTAATTATTTGATATATGAGAACATAAAAGAACAAAGATAATCAGTACTACCTTTAAAAGTCGTATTTGGTGTTGTAGGGCAATGACATCGCCTGTAGCATCTTCATTCACCACAGCCTGCGCAATGACAAAGAAAGAAATATATTGGTCAATGAATTGACTGATGCTTAATAATTTAAAAAACACTAGTTACAGTATGAAGCTTACATTGTTTTGAATAAGCTTTGCTCGCTGAGCAAACTTAAGGGTATTCAGTGTTTCAGCTTGACAACTGTAACCAATAGACCAAATATTAGTAAAATTTACAAAAAAAAGGTTCATCAAAGTTTTGTCACGAAGTGTATAAATTCAAATGATTTTAGAATAAAATAGAAGAGAAAACAAACCAGATAGAAGGGCTGACATTTGCAATGATCATTGTTTTGGAGTTTCCACCGAGTGAGTCCTGCATTTATGTGGTACCAAGAGTAACATTCTGTCTAAGAAATTTACAGTTGATTAAGGAAGAGAAGATGGAATTACAAATAACCTGTAGAAGGAAGGTTAGCCTAGAGTCTCTATACGGTACATGTTTCAGCTTCCCATGTGCCATATCCACTAGAACCATTATAACATGACTGCAAATGAAATAACACCCATTAACATTACGAAGGGCTAGAACAAGAAACACATGAATACGCATAGGAGAACCAAGATAGGAATTAAAAAAACATACCCCAGTGCAGATAGTGATTTATTAATATTAGCAGCTTCCTTTAACCGTTCACCCTCAGCACCAGAATCTTTCTGCCTAAAAAAAACAATTGGGTCAGGAGTTATTGACATGCAAATATATATATAATTATATATACAACAAGCTTGGGTCTGACAACATACCTTTCTGAACCAGCCAGATCAACTAGGTTCAGTCTAGCAAAACGTAGATTAGCTGTGGAATCTTTTTCCCATCTACTCTCAATTACACAAGTAAAGACACTGTGTGAACGACTGCTTTCTCTATTCATGTTTGTTGCAGCAACTTTCCTATTTGAAGAACCCTATGTGCAACAAATTACAGTTTAATTCAGTCACATGCCTGCATGTGTGCATTATGCAGAAAGAGAATCGTGTGCCTACAACTGAGAAGGATTATGATCAATGAGTGGAAACCTGGATTAGAAGCCTCAGGATATCGCTCACGGTACAAACTTCAAATTCAGAGAGATTTTCTACATAAACACCCTTCTTAACATCCTCCCGCAGCTTAAAACAAAAGGTAAATGATAACATAATGAGAAATACTTCAAGATAATCAAACGTCATGCATTTGTAAAAGAATCAACTTACAAGTAAATTGGTAGATGATGGATCAAGGAGATCCGTAATTTGTTCATTGTAAATCTCTAAGAAAGAGCACTTGCAATTGTATTTTAATTTCTCATCCCTCCGGATTTCCTCTTCCTGAATATACAAAGATGAAGTAAAAATCATATAGTGAAAAACTTCTATGTACTCACGTATAATCAAAGAGATAAAGTACAAAAAAGTTTTAAAGAAAACTTACAGCTTGAATCCTTGCAAATAAAAATTCGAAAATGCGGGGCGTCATTCCACGGTGTGGACTGGGCTTGGTTTCTAAGTCTTCAATCTCCCCAAGCATTGTATATGTCTTTCCACTTCCTGTCTGCAAGACCAAATCCCAAACATTATAAACACGTTGGAATAATACAAAACTACCATATGCTTAAACTGTTTCAATTAAATAAATATAATTTTTCAGTTATGAGAAGTATACAACATGCTATTGCATACGCATCCATTTTATCTACGCCTTCATGGTTTGCAAATTTCTGCCATATGATGCATGCTATTTTGACCATGTGAAGCAATAATAGGAATGACATACTAGACAGAATAAATGCATAGAGAAATTGGATTGTACAAATAGGACTAGGTAGGCATCAAAGATATCTCTGCCTCCATCTAGTAGCATGACATAAAATTCAAGGCGCTAGATGAGAAATTTAAGCCATCTTACTTTCCCTAATACAATATTTTGCATAGCTCTGCTAGGTAATAGTAAGTCGAGTTTAACCAGTGCTCATGTAAATTGATGATAAGAATGAGGACCAAATGCAGCAGAGCATAAGTGTGACTTTCATGGTTGCATTAACCTCACATTACTAACGGTTCACTCTGTTCCTGGTTAAACAGTACCCAACTCAATGAGATTACCTGACCGTAGGCAAACATACAACTATTATACCCTGACAAGCAATTCTCTACCATCGGGAGACCAGCCATCCTGAAAAGCATTTCCTGCAAAACTCACAAATTTAAAAACCACATGTACCTAGCACAAATGAGTAGAAGCTTAAGAAAAAAAAATATAGTATATCAGAATATAATCTTGTCCCGAATCACACCTGATCAACTGTTTCACAGGCTACATGATCAAATGTGAACCGACTTTCTGGTTGCCCAATCCAAGAAATTGTCTGAGCACTTTCTTGCTTCAAACACCTACTGTAACCATGCATACTCCGCTCCATGCTATTGAGAGGACGGACACGAATAAGAACCTAAATCAAATTTACAATCTCATTAGCATAACTTGCAATATACTACAGAAAGTTTGCAAATTTTATTGGCCCAATCCATTTCCTTCAATCATAAAAATAGAAAAATAGAATGAACATAAAAACTCTAGAAACCATTAAACGAAAAATCCACTATTGCTCATTTGTAACATATTGTTGACTTTTACTTGAATACAAAATAAGCTCAATCGTGAAACAATAAATGTATGTCCAAATTGGATTACAAACTGAGCTTTTTACCTGCACATTGTGATCCATCCAGAAAGAGGGATCTTCCTTGAGATCAAAGTGAGGCACTTCCACTGTATTAACCACCGTAGATGGACCACAAGAAATGGGAATCCCTTTATACATTGCGGCATAGTTCCCTCCTCGAGGACCAACACTTCCATCAACTTTATTCCGAAAACCCGAATTCGGAGGCTTTGAAACACTCTTGGTCGGTGTTGTCTGCGTTGAATTACTCTCCGAATAACTCGAAACAGCCCTCCCAGCTGTCCTCATTACCCGAGGAGTCACATTTGCCAAACCCCCATTTCCAGTACCACCACCTCCTCTGCTCACTTGGGTCGAACAATTAGCCCCATCTTCATGCGAATCACCGGTGGTCATACAACTGGGTTCAGTCTTCTGGGCCCAGCCAAATCGTTTCCGGGTAGAAAACCCAGGTCCGTGCTTGTCGGGGGTCCGAAGAGGCAACGTGGGATCAGAAGTTTTAGCCTTGGAAGCCTTAGTTGGTGTCTTTTCAACCCTGCTCCGAATACCCACTTCTTGTTCTGGCTTGGGAAGCTGACCGAGCTCTTGAATCGGGTTAAATGGAGCTCTAGACGACTCGGAGCTGATTCGGATCGCCGATAAGTCCTTTGGGTTCATCGGCGGCACGTTCTCGGGCTCTTCTTTCTTTTGGGAATTTGAGCGGAGGAATTTGAAATCCCTCAACATCCTGATGTGCAGAAATTCAAGAAAGACAAGGAAATGGGAATATCAGAGAAACATATTTACATATTTTTGGATTTATTAGTGAAAATTATGTAAATACGTACCTGAAAGAAGAATTGAAAAACAAAATATGAAGCTGTCGAATTGCTATTATTGATTTTGCTGACGAATCTCTGGAAGTGGGTCTTGACTCAATAGCTCATCTCTTCCTTTTGTGTTGCTGGTTTTGAGCTCGAGCATCTCTCTCTCTCTCTCTCTCTCTCTCTCTCTCACTGTGGAAGTTCAAAGTTGTTCGGGGTTTTGAACAGAGCTCTGAAAGCTAAAAGGTTAAAGGACTTGAAGGGACGGTTGAGATGTAATCTTAAATTTGAAATTGCGCATCCTGCAAATGAAGTCGCGGTTTTGGGATTTGAATTACGAGGGCTTTTTGGTCAAAAAAGGAAATATGAGGGATATATTAATTATGACTGTAAATTCAAATTTCAACGGCTACATGCCACATGCCCTATAACTATGAGATTCGAATTCAAACAGCCCTGGTGTTATTTTGTTCTGCTTTTTATATTTCTCACCATTCAAACTAAGGTCATCTCCAGTTATAGGGCTAAATATAGTCCAAGGTTAAAAATTTATCTCTTCAAAATATTAATTGTTTAAAAAATAATGTAGGGCTAAATTTTTCCATCTCCAGTCATGCATGGCTATATTTTAGGGTCATTCATATTTTATTATTTTGAGAAAAACTATAATACAACACATACATTCCACAACTATGTATTGTTTAATTTAATTAAACTACTATTTATAGAAAATATTCCATGACTAGGAATTTTTTATAATTTTTTTAAACAACACTTAAAACATTTGAAAATGTGACTATATATATTTTTTTTAAAAGGATGGGTTTCAATGGTTTGACATCCAATGGTCATGACCAATAATTTTTTATAATTTTTTTATGAATTGAAAACATTTAAAAAGGCTTTTAAATATATATATATATATATATATCCAGCTGACATCATCAATGAAAAGTACATGCATGGAGCCCACAAAAAATTTGGCCCAGGAATAGACCAAAGCTGGGCTAAATATGGCCCGGTTGGAGGGTCGAAGGGCCAAATGTGGCCCTCCAAATATGGCCAAAATTTTGTTTAGCCCATGATTGGATATGGGTTTTGCATTATTTTAGGGTTATATTTGGGATATAACCCATGGTTCGAGATGGCCTAAAACTATGAAAAATATAAGGCAATCAAACTCTTGATTTCCTGATATTTCTCTTTATAATTTCAGAGGATTTTTAAGTTCAAATCTCCTTTCACGTTAATATATTAAGGGCTCGTTTGAGAGTGATTTTAGATATTCCAAAATCATTTTTGGAGAGAAGCATTAGTGATTTTACGTGATTCTAGAGAGAATATGTGTATCTCCATAAAATCACTTAAAACCACATGAGCTTGTTTAGGATTGCTTCTCTAGAAAGCATTTATGCTTATAAGCGCTTCTAGCAAAAATGCTTTTATTGTAAAGATGTTGAAATCTTCATAAGAAATCCAAGTGCTTCGTGGAAAGCACTTGGGAGTGTTTCCTGGAAAAGCACTTGGCAATGCTTCTTGGAAAAAACACATGCTAGAAAGCGCTTCTATAAGCCAAATGCGCATTTGGTTGTCATAAAACACTTTTAGCTCTTTCAGAAGCATGCCCAAACAAACCTGTACAGTGATTATATGGAGAAGTGATTCTCATGTGCACAAATTCAAACTCTTTGGTTTATCTAGAATGTTGAAAAATCATAATTGACTAAATAAAACTAAAACGAAAATATGAATAATCCTTGAAAGAAAGCCTAAAATAATTATGATGCTTATATTAGGGCCCAACTTTTGGAGGGCCCCAAAATTTTGTTTCACCATATATATTATTTATTATTATGTCATATATTTGTTTTAATTTAGGGTTAGTTTTGTATTGTTGTGCTGTAAAAATAATCATTATCAGATTTACTATGAGAGAAATCAAAAAAAAAAAAAAAAAAAAAAAAAAAATGTGGTTGTGGTAAACTTTTTATTTGAAGTGTCGTTGGTACAATAATAATAGGGTAACTTTTTGTGAGTGTCTGGTAACTTTTTGTGTAAAAGTGTTGTGAGCTGTATATAATGACTAAAAATGATATCATGCTGAAATGACATTTCTATTCAAGTATTTGGTAAAAAAGAAAAGCATTTTCATTTTCATTTGCTAGTTCTCCTAAAAAATCAGTAATTAAAATCCATTGGTTGACCAACGCACTCTGAGATTCAAGTTTGCCCTCTTGGGTTGAGCCTCACCAATTATAACCTTTATCTGCATACATGAAAATATTTCTAGTAAACATTACAAATCCTGCTTTAACATGCCAATCATTCAAATTCGAATACATCACACAAAATTGGAACTAGAAAATGTGGACAAAAATCTAGCAAGATCAACTAAACACTAGACTTGGTTAAAGAAATTTATAATCATGATCACAAACCATGCTCTGTCATCCCAATCATCCATATTTGAATACATTACAAATAACAGCATGGACAGGCAATTGGAACCCATCTATACTGTTCATTCAAAAACAAACATATATATATATATATATATGTATATATGCCAATGCATTCTAACTGCCAGATTTGCAAATATCACAAGTGAAGAAAGGAAATCAAGTGCAGGCTGAAGGTCGTCGTTAAGTGCAGGCTAACTTTATTAAGAAGAGATAAAAACAAAGAAAAACGAATTGAGTTTATGGATTGAAAGAAGTTGCAAGATTCAGGTTGTGTTTATAGCTATCAAATGCAATGGCATGGTCTATCACAAGATGCAAAACAAAAGAACCAAAATACAATTTAATTACTTATTTGGTTGATTGAAACAAACAAGCTAGGGATCATTGATGCAGGCTCATAAATTCTTAAAAAGAAAAACGCAATTGATTAATTTCATGGTTTATCAGTTTGATTTGTACAATAAACCCATATTATATATCGAGCAGCTTCTCTAACCCTAACTGAGAAGAAAGAAATTGACAAGAAAAATAAACCTAATATGTCTCTCACCTGAATCTTACGGATTCTAGAGAGTGCTTTAATCAATCCAACAACAAAAATTGAGGAACGTGGAAGAGAGGGCGTAAAGACGACGGATGGGAAGGAGAAGAGAGACGAGAGCATGAAAAAAAGGACGGGGTTATTTATGAAATTTTGAAAGTTTCATTAAACTCAACGCCTCTTCAAAATTGATTCCCGCATAATAATAAATAAATAAATAAAACAGCTCATCACCTGCTTTCCCTAATTGCTTTCTCTCATAGTAATTATTCAAAATAAGGGATTTTATTATCTCTTACCAAATAGGTTGGGCTTTCAAAAATGTCAAAATAATCACTTATAGCCTCAAATAAGCAATATATCCACCTAAAAAAAATTATATCCACCACTTTGTTTAAGTTGATTCCACATAAATATTAATATATTAAAATGACATCTAATAGGAGCTCTTGATTAATAACCTAGCAGTCATAGGTTTATTGTCTTTTTGTTTTTGCTTTATTTTAATTAGTAATTTGATGGATCACGGGGTTTTGATTTTATGCTCCTTGTTGAATAATTTGTTTAACATTCCAATATATATGCTCCCTGTTTTTTAGTATTTTTGTTGAAGACTTTGTTTTAGGAGGCTCATATTACTCAATTTGTATACATATATAAAGAGTTTCAATCGAGTGTTCTCTTAAATAAGATAATTTGAGGGACATTGTTATAAGGCCATTCAGCATTGTGCGGTAATAATATGAACCATCTACTTTTTATGTATTACCTCAAAGATCATCTTTACAAACACTCAAATTTGTAACTATCTAATCACTCAATTAAATAGTTGTCATTCTGATGTTTTTTTGAAGTAATTTCTAATTTTTTTTATTTTTATTTTAAATAATCTTTAAATAATGACTTAAAAAAATAAACCGTTCAAATTATTAATGCACACTGCGTAGTAAACCCCACAATGCGTCCTTCAAATCTTAAAGAATTCCCTCTATATGTTAACGATAACGGCATCAACAGCAACTCTTAAAAGCACTAACGTTGAGAGGGTATGGACAATATCAAATTATCAATGCATGTTACTACTCTTGACATGTGGATGACTCCAAATGAAGATGAGTTGGCACGTACATCAACGGCTATCACTGCTCTTAATGTTATAAAAGGGGGCTATTGCTGTAATCGCACTAGTGTAATGCTTTATGTTTACCGACGTTTTGGTTGATTGAAAACAAACAAGCTAGGGATCATTAATGCAGGCTCATAAATTCTTAAAAAGAAAAACGCAATTGATTAGTTTCATGGTTTATCAGTTTGATTTGTACAATAAACCCATTATATATTGAGAAGCTTCTCCAACCCTAACTGAGAAGAAAGAAATTGACAAGAAAAATAAACCTAATATGTCTCTTACCTGAATCTTACAGCTTCTAGAGAGTACTTTATGTTAAATTTCAGAGAGACGGGTCACCACATAGTGTGCAATTAGTAGTGGAACCATTCCCCTCACGTGGGACCTCCACATAGTGTGCCACACATGGAGCCAAGTCCACAATGGAGTCAAACATTCAAGCCCAACACGTGAACACCACATATTATGTAAGGGATAAGGGTAAATATTCAAGCCAAACATGCGAACACCAAATGTTGGGTAAGAAGTAAGGGTAAAGGACCAGTAATTCAGACATAGACAATAAACTCGCTCTGATACCATGTTAAATTTTAGAGAGATGGGCCCCACTATTAGCAACACCGATATTATCCCCAACTTAACCACCTACAAAGCCCAATAGGCTTATGGTTTTATCATAAAAAGTCTCGGTACAATTAGTAGTGGAACCATTCATTATATGTTATATTTTATTTTGTTAAGTTTCCGATGTGAGACTTTATTCTTCAACACTTTAATCGATCCAACAATAAAAAATTGAAGAAGGAATGGAAGAGAAGGAGAAGAGTGATAGCTTTGGACTGAGGAACATGGAAGATAGGGCGTAAAGACGAACAATGGGAAGGAGAATAGAGACAAGAAAAAAGACGGGGTTATTTATGGAATTTTGGAAGTTTCATTAAACCCAATGTCCCTTCAAAATTGATTTCCCTGTAATTAAAAAATGAAAGCAGCTCATTCCATCCTTTTCCTAATTGCTTTATCTCACAACAATTATTCAAAATTATAAGTGATTTTATTATCTCTTCCCAAACAGGTTGGGCTTTCAAAAATTTCAAAATAATCACTTATAACCCCAAATAAGCAATGTCAAACGGACACTTAATATATGATATATCCACCACTTCATTTAAGTTGATTCCACATAAATATTAACATATTAAAATTACATATAATAGGAGCTCTTGATTAATAACCTAGCAGATCATAGGTTTATTGTCTTTTTGTTTTTGCTTTATTTTAATTAGTAATTTGATGAATCCTTTATATATGCTCCCTTTTTTTAAGTATTTTTGTTGAAGACTTTGTTTTAGGAGGCCCATATTACTCAATATGTACATATATAGAGAGAGTTTCAATCGAGTATTCCCTTAAATAAGATAATTTGAGGGACTTTGTTATAAGGCCATTCGGCATTGTGCCGTAATAATTTGAACCATTTACTTTTTACGTATTACCTGAAAGATCATCTCTAGAAACACTCGAATTCATAACTATTTAATCAATCAATTAAATTAGTTGTCATTTTGGTGTTATTTTTTTGAAATACCGTGTTCGTCTATTTTGTGTAATTAATTTTTTTTTTTTTTTTTTTTTTTTTTTTTTTTTTTTTTTTTTTTGTAAAAATAAATAATTACTTAAAAAAATTAAAAAATTAAAATTAACTAATGCACACTGCATAGTGAACCCACAATGTGTCCTTCAAATCTTAAAGAAATTCCCTTTATATGTTAAGGATAATGCTATCAACAGTAACTCTCAAAAGCATGAAACGTCGACAGGTATGGACAATATCAATGCATGTTACTCTCTCGACATGTGGATGACTCCAAACCACTGATGAAGATGAGTTGGCACATACATCAACGGCTATCACTGCTCTTAATGTTATAAAAGGGGGCTAGTGCTGTAATAGCACTAACGTTTTGTTAGTTACATTGTGCTACTACCACCTAACCTTACCATATATAGTCTCACATTATTGGCTTCGAAGATGCCGTATTTGCCTATTCTTAGATGCTTTCATCTTCATCCTCTTGCAGACGTCTTGGACCCACATCATTATCATATTTGACATTTACAGAATCTTAGCGGATAAGAATGACGTTCGGCTTGGCTTAATAAGAGTACTTCTTGTGGGTTCACTAGGATTATATACATTCACAGAGAGGAGAGAGAGAGAGGAGAGAGAGAGAGAGAGAGATGCTGGTGTCCCTTGGCATCCTCCAAAAGCCATATTAAGGTATTAAGGTAAGTACCAACTTCAAACTACTATATATTTTTCTGTTTTCACTCCTAACAAAATTTTCTGAGAACTTTCTTAGCATCTAATGCTGTAAATAAACTCCGAACTCGTATAATTCCTTGAAAATTACATATTAAGCCATTCGGAATTAAATATTAAGTTTAGTGGCACCTTTTTTTTTCTCTTTTTTTTAATAAATATTCTGAAGATATCCCAAATCCGAATCCCCAGTAAACTAGATATTATCCATTAATTGATCTACGCGTTTTGCTGTTCATGTTAATTTTGTAGTATATTAATGCAAGGGACTTGTTAATGAGTATGGATAAGGAAGAGGGATAAGGGGAGAAGATAGAGGAGGAAGAAGAAAAAGACACAAAAATAATCTTCAAGCTCAAGCGACAGCTAGCCATGGTGATCCAGAGGCTGGAAATGTGTATAGAGCTGCTGAAACTGGCCCTGGAGTTCGTCCTCGTTGTAGCTCAAGCAGTGGAGATAGCCCTTCAGCACAACATGTCTCCATTCACCAGCTATTCAGCTTATAGCAGTGTTCCAGTTCATTTTGTTGGTTTTCTTCCTTAAGTTATATTCATCATTTTCATATCTCTCGTGTAAAGCTTCAGGTTGGTACAAATTAATTGCACTTTTTTAAGAGCTTAATTTCCTTTTTCCAGTAGAGATTTGTAGCTTTATTCATTTGTGAGAAAAATCTACCCATATATATGCTCGTGAATTTGGGAGCACCTCCGCTCTAATCATCCTGATTAAGTTCATGCCTGTTGCATTTTTGCTAATAGAAAACAGCTCATAAGGCATTGTTCTATATTTGTGCTTTTTGAGGGGAAAAAAACACTCAAGAGTTTTTGTTGTTTATTAATGGCAATGATGCTTACCTTTGTTTATAAGACAAGAGTTTGTAATATGTGGCAAACTTTATAGAGCACAAAAATAGATCGTTTGTGCTTCTGTTCTGAAAAGCTAATTAGGGTTTGGGATATTTCAGCTACTTTTTTAGTTGTTGTCCCTAATTTGATTTCATTGAATATTTTAAAACCCGCCAACCATGTGTACTATAATTGGAATTGTTTAAGAGGAGGGTCTTTATCAAATCAAAAATATCTTGTCGTGTTATTGAGGGATAACTTGTAAAGTTCACTGTGAATTTTAATTATGCAATTCAAACCGTCTATTATTTATAAATTATCTTTTCAAAAAGTTAGACAAATTGAAAATCATTAAAACATCTAGATGCGATCAATAAAATAGATGAACACGGTGTTTTTAGAAAAAACTAAAATGACTACTATTGAATAATTGAGTTGCTTGTTACAATGTTTTCGATTCAAGTAATTTTTTACGGAAATTTTCTTCCAATGAATACCTAAAAAATAGATAATTTGGATAACTTGCAAAGTGCGTTCTACAAACGTGTTTATCAAATAAGCATATTTTAGATATTTCTTAATTGAAGTTCTCTAATATATTTTTCTTATGTAGTATACATATATGTAATATCTTAATCAAGAAGGTAGATGGATAGGGCAGGTGTGATTGTACTCATATGTGAAGTCCAGAGCAAATGATGCTAAATTATTTTATTTCTGAAATTAAATATCCTGGATGCATCTACATTATTGATTCCAGACAAATGATGCTGTAGTGTCTGGTTGGATATCTAGAAGACAACAATACATGATGCATATTAGCCTAATAGGAAATCCAATTTCCATGGCTTTTATTTTTACAAAATAACTTAACAATTAGGAATATTTTTCAGAACTTCCTTGGATATGCACCCACAGCTCTAATGGCTTAGAAATCATGACCATGTGATCAGATCCTGTGATTTCCACCACACTGTTCGGCCTGTTCCTCTTAATCATCCACCGTTGGAGATCCTTCTTCATCAACAAATCTCCGCCGGATAAGACGTAAACCCGATTGACCGACCCATATTTCTCATGGGTTAGCTTGAGTTCTTTGGACAGGTCCTCTTCACTAAACAAGCGTTGAGGTCTCATTAACATGGTGCCTAGTGCTACATCCTGCACCAAATTATGATCCGTTTAATATGGACGGTCGGATTTTGTTGGTTGATGATGATCCGACGGTTAGATTTCACTTACCTCAGTTGGGCTGAGTTGGTACACATTTGATGCCAAGAACAATGGGCCGAATATGAGAGTGATTGGAGGATTGTTTGGGCCTTGGTCATATGTGTATTTGCTGTCTAATAGAGATCCTTGTCTTCTGAACGACTTTATAATTCCAATTAGAAGAGATAAATAAATCAAAGAAAAAAAGATATAATCAGCATAAAAGGACAAGGAACTTCCCATAATAATTCAAAGATATAATATATATATATATATATTTAAAATTATGTGCATATAAAAGAAAAATACTGGAAGCACATTATGTGAATTACACATGCGTCTTATGAGTGTTTCTTTACGAAGTGCTTAAAGTGATTATGTGATTTCTTATAAAGTACTTTTGTTCATTTCTGCAAGTTAATAAAAGAAAAAACACTTTTAGTTATCTCAAAGGATTTTTCAACAACGTAAGTTAATGAAAGTAATACGTACCTCTTGATTAAGAGTGGAGATGTTGAGGGTAGGGCCAGGCATTAAGGCAGTGACGAAAACAGCTAGAGATATCTTATATGGAAATCTTTCCATGGCATAAGAAATGGCCAACCCACCAAGACTGTGACCAACAAGGATGACCTTATCATGTGGAGGACCAAGAGCTGCCATGAAATCCGTCAAGGGCTTGAAGTAGTCAGAAATTGATTGCAGATCTTTTGCCTGCTGAGGGTCAACCCCAGAAGCAGCTAGGTCTAGGGCAGTGACATTGTGACCAGATGACTTCATTAAGGTCACAAGCTTGTACCATGACCAAGCACCAAAGCAGGAACCATGAACCAGTACAAAGTGCTTCTTGCTAGGGTTGGTAGGCTCTGATTCTGTTATATTTGCTGCACAGAGAAGAATGATCAGCAAAGTAGAGATTGATTTGATCAAAATTTTCTTTCTTTGATCCATGTGTTTATGTTTCTGGTCTGGTCACCCCAATTTGATTGGGAAATATATATTCATTGTTTGTATATGTCTTCATATTATTTATTGGATTCAAAAGTACTGAAAGGCTTTCTGGCTTTGCTTGTTTGACCATTTTTTTTCCTTTCATTGAATTTTGACTTCAATTTAAAATTGGATCTCTAAAGACTTAGAGGTTAGTTCTTCAATAAACAAGCATTTTGGTCTCTTACTATCAAGGTTGTTGATGCCAAATGCTTTGACAATCGAAACGATGGCGAGCAAATTTTCAAATGTTGAATATTTGTAGAATCATTGTAGTTGAATGGTTTGATGCTCGAGCATGATATTTTTGTTTTCATTCATTCTTAGAATACGGGATAGTGCACATAACAACAAATTAAATACTGCTATTGAGATTCAAAGTTTTGAAACTTGCTTTCATGCTTGTAATACTATTCAATTGAGTTAAATCCTTGATCAATTTTGTTCAAGTGACAATGTTATGTATGAAAAAACCTTGGACACCAAAAAAAAAACAACATTGGATCTAATTACGTGGTCTCTTTATTTGGGCTGAGAAAATCATCTGAGTTAGAGTCTTCTAACTACCCAAACTACCCTTATGGCTTTTTGCAATTTCCACTGGATACCCCTTTCACATTTTACGCGTGAATTTCCTTCTCTACGTTCTTCTTCCATTGAGCTTCTGTTGGTTCTCTCCCCTCGTTCTTCAGTCAGTGGTCTTGTTGGTTGGTGCAGTTCTTCCACAGCCCAGGTAATTTAGTCTAGGGTTTGTTTTTTTGTAGTTTTCAATTTCTTATTCTTTCCCTTTGCTCTTTAATTTCTAGGGTTGAATTTGCTTTTCGTTTTTGTTAAGTTAAATCTTCACACACGTTAAAGAAAATAATCTCCAATCTCCAACAAGTATTATTGATTTATATATGTGCTTTCTTTGTTTGTTTTTTTCTTGATGTTTTGGTTTATTTTGTGATTACTGGGAGTTTGATGTGCTTGATTTATATTTTTTGCCTGGTTTTTTTTGATTTGTATGCTTTTGCTTTGATTGTTCCTGATTTTTTTGGATTTTTCCCGTTTGTTGGTGATTGCATTGTCAGAACAAATCTATTAAATGTTTGGATTGTGCGAAAGACATTTCATCAAAGCATATGGGTATTTGTAGTTCTATTCTTTAAGTTAGAAAAGCATCCCAGCTCCTGGGAATTTGTTCCCTCCTTCCCAAATTTATGGCACAGGTTGTTGGTTCTGCAATACTGTGGTACTTATGAACTTTCTCTTAAACAGAAACGTAGATGAACCCCATGGACTCGCAGACCCAGAACACCTCGTTGCAGAGGCTTCAAAATGTGGAGAAAGTAAGCAATGAAATACTGAAATGTAATTGCCTTTAGGAACCAACTATATCTATAATAAGAATTTTTTTGCTTGATTGCGCAGAGAATCGTTAAGGTTTTGGAGCTAGCTGGAGGTGTCATGGACGAGCTTGCAAACCCTAGTGGTCCCAGAAAGGAGTTTATCAACAACCATTGCCGCGAGTTCATGCAATTGATCAAGGTCTGTCTTTTGTTTTATTCTGCTAATCAAGGTTGTAGCTAGGTATATCATGTGTTTGTGCATCCATACATATATGTGTTTTTATATAGCTGAAAATTTCTGTAATCTGTAACCGAAAAAAATAAAATTTCTGTAATCGTGGAGCTGTCATGGCATTTGAGATTTGCTAACGGGACCCAAAAATTGAACTCTGCCTGGAAGTAGATTGCAGATTTGACATTTATAATGTTATCAGGGGAACATTTTGGGACGAGGGTTTTGGGGTTCAAGAAAGTTGTGCTTTTAATAGTCTAGAATTGAATTAGGAGTATATTTGATTCAATGGTTTGGCTGCTATATTGAATTTTGGATCAATAATGTAAATTTAACCAAGGACCATAGTACCTAGAGTATATTTGGCAATTTCATTTAAGTATAAAAAAAATTTGTCTAATTTTATTTTGGTATGGAAATATTTTCTGGTGCAAAATGTTTTGGTCTCAGTGAGAAGGTTGGTTAATTGGATGGATTATTCTTTTTGGTAATGAATTTATTCTTACTCTTAAGTTCTTATTTTGGAATATTTGTTTCTTTTGTGAATCAGGATATTCAAGTGGCACTGCGGGATGAAATTAAAAGTGCATGTGATTACCGTCCGTTTGAGAAGTGTGATTACAGTTCAAGAGTAGCTAATGAAATCTGTTGCAAGAAACTGGAATATGTCATGTCACAGTTGGATGCAATGAAAGAAACAATGGATGAATATCATAATGCAGTTTGAAGATCCATGGTAGACAAGTTAAGTCCATTCTCATCAGCATTCCACCTTTTTGGAATATAATGCTTTTGCAAGCATATAGTTTTTAGAATCTGGAAAAGGAGTTATCACTCTGCTTCTGTCATACGATCCTATGTTCATTTTACCAGATTGCGGGAAGGAGAGAGAGAGAAACTGGGATTTTGAAACAAAAATGGGCAGATGTTGTTCTAGATTCCCATTGTCTAGCTTTTAAGGTTCATTCTTAGTAGATGCACATGTTCTAAGAACGTTTTTTTGATTGTATATACTTAACTTGGGCTCTATGTGTCGGTTATTATTAATAGCATTCTTGATAATGTTACCTGAAACTTTCCAGTTCTATAATGAAAACCAAGTATTGATAATATATGTCCTATTACTTGCCTTTGGGACTCTGTTTATGAATGACCACAATTTATATTACATTGAGCAGCAAAGCAACTCCTGTACTTATTTTTGTACCATTTTTCATATATCGATAAAATATTGTGTTTCCTAACAATATAGGGTTAGATTTTCTCACTAGTTGGCTTGTTTTTGTACTCTGTTCTTTTCCTCTTATGGTTTGCGAACTTGAGGTTTCCCAGAGCAGCAATATGGTTGTACTTGATATCCTTCGATTGGATGAAAATAAGCTTATTTAGAACTAAACCAGCACTCAATTGAGATTGGTGAGTAAACACCCCTCAAGTGAAAAAAAACTCTCAGATATGGCGATCTCAAAAGCCAAGTTAGAGAGCACTTGTAAAAGCTTCCATATCCTTTTGTCAAAGCAAGAAAGTATCTTTTTGGTTTTGGCTTTTGTTGATGCTTTAGGCTTGGTGGGAAGGTCACTACATACTATAACTGCTAATGCTGGGTCTGAGTCATCACTAGCCAACCAGTGGGACTATATGTACAAAGCCTTTTGTATGTTTCCCAACATTTGGAATCTTTGTGATGTTACCAAATCACCTGCAAAGTTTGTCCAGTACTATGTTGTAGCTTGTAAGCCACATATTTAATAGAGTTTGTGAGTTGATCCACACTTTATTAGAAATCTGGGATACAATGCGGTAAGTAAATATGGTACATGTAGCATCGTTCAAGTTTGCCTTCGACTATGTAAAAATTTGTAAGAAATCCATGTTAGCCCACAATTATTTTTGTGTACATAGACTAATTATTGTAAAGGATAGCACACGTCTTTCTCTTTTGTGGGGTCATAACTTATTCCGAAACCCTGAAATGATAAAGCTGGATGTTTTCAGCATTGTGTTTCTTGAAATTACTGAGCTTTCTGTGACTCAAAAACTTGCCCAAGCTGTAAGGCTTATATTTTGCAGGGTCTTCTTGTTCATGGGTCAGCTCCTCCAAGGGCTTGACTAGGGTATAGTGTGCTGGGTTGACAAAGTAGGGAATGGAAAACCTTCCCTTCTCTGAATTCACCAACACCCTGTGTTCCACACTCTCATATCTGTCATTGCTCCAAACCTGCATAAAATGGAGAATGAAAGTATAAAAATAAGTAGAGCAGCTAAATGCAATTGTACAAAATGTGAGTGTTAAATCGCTACCCAATAGTAGTAACTGGTACCTTGGTTCTAACAAGTTTTTGAAAAAAAATCTGCACACGAGTACTTAGTATGAAGTTTGAAGAGTGGAACCTGAATAATGTCACCAACATTGATGATATAGGCATTTGGGGTAGGTTTAACTTGAATCCACTCTCCATCTCTCTTCCTCTTCACTTCCAATCCTCCGACCTCATCCTGAGCAAGCACGGTTAAAGCACCGCTATCCTTGTGGCGCCCAACACCGAGAGCTAACTGAGGGGAAGGGCAAGGCGGATAGTAGTTGAGTCTGATAAAACTTGTTTGATCTTTGAAGTAGCTGTTGAACCTGTCTGCTGGCACGCCTAGGCTCAAGGCTATAAGTCCCATCAACTTTAGAGCTAGCTTTTCTACTTCTTCAGTATACTCTTCACTCGCCACCCTGCTCAAAGCATGCAGTGTTTAGTTATTAGATCATATAAGCGATCAAGTTCCAAATTTGTATTTAGCCCTTTAATATGCAAAGGGTCCTTACAGCACAAACAGTTATCTTTTCAATTGAGAGCTAGTGTTCTTTGATTAGCTCCTTAGCATTTTCATTATGAATCACAGGTGTTCTAGATTTCCTTAACCATTTTATTGCTTCTCTGTTTTTTGTTTTCATCTTTGTATAATCATATGATTACCTAAAATAAGCATGTTCTTCTTAGTGATCATTGAGTTACCTTAGTTCTGGAGGATACTCAGGCCACTGGTTAGTCCACTTTGTCTCTTCCTTGTCCTCAGGATCAAGGGAAGCTGGCATTAACATTGGATCCTCCACTGCGAAATCAAACACCTCCTTCCAGTCTCTTACATTCTTGGTGTGCTCAGTGTCATAGTAACCGAACAAACTTTTTTCATCCCTCATGATCTTCCTCTTCTCCTCCAAAGGCTGAGCAAAAAATTTCCTAGCAGCATCCTCGATCTTTTTGCGCTTATCCAATAGCACCCCATGGTTGATCACTTGGAAGAACCCCCACTCTTTGCATGCATTGCCTATTTCTCTAACTACCCCTTCAATGGCTTTAGGGTCAGAAATGTTGTCTGAGGAGTTTAGGGGAGACAGGTCAATCAATGGTATGCCTTCAGCTTTGGGGACGGAAAGTTTGGGCCTGTGCTCAGGGTGTTGGATGAAAGCTGGATCAACCTCTCCCATGGATGGTGAATTTGATTTGGAAGCTAAGCTGCTCAATGGGATTTTGTTATTTGTTTTTGCAAGAAAGCTAATAGAAGAATGGTAGGTTTTTTAATGTGAGTGGTTGAAGTTTTATCTGGATGGGTTCTTGTTAATTAGTAGTTTAAGAATAGTAGGTGCTGCAAGGTTTTGATTTGGAAGGTTGTGACGGTTTGTGGTTACTGTTAGGAATGGTGGATCAAATACAATTGTCCCACGTCAGAAGAGGAACTGTCCATAAATGGATTAATTAAGCGGTAGCTCTTTCTAAATTGTACTGCAATTTAAAAAATTTTAAAATGTGGAATGGGATTGAGATAGATTGTTAGCAGGTCAAAACAGCCGATGTCACAAATTAATCAATACCCAAAGCGTTCTCCTTGTTGAAGCAAAATAAATGTTTGTAGATAATTATATTACTGATCTTAGTGACACATTAACCACACAATGTTTCAGAAGTTACACACAGGTCACTTCTCTATACAACAATGCATTATTTTCTGAATCGATATACAGCACGGTATGCACAGGGAGCTAAAATAACAATAGTAGCACTCAGCAAAACTCCTTGTTATCCAAACTTATTCCGATACCTTGAAATGATAAATCTGGATGTTTTCAGTACTGAGTTTCTTGAAATTACTGAGCTTTCTGTGTGTGATAAACTTGCCCCAGCTGTAGGGCTTATACTTGGCAGGGTTTCGTTCATTGGTCAGCTCCTCCAAGGGCTTGACTTGTGTGTAGTGTGCTGGGCTAAGGAAGAAGGGAATGGAAAACCTTTCCTTCTCTGAGTTCACCATCACCCGATGTTCCACACTCTCATATCTCTCATTGCTCCAAACCTGTATAAACATCTCTTTGTTATGTGCACAACAATATATAGCGTGCATTGACTAATTAACATATCCTGTAAAGTAATTCTAATTGGACAACTGATTTTGTGTCCTTTTAGGTTCTTATGCTGTTAGAAGTGGAAAGCAAGCTTGGCCTGTAACAACTTTCAAAAGTAATCTGAACACAAGTACTTAACCTGAATAACATCACCAACATTGATGATGTAGGCATTTGGGGTAGGTTTCACCCGAATCCACTCCCCGTCTGTTTTTCTCTTCACTTCCAATCCTCCAACATCATCTTGAGCTAGCACGGTTAATGCACCGCCATCCTTGTGGCGCCCAACACCAAGAGCTAACCGAGGGGAAGGGCAAGGTGGATAGTGGTTGAGTCTGATAAAACTTGTTTGGTCTTTGAAGTAGCTGTTGAACCTGTCTTCTGGCAAGCCTAGACTCAAGGCTATAAGTCCCATCAACTTCAGAGCTAGCTTTTCTACTTCTCGAGCATACTCTTCACATGCCGGTCTGGTCAAGGCATGCAGTATAGCTATTAGATCATAATACAAATCAGGTTCCAAAGTTCATGTTTAACACTTCAATTCATAGGGTTCTTAGAGGACAAACAGTTAAGTTTCCAAGTGAGAAAGCTAGCAGTTCTTTACTTGATACACATTACAATTCAAAGGTAATTTTGGAATTACAGGAACATAAAAATTGTAATTGTTGGGCTGCTCAGCCATTTCTTAGATTTAGGTACCTTAGTTCAGGAGGATTCTCAGGCCATTGGTTTATCCACTCTGTCTCTTCTTTGTCCTCAGGATCAGGGGAAGCTGGGACTAATGTAGGCTCCTCCACTACGAAATCAAACACCTCCTTCCAGTCTCTAACATTCTTGGTGTGCTCAGTGTCATAGTAGCCCACCACAATTTTTTCATCCCTCCTAATCTTCCTCTTCTCCTCCAAGGGCTGAGCAAAGAACTTCCTAGCAGCTGTCTCAATCTTTTCGCGCTTATCCAACGCGACTCCATGGTTGATCACTTGGAAGAAACCCCAGTCCTTGCAAGCACTGCCTATTTCTCTAACAAGCCCTTCAATGGCTTTAAGCTCAGAAATGGAATCTGGGGTAGGGATACTATTTATAGGAGAAAGATCAATCAATGGTATGCCTTCAGCTTCAATGATGGAGAGCTTTGGCCTGTGCTCAGGGTCTTGAATGAAAGCTGGATCAACCTCTCCCATGGCTGGTGATTTTTGATTTGGAAGGTATAAGCCACTCTGTGGTTTTAATTTGAACTTTTTGCAAGAAGAGCTAATAGAAGAGTTATAATGGAAGCCTTATCTTGAACCTGTACGGGTGTTGGTCAATTGTTAGGTGGAAGATTATGCCATTGCAGACGTGGATCAAAATAATTGGTACAAATATTGACCTTGACACTAATATATTTCTCTTCCTAGAGAACCCAAAACAAACAATGCCAGAGAGTCCAACCATTCACTCTCTCTTTTTATTTATTTTATCTCAGAGTTACTATCTTTAAAATTTTCAACAAACAGTATTGCAGAAGTGTACTGAGAAAATATATTGCAGATTTTTTGACTTAACCAAGAGATCTTGTGCTGTTTTTTACTGTTGGCACAAGTATATATGCATGCACAAGTATGTACAAGGCCAGACCTAGCCTTGTGCATTAGCAAGATGGGTAGATTTCAGTCAAATCCGAGAATGCAACATTGGATAACTAGAAAGAAGATTTTACGGTACCTACAGAGAACAAAGGCTTACATGTTGATTTACAGATGCACATAGAATTTAGAGCTTATTGGTTATGCTTATGCAAATCTTGGAAAAGCAAAGGATGATTACATCTCTACTTTAGGTTTTCTTTTTAAGATGGCATGAGCAACTATTGGAAGAGTGCTAAACACTCTGGTGTTTCGAGTTCAACTATGTTTTCATAATATATAGCTTGCTATGAAGCCACTTCTCATGCAGTATGGCTAAGGAGTTTTATCAAATACATTAAGGTGGTGGACTCAATTTCAAGACCAGTGCAGATATACAATGACAACACTACGACTGTTTTTCATTGCATGAACAACAAGATGTTGTGTGAACTTCAGTACATTGACAAAAAGTATTTAATAGTTAAGGAGAAGGTAGTAGACAAACTAGTCAAGTTTGATCATATACTCAAGAGATGATTGCAGATTCGTTTACAAAGTTTCTGCCTTCAGAAGCTTTTCTGAGATATGTTGAGAGCATGAGATTATTTCCTAACTTTGATGCTGCAATCTAGTGCGAGTCTTGTTTCCTATTCTCATAGTTTTCTAGTATGTCTAATTTTGTTGTTTTCTTGATTGAGGAATTTGCATTTAAGCATGTTAATTTGGTTGACAGTTTTGATTATTAAAAAATTTCTACCATTTTGACTATTTAGATGTTTAAGCTTATTATACATTTTGTTTATGCATGTAAGTTTATGGTCTGTTTGAGATACTAGTGTTTTTATAACATTGCGGATTGACTCTTGCTAAGTCATAAAGGGTTATATGTACTAAAAGCATAAAGATTCACATTACGGATCAATCAATGTTAAGGTTAGCATTTGTAGGTGCTTCATGTGTTTTGAGATTGCATTATGTGATTGTAGATGACCTATTTTCATAAAGGAGAGTAGTGCTTGTCTATAGTTCATTTTGTCTAATCACTTTTCACTATAGCTTGAAGGGAAGGACTTAACTGTTTTAAACTCATGGCCAAAAAAGAGTATCAAACTTTTGCAATACAGAAGCTTAGTGCTCTAGTGCTTGATCTAGTGGGAGAATGTTATATTCCTATTTAGATCGGTGCACTAGATACTAAGTTATATAACGTTTGATAAGAGTTTAAATTAGGTTATACATTGAGGCCCAAAACCTTGTGAAATAAGGAAAGTTTTGAAGCCAATTAAAGGGGTCCTATTTATTTCATTTTGCATGGACCGTTGCTGATGGGCTTTGAGTGTTAGTGAAGTCTGCCCTTGGTGATGAGTAGATACAACTTGACCTAGCACTATATAAGCTTAAAATCCTTCTCTCATCAAACACCTTCTCTAACCCTAATCTCATCATAAAGAGAGAGCTAAAATATTTTATGAGAGAGAGTAGAAGTCTTAAGCCGTTCGTGTCTTTTACTAGTGTTGTTGTTGCTGCAATTAAACGAGTTCTGAGATCGTGTACTCAAGGAAGATGACACTAAGTATGTCTTTTATATATTTCAAATTGTGTGAAAGATCATGAACACTTATATAGAAAATCTAACATATACATATTTGGAAATCATTACTACTGATCTTATTGACACATTAACCGTGCCATGTTTCGGAAGTCCCTTACAAGTTACTTCTCTGAAACCTATACATCATGGCTTTATTTTCTGGATTGATATCCAGCATTTGTTGAACATGAAGCAGAAACAACATTATTATCACTCAGTAGTAATACTCCTTTATAACCCCACTTATTCTGATACCCTGAAATGATGAATTTGGATGTTTTCAACATTGAGTTTCCTGTAATTACTGAGCTGCCTATGAGCAAAAAACTTGCCCCAGCTGTAGGGCTTGTACTTGGCAGGGTTTTCTTCATTGGTCAGCTCCTCCAAGGGCTTGATTATGGTGTAGTGTGCTGGGTTGAGGAAAAAAGGCATAGAAAACCTTTGCTTCTCTGAATTCACCATTGCTCTGTGTTCCACACTATGATATCTTTCATTGCTCCAAACCTGTGTAGACATATCAATTTCTTATGTGAAAGTGGCCACAAAATTTTTTACAAAGCTGCATAAACTAATTGGACAATACTTTTGTGCTGATAACAAATTTCAAAGTGTTTTGAGCACATTAACAAGTTAATATCAAGCTTGAAGAGTGGAACCTGGATACTATCACCAACATTGATGACATAGGCATTTGGGGTGGGTTTAACCCAAATCCACTCTCCATCTGTTTTTCACTTCACTTCCAATTCGCCAACATCATCTTGAGCCAGCATAGTTAAAGCACGGCCATCCTTGTGGCGGCCAACACCAAGAGTAAGCTCAGGGGAAGGGCAAGGTGGGTAGTGGTTGAGTCTGATAAAACTGGTTTGTTCTTTGAAGTAGCTGGTGAACCTGTCTTCTGGCAACCCTAGGCTCAGGGCAATAAGCCCCATCAACTTCAGAGCTAGCTGCTCCACTTCTCGACCATATTCTTCGCACTCCACCCTGGACAAGGCATGCAATCTAGCTATTAGAACATATGTCAGGTTACAAATTTGTGTTTAACCCTTTAAGTAATTAATGCATTGGGTCCTTGCAACACAGGCAATTGAGTTTCCAACTGAGAGCTCTTTGCTTGACATACACATTATAATTCACATGCAACTTAGGAGTTATAGGGATGCAAAGTGCAATTGGCCCTTTGATTGGCTCCTAAGCTTCTCATTCTGAATTACAGGTTATTTGGATTTCCTGGACCAGATTATCCTCATATAATTGTCATTAGCTAAAATGAAGACATGGATACTACTACCCTTAGTGATCATTGAGTTACCTTAATTCTGGAAGATACGCAGGCCATTGGTTATACCATTCTATCACTTCCTTGTCTTCAGGATCAGGTGAAGACGGGACAAACGTAGGCTCCTTCACTGTGAAATCAAACAGCTCCTTCGAGCCTCTGACATTCTTGGTATGCTCACTGTCATAGTAACCCAATATGTTTTTTTCATCCCTCATAATCTTCCTCTTCTCCTCCAAAGGCAGAGCAAAGAACTTTCTAGCTACAGCCTCAATCTTTAGGAGTTTATCCAATGATACCCCACGGTTGATCACTTGGAAGAAGCCCCAGACCCTACATGCATTGCCTATTTCTCTTACAACCCCTTTAATGGCTATAGGATCAGAAATGGAGTTTGGGGTACTTATTATTGGTGAAAACTCAATCAAGGGTATGCCTTCAGCTTCGGTGATGGAGAGTTTAGGCCTGTGATTAGGGTCTTGGATGAAAGCTAAATCAACCTCTCCCATGGCTGGTAATCTCGACTTAAGAAATGATTTGTTTCACAAGAAGAGCCAGTTTGAAGCAATAAGCTAGAGTGCATGGTAGCTTTTATAATGTGAGAGGTTAAACTTTTATATTGGATGTGGACAGGTTTTGCTTTGGAATTAAGGATGTTAAATGCCTGCTTGGTTATCTTCTTCTTTGCAATGATGCCATTGTAGATGTAGAGCATCATATTTGGAACAAAAATCAACTTGAGACTAATATTACTAGGTGGATATCTAAAATGCTTGTTCACATTCTTTTTTGGGGGACTTTGCAGCCGCAGCATTTGAAGGAGAAGAAGGAAAGGCAAAGGGGTGCTGCAGCACCACCAAGACAAGACAATTCTCTTTTGTTTGTGACTTACCGTACAAGAGAACTTCAGACTTTGTTTTCTCTTGTATTTTGTTGGGTGAGGGAGAGTGATTTGGGTGTACGTGGGATTTGGGTTTGTGAGATTTCTATCCTCAAAGCTTTTCTAAGCACACTTTTAGTTTTACATGTAATGAACAATAATTGTAAAGGATAGAGCACCAAGGGTTCCCTTGAATATGCTCTTAGTTTTTGAAGAAAAATGTGGTGTTGGATATTAATGCTCATCTGTAGGAGCATATGCAAAGCCTCTTGTGCCTTTTTCTTTGGCTAATTACAAAGCCTTTTGTCTATTTCCCCACATTTGGAATTGTTGGAAGTTTGAGAGTTGTGATGTGCTCTGACACCATTGTTGGTTTATAGGTGAAGGGGTTTCGAAAATATAGAACAATAGTTGAAACAAAGTGTTTTTTATTAATTTGGAGGAGAATAGTACATAGCTTTGTGTAGGCTAATTAGCCTCCTAGTGGTGTAGCTATTGGCTACCTATCTTCTCGATAGCTTGGTGAGCTTATTGGCTCCACAACATAGCTTAGTTCGGATTGGGAGACTCTTGATAGCTCCACCTTGTTATATTGCATTGCATCCCTACTTATAGGCATTGTTGCCGACTTTCTCTGCAGCCTTATCCCACAGGCTTTGTTCCATCGCCTTTAGCCATCTATTCCAGCCACTAGAGAGTTCCTCCGCTGCCATAATCATTTCTTTTCAGCCACTAGCTTGTGACTTCAACTAGTTTGTAGGTTCTCGGATTTTCTAGAATTTCTTTATTTTTTAAGTACAAATGTGCATTAATTTCAATAGGAATACCAAATCACCCTCAAAATTTGTCCAATACTATGTGTAAATCACATCTCTAATAGAGGCGATAATTGGATCTGTCTTTATTAGCGCTACAATACAGTCAAAAAATGTGGTACATGTAGCATCACTCAAATTTTTCTTCCATTCTGTAATGTAATCATTTGACCATTTAGAATTAGGACTAACCAATGTCTTTTGTTACTTGAGTAATGCTATTTGTATCCCATTCACTAATATATTGTTCATCACGGGCTATTCTTACCTATATGGATCGCACGTACGTCTTATCCTTGCGAGAGATGTGATTAGTAATTAGTACGAATATTTTTATTGTTGTTGGGACATTCATTGAACACTCCGTTTTTCAAATGAGGGCATACTTCAAAATGCAAAAATTGTTTGTTATAAAAATTAACCAGTAGGAACACTTTAGTTTTATGTATAATGACTAATTATTGTATAGGATACTACTAAAAGAATATGCTCTCAGTTTTTGAAGCAAAAAATGTGTTTGTATATCATTATATTTCTCATCTGATACAGTCACCATTAACCACACCATGTTTCAGAAGTTTCTTACTAGCTACTGCTCAGTAAAACTCCTCCCAATCAATCCACTTATTCAGTTTTGAGTTTTCTTGAAATTACTGAGCTTCTTGAAACACATAATTTCAAGAAGCTCAGTAATTTCAAGAAACTCAAGACTGATTAGGCTCAGGGATGCTCATCTGATATATCCTGAAATGACCAATTTGGATGTTTTCTGCAATAAGTTTCTTGACATTTCTGATACCCTGTGCTCAGGATGTATGGCAGGATAAAACTCTCCCATGGCTGGACTAGTGATTTTGATTTGGAAGCTAACTAGCTAAGCCACTCCATTTTTTTTGTTTTTTTTTTTTTTTTTTTTTTTGCAATAACAGTACTGCAGAATTTAGCACTTAACCAAGTAGTCTTGTGCTGTTTTGCACTGTTTGTCTATATCTGTTTGTAATTTGATTCTTCTGCTGCAACGTTTAATGATTGATTTAGGTGCCTTACATTTTGTTTTTTTTGAGAAACATGATTGTTTTACTCCAAGGCATTTGTTTCTTTTTTTTCCCTTAGGTGCCACTGATCTCTGTGTGTAAGCTTAATTTTTGGTCATGAGTTCTAAAATTTCGGGCTTGGACTCGGCTAATTCAGGTCATAAACATACAGACTAAATATTTTTTATTTACAAGGCAATATTCTAAACTACTCCAATTTTTAAGTTTTTGGTATAACAATAATGACTAATTGTTGTAGTGAAAGTGGTAAAATGATTCTCCGGAATATGTACTCTTAGTTTTCGAAGCAGAACATGTTTGTAGATAATTATATTACTGATCTTGTTGACAAATTAACCAGGCCTTGTTTCAAAAAAGTTCCTTACAAGTCAATTCTATACACAGCGTGCCATTATTTTCTGAATTGATATACAACATGGTATGCACAGGATCAGGAAGCTGAGACAACATAAATAAAACTCCTCCTTACCCACTTATTCTGATAACCTGAAATGATGAATTTGGATGTTCTCTACATTGAGTTTCTTGAAATTGGTGAGTTTTCTGTGAGTCATAAACTTTCCCCAGTTGTATGGCCTATACTTGGCAGGGTTTTCTTCACTTATTAGCTCCTCCAAGGGCTTGATTAGGGTGTAGTGTGATGGTTTGAGAGAGTAAGCAATAGAAAACCTTTTCTTCTCAGAGTTCACCATTGCCCTGTGTTCTACACTATGATAGATATCATTGCTCCAAACCTGTATAGACATATCTATTTGTTATTTGAAAGTGGCCAAAAACAATATATTTAGCTGTAGCAATGAGTAGTGACTCTAATTAGACAAGTCATTGTGCTGATAACAAATTTCAAAGTGTTTTGAGCACAAGAAGTTAATATGAAATCTGAAGAGTGGAGAACCTGAAGACTGTCGCCAACATTGATGACATAGGCATTTGGGGTGGGTTTAACCCGGATCCACTCTCCATCTGTTTTTCTCTTCACTTCCAATCCTCCAACTTCATCTTGAGCTAGCACGGTTAACGCACCGCCATCCTTGTGGGGACCAACACCAAGAGCTAACTGAGGGGAAGGACAAGGTGGATAGTAATTGAGTGTCATAGAAGTTGTTTGGTCATTGAAGTATCTGCTGAACCTGTTTTCTGGCAAGCCAAGGCTCAAGGCAACAAGTCCCATCAACTTCAGAGCTAGCTTTTCGATTTCTTGAGCATATTCTTCACAGGCCTCCCTGGTCAGGGCAGTCTATTATATCATATAAATCAAGTTCCAAATACAAGTTCAGCTCATCATGCATGAGTGAGAATATGAAGGTAAAAAGTCCACATTGGAAAGATGAGAAACCTAGCATGGGCTTATAAGGAGTTGGGCTACTCCCCCCATTGCCAATTGATTTTGGGATGGAACCTCAACTTCCTTCATTGTATTAGAGTGGGTTATAACCCACGTGTGAAAGCCTAATGGCCACACGTGTTCCACGTCACCTAATATGTGTTGTCCACCTGTGTGGGAACTGAATTTTAGCAACACCCTAGGTCAAATATTTCCTTTCATTTGGGGATTATTTGGCCTAATTGGGAGTTATTTGATTTGATTGGCAATTATTTGATGCTTACCCTAATTAGGGATTTGATTTAAATCAAATCCCTAATTATGTCAATCTCTCCAAATTGGGGAAGAATAATTCATTTCCATATGTGGAATTATTCTACATAAATTCCATCTCACAAACCCTAGCCACCACTCTTTTTCTCTCTCTCTCACACACACAAGGCTCTGGCCACCACACACGGCTCCAGCCACCTGGTTCACATCATACATATATTTTTGTACCATTTTGTTAGCTATTGTTTTCCTACAAACACTCGAACTAACTTAGGCATCGGAGGGCCTTTGGCCAACACCCCCGGGTGTGGTCCTCTTATTCGGATTTGTTTTGTAGGGAGAAAGAGAAGCGAGAGGAATACGAAATCTAAGAAGAATATTCTCGTAGGACGAAAATCGCTCCCACAACGTGCTGGGCTTAAAAATTCACCACACGTGTGGGGGTGTGTGAGAGTGTGAAGGTAAAAAGTCCATATTTGAAAGTTGAGAAACCTATAAGGAGTTGAGCTACTCACCTCATTGCCAATTGATTTTGGGATGGAACCTTCTTTCAATGAGGTCCTTACAGTTGCGGCACAATCATTTAAGTTACCAAGTGAGAGCTAGTGTTTTTTAATTGATTCACATTATAACTCACAGGATGTAAAGTTTAACTGACCCTTCGATCACAGGTGAGGTGATCTAGATTTCTTTTACATATTAGTGATCATTCAGTTACCTGCATTCTGGAGGATACTCCGGCCATCGGTTATGCCACTCTGTCTCTTCCTTGTCCTCGGGGTCAGGCGATGCCGGGACTAACGTAGGCTCCTCCACTGTTAAATCAAACACCTCCTTCCAGTCTCTGACATTCTTGGTACGCTCACAGTCATAGTAACCCAATATGCTTTTTTCATCCCTTCTAATCTTCCTCTTCTCCTCCAAGGGCAGAGCAAAGAACTTCCTAGCAGCAGTCTCAATATTTCGGAGCTTATCTAATGGAACCCCATGATTGATCACTTGGAAGAACCCCCAGCCCTTGCATGCACTGCCTATTTCTCTAACAACACCTTCAATGGCTTTGGGATCAGTAATGGAGTCTGGGGAGTTTATTGGAGACAGGTCAATCAAGGGTATGCCTTCGGCTTCGATGATGAAGAGTTTAGGCCTGTGATGAGAGTCTTGTATGAAAGCTGGATCAATTTCTCCCATGTCTGGACTCTAGTTAAATGATTTGCTTTGCAAGAAGAGGCAGTTAAAGCAACAAGGCTATTGATTGGTAGGTTTTATAATGTGAGCGGTTCAACTTTTATCTTGGATGTGTGGACAGGTTTGGAAGGCTGTGATGTTTGTGCTTGCTTGGTCATCTTTTGATTTGATTCGATGCCATTGCAGACGTAGAGCCACATATGTGGAACCAAAGTCTGACTTGGCACTACATAATAAAGAAAAAGAAGGAAAAGCCAGAGCAGACAATGTCACATCATAATCAAATTGATACCTCCTCATCCATTTTTTTTTATTTTTTTTTGCCCTTTTTCAAATTAATCATTGATGGGTGGGGGGATGCTAGAAAAGTTCAGGTTCAATTGCAGCAGGAAGAATATTAGGCCTAACTGAATTCAGGGTCCTATATTTCAAGTAAGAACTTACGCAGAACCAGTATTAGTTTCTGAGGGGATTCACACCCGATTGCCCTGAACCGTTTTGGCCATCAAACTTGAACTTCAAACAAGTTTTCTTTAATCCAATCATGTCCAAACTTATGAAACTTTTAAGAAGGGAAAAGATCAAAGGGGCAGAATTTTTAGACGCTATTTTTGCAGTTCAAGTTTGTAGTTCAACAATAGCAACCAAACATTGGCCAACTTCATGCAAATCTTTCTTTATAAGGAGATGTTCTTAGTTTTTGAAGCAGAACATGTGCTTGTAGATAAATTATATTACAGATCTTATTGCCACATTAACCACGCCATGTTTCAGAAGTTCCTAACAAGTTACTTCCTCCTCTATACAGCTGGCTTTATTTTCTGAGTTGATAGCACAGGAAGCAGAAAAAACATTACTATCGATTGGTCATACAGAAACAGTCCTTCTAATCCATTTATTCTGATACCCTGAAATGCTGAATTTGGATGTTTTCAACATTGAGTTTCTTGAAATTACTGAGCTTTCTGTTAGTCATAAACTTGCCCCAGCTGTAGGGCCTATACTTGGCCAGGTTTTGTTCATTTATTAGCTCCTCCAAAGGCTTGATTATGGTGTAGTGGGATGGGTTGAGGAAGTAAGGGATAGAAAACCTTTCCTTCTCTGAGTTCACCATCACCCTATGTTCCACACTCTGATATTTTTCATTGGTCCAAACCTGCATAAACATGTTCATTTGTTATGAGAAACTGGCGAAAAACAATAAACGCCGGAATAGACTAATTAGCATATCTTCAAAAGTGACAGACTTCAAAGTGCTTTGAGCGTAACAAGTTAATATAGAGATTGAAGTGATGAACCTGGATACTGTCACCAACGTTGATGATATAGGCATTTGGGGTGGGCTTAACCCGAATCCACGCTCCATCTGTTTTTCTTCTCACTTCCAGTCCTCCAACGTCATCTTGAGCTAGCACGGTTAAAGCACCACCATCCTTGTGACGACCAACACCAAGAGCTAGCTGAGGGGAAGGACAAGCTGGATAGTGATTGAGTCTGATAGAAGTTGTTTGGTCTTTGAAGTAGCTGCTGAACCTGTTTGCTGGCAAGCCTAGGCTTAAGGCAATAAGTCCCATCAACTTCAGAGCTAGCTTTTCGACTTCTCGAGCATATTCTTCACAGACCTCCCTGGTCAAGGCAGTGTATTATATCATATAAAGGAAGCTCAAAAGCATGGGGTCCTTACGGCACAACTGAATAAGTTACAAAGTGATGAGAGCTAGTGTTTTTTGTTTGATACACATTATAATTCATAAGGTATGATCATAGGTGATCAAGATTTCCCTTTCCTATTACAATTAGCTAAAACATATATACTTACACTACCTTTGGTGATCATTTAGTTACCTTAGTTCCGGAGGGTGCTCAGGCCATTGGTTATACCACTCTGTCTCTTCCTTGTCCTCAGGGTCAGGCGAAGCCGGGACTAGAGTAGGCTCCTCCACTGTGAAATCAAACACCTCCTTCCAGTCTCTGACATTCTTGGTACGTTCACTGTCATAGTAACCTAACACGCTTTTTTCATCCCTCCTAATTTTCCTCTTTTCTTCCAAAGGCAGAGCAAAGAATTTCCTAGCAGCAGTCTCAATCTTTCGGAGCTTATCCAATACTGCTCCATGATTGATCACTTGGAAGAACCCCCAGTCCCTGCATGCATTGCCTATTTCTCTAACAACCGCTTCAATAGCTTTAGGGTCGGAAATGGAGTCCGGGGAGATAATCGGAGTCAGGTCAATCAAGGGTATGCCTTCGACTTCGGTGATGGAGAGTTTAGGCCTGTGATCAGGGTCTTGGATGAAAGCTGGATCTACCTCTCCCATGGCTGGTGATCTTGGTTTAACAAATTATTTATTTTGCTAGAAAAGCCACTTTGAAGCAACAACGACACTGGTAGCTTTTATAATGCAAGAGCTTGTACTTTTATATTGAATCTGGACAAGGGTTTGGGTAAATTACTAGGTGGAGATTACCTAGTGCTGCACGGTTTTGCTTTGTGGAGGGTTGTGACCTTTTGCGCTTGCATGGTTGTCTTTTTCTTTGCTATGATGCCATTGCAGACGTACAGCAACATTTTGGGACCAAAGTCTGACTTGACACCAATATTTCTTTTACTTAATTTGGGAGAAATAAGTATGAGTGCAATACTCACTCTTCTAAAGAAAGAATAAAAAACCAAAGCAGAAAATGTCACAACAAAATCAAATTGCTACACAATCCAAATTATCTTCTTCTTCTTCATGTTTTAAAATTAAACATTGATGGGTGGGGCTGCTAGAATTAAATTAATTTAATTTCCCTGGTTCCGCTGCAGCAGGAAGAATATTATCCCTGTAAGTAATGGAAGCAGCTTGTCACTACCATTACAACAAAAAATATTGAAGAATCTTGGGCTTAACGAACAGGTCTTGTACTGTTTTGTTATGTTTGCCTATGTCTTAATTAATTCCATCATTTCTTACCTTTTTTTCTTTTGAGAAGAATGCTAATTTGCTTAAATAGTTGTTTTTTTTATACAAGTGATATTGGGGAAGGGGGAATCAAACTTAGGGTCTCGGTGCATGGGTAAATGCTCTTAACCACTTGAGCTACAAGCCCCTTGCTTAAATAGTTGTTTACTATAAGGGTTGTACTTTTTTCCAGTTCTGTTTTCTTTTTTGGGCTCTGCTGCACTCCATTAGCTGCAACGTTACGTTCTGGATAATCCTAATTCATAGTTTTGCATCATTTTTTTTTTTTTTTTTTTTTTTTTTTTTTTTTCTTTTTTGGCCTTAAGGTATTGAACTTCATGCTGATGATTAAATTTTTTAAAACTGTACACATTTATAAATATGTCTTGCTTAGACTGAGTAACTGGTGATAAATTTAAACACAGAAACTGGCTGAAAAACAATCATAAAACATAAAGACAGAAGAAGCTAAAAGGACTTAATGTTGTTATAAAAGCAAGTTTTGAAAGCCTCTGACCTGATTACATAGCACAATATTCACAAGAAGCTAAAAGGACTTTATGTTGCTAGCAATGGATAACATTTCACTTCACCGATATATCCTATCTACTCTGGTAACCTGAAATGATGAATTTGGATGTTCTCCACCTCTTGTTTCTTGAAATCACTGCGGTTTCTCGTAGCATAAAACTTTCCCCAGTTGTATTCCCTGTATTTGGCAGGGTTTTCATCACTCAGTAGCTCCTCCAAGGGCTTCACCATCACATGGTGGGCTGGGAAGAAGAAGAATGGAACTGAAAACCTTTCTTTCTCAGAATTCACTACCACCCTGTGCTCCACGCTCTCATATTTGTCATTGCTCCAAACCTGCAGATAAAAACGCCGTTTACAAAGTGAACGTACATCTCATGCAATGTCTAAAAAATTTATTGGTGTTGTGCACAAGGTCACTCACAATTACAATCTCATTCATAATTATGAATGCATTAATGTCGTTCATAAGACATAATGGGAAAATTTCGTTTCACAGTTCATGAATAGTACCTGAACAATGTCACCAACATTGATGATGTAAGCATTTGGGGTGGGTGTGACTGGAATCCATTCTCCATCAGATTTCCGCTTAACTTCTAGTCCTCCAACATCATCTTGGGCCAGGACGGTTAAGGCACCAGCATCCTTGTGGCGCCCAACGCCTAGAGCTAGGTGAGGAAAAGGGCATGGAGGATAGTGATTGAATCTGATCATGCTCGTTTGCTGGTCTTTGAAGTAGTCATTAAACCTGTTTTCTGGCTGGTCTAAGCCCAAAGCAATTAGTCCTAACAACTTGTAAGCCAGTTTTTCCACCGCTCGAGCATACTCCTGGCAGACCTCTCTACTCAAGGCAGCCAATTCGAGTACATAGACCACATGCCAATGTAAAGGCAAAACGTTAGCATCATGGGATATTAGTCTGGTGGAGTGAGAATTTAAGCAAAATGTAGCTAATAAGTTTTTGTTTTTATTTGAATCTTAACCAACATGTGCTTCTGAGGGGATTTAAACTCAATTACACTGAAGTTTTTGTAAACCTGGTGGAGTTAAGCCTGTACTACATGGGCATTCATGGCAAATCTGTTTAATCTGTTCGAATCCGAACTTGTAAAACTTCTGAGAGTAACCTGTCTAATGAACCACGTATGAAAACAGCAGTTCTTATGGTGAATTAAGAAGGGGGAAATTTGAAGGGGCAGAACTTTTGCAGAAATATTCTTTTCACGGTTCAAGTTTGCTCTCAGTTCAACTAAAGTCTAAAATGCTAGCATCATACAACATTATCCTAGTGGAATACATGGTCCTATTTCCAAGTGAGAATTTATGCAGAACCAGTTTTGCTTCTGAGGGGATCCAAACCCAATTTCCCTGAACAATTTTGGCCCCAAAATCTCATGGACTAAAAGCCTTTACTAGATCGTGCTGATTTCTAAGTCAAATCAGTTTTCTTGTATCCAATCATGTCTCCAAACTTGTAAACCTTCTAAGAGTTGGCAAATTTTCTGATGAATCAAGTTATAAAAGAACACTGCTTATTTAAGAAGGGACAAAAATCAAAGAAGCAATCCAGAATCAATTTTAATTTAATTTTGCACAATCAGTTAAAGCGGTCCAAGTTTGTTCAAGTTTTTGCAGAAATGTTAATTTTTTTTCAGTTCCATATTGTTCTCAGTTCAACTAAAGCAATCCAGAATCAGCCAACTCTATGCAAACCTATTACAAAGCAAAGATAAACTAGAAATGAACAATTCAAATAAGCAAATATAAAACACCTGAACTCAGGAGGGTACTGAGGCCACTGATTAGTCAATTTCCTCAACTCCTTATCATCAGGCTCAGGTGATGCCGGGACCAAAGTCTCATCTTCCACCAAGAAATCAAAGACTTCCTTCCAATCTCTAACATTTTTAGTGTTCTCGCCATCATGGTACCCCAGTGCATTCACCATGTCTCTCTTCACCTTCTTCTTTTCTTCTGCTGGTAGTTCAAAGAATGTCTTAGCCACCTCCTCAATCTTCCTGGCCAGTTCCAATGGCACCCCATGATTTATAACTTGGAAAAATCCCCAGCTTTTGCATGCATGGCCTATCTCTGATACCACTTTTCTGGTCTCATCAGGGCTGCTTAAAACTGAGAGGTCAATTATGGGGATTTCATCAGCAACTGGGTTTGTGGGGTTGAGCTTGGGCCTCTGGTCTGTGGCTTGGATGAAGGCTGGATCAATTTCTCCCATTGGTTAAGATTCAAGAACAGATAGATTGTAAAATTTAGTGGAAGTGGTTTTCTGGTGGAAGAAAGTGGCGTTGGTTTATATATATTTTGGATTTTTCTGTGCATAATTTTCTCTTCTATACAATGAATGTAGACAGTTTTGGAATAGAAAATGTTGGTTTGGTAAATGAAGACAATATGGTAATACAGAGTTTGGAAGGTATCACTGCAGGATAGACCGACAAGTATACCGTGGTTGTTTTCTTTAGCGACACGCATCTAGGGTCATCTGCTGCTTTTGTAGTGTCTTGATTAGGTGAGGGAGGACTAGGCCACAACCTTCCAACGCGCTCATAGAGCGCCTATGGTGGGAATGGCAGCCATTTTCCAAATTCAATGAACAAAATGCAAATGGGGCACAAATTCAGGACCATTGTTATTAAAAACCCTATCAAGGATTATTGCAAAAAGGGTTGGCTAAGAAGTGTTTTATCATGGCAGCAAGCAACATCATATGGACGCATATCATAAGGGATTTGCACTAAGAATTGAAAGATTACTATGCTAAAAGTCATGAAGAGTGTTTCGAGCAGTCGCCCATATCAGTATTTGCAACACATTATACCAACAGCTGGAAGTCACCCACGGGCACTTGGCCCATCCATCAGAACTGAGCAAGGAATTTGCTCAAAGGCTGCAGAGTTGAGCAAATCCCTCTTTTTGTTTTCATTGTTGAATTGAGTTCGAATCTCTATTTATGATTCATGTGCTGATTAGGGATTGTGTACAATACTACAACGTTGTTTCAAGTCGTCATTTGAAAATTAAGTACACTTCACAAGCCTGGTAAGTGGTAATATCGCACTCTTGTCAACTAGACCATCCAAATTACTAATGAAACCAAGAAGGCAAGAATAGCTGTGTATAGGATCCATCAACTTAACCTTAATTAACGCAATACATAATCTCTACCTTCCTCATTGTTACAAATTGCTGACTGTTTAAGAGTTCTAACAAGAATTTTCCTTCAATTTCGTATAACATTTGAAATGATAAGAGAACTCAAACCCACTTGAAAAACCACTATTTACAAAGCTTAACAAATAGAGCTTGTGAAGGGTCAGAGATCTGAGTTCTCTCATGCAGTGGGCATAGAGCTTGAAACGACCACATACGACAAGTAGTGAAGCCCGTCCTGGATTTTGCCCAAAGCTGTGTTCTGGTCATCACGGAGATGTTTAGAGAAGGAACTGGCTTTTTCTTGGATTGATGTCTGTGGAAGCACGTCATGGGATTCCGCAGAAGCACCTTTTATGGCTGCTAGATAAGCTTCGGCAACATCAGATATGCCTGACAAGTTCGTAAAGACTCAAACTGTCAACAAAAATATCTGCTACAATACATATCTTGCATATCAGATATGAACTAATCCACTTGGAAATGAAAATCATCAAGACCTCAGTCTAAAAGCACACAGAAAAGACACAAGGCTTTCTGAGTTGGGGACCTTAGGAATTAGGCTCCCTAAACCCTAAACAATATACATGGACTTCATAGCTTATACAATGGCTATATTTGCGTCAAAAGATTGCTGCATGCATGCGGATGAGGATTATCTTTCCAACCGTACAACTGATCAGTCAGCTAATAGCTAACCACTCTGCTGTTGAGGTACCGAGTAATCTCAGAGTATTTTTCCTTTGAGCACAACAGGGTGAACTGTAATGGCATATTGCAACTAGGAAAAAGTAGTCATTTATGAGCATAACCACAAAGAAACAGAGCTCCAGGATATCAACCTGTGATGAAACTACTGGACACTGCCTCCATGTATCCAGTCATTGCTTGCGCTTTTGATCTGATTATCTTTGCTTTCTCAACAGAATCTTCAGGCCAATCAATATTCTCGACATCAGCATCCACATCTTCTACCTGAGTGTTGTTTGCACTAGATATGATGGATTTACCAAGCATCAACAGTTGAGACACCGCAGAGCAGCACATTTCCGAGAGTCTCTGCAGACATATGATTACATCAAAACTATTAAACCCAAGTCAACAAAAGCAGAGCCAAGAGAATATATTACAGTTATCCCAGATAACTCCATACATGAACTCCCTCTGAGTGAAGACTCTCTAATCGGCCGGTGGTTCTTTGAATTATATCATTAACAGCTTGTCCAGCTAAAGCACTTGTGAACCTGAATAATGTTAAATACAGAAGATTCTTAGAGGGTTGTGGAAAAGGAGAATGGACGTAGAAAAATCCAAAAGTAATAGTAGTTAAGGCATGATATGTATAAAAATAAAGTTAAGCATAAAAGACCAGGCATGTTTCTACTCCTATGTTTCAGACAAGGTCACATAATTAAGAGGAGCAAACAGCTTCCACTTCTATTAATTGGGCGTTCCTGAAATTGTAATAAATAAAAAAGTGTATAATGAGGAGGCTGATCAAATTGCAATCAGTTTAGAAACTGGACATATCAACACCCTGCAATAACTTTTTACAGGACTCGCCTTTCACCAGTCCCACCTTTTAAAGTAACATTTTTTGAGAATGTCACGCATGTCAAGTACCAAACTGATGGGATCTGATCCATAAACTCAAATCTCTTTTAGCAAATGATTATAAAGAAATTCATTTTGAAATCATCTAGTAGGATTGTAAGATCTCCAATCAAGTCACACTGACAAGAATGATGGGTATAGACAGGATGCATCATCAACAGTGACTTCGTGAAAATCCATCTGATGTAACTCTGACAGATGCAAGAACAGCTAGTTTTACAGAAGTTGTAATCTAATTCTGGCTCTAGTGAATGTATCAAAATCGGATGAAAGTCCAAAAAAAAGCAATAGACCTAACACAGCCATGCATGAAAGCAAATATACTAATTATATTCACAAAATCTGTATAAAAAAAGGAAAAGAAAATGGAAAATACATAAAAATAGAAATTAAACAAGGCAAAATACCCAGCCGCCATATCAGCAGCCTTGCTGACGCTTGAATCATGCAAACTCTTCATCTCATTGCTATTTCCATCATCTCCAGTCTCTTTCTTTTTGCCTTTATCCGACTCTGCACCACTTCCATCCAATTCAATATCCAAACTGAAAATCTGCTGCACCTGTTTAAGCTTTCCATCATAAGTAGATTTCTGTTCTGATGATAATTTTCCTTTTCTCCGGTTAAATAATAGTGCATAATGGCTGGACAACGCCTCCAATTCCTGACAGTATTACAATACAACAGCTTCAATAAATTTATTCCTTAATATAACAAGACTTAACCCTCAGGATTAAGAAAATGACCTCCAACTGTTCTGGACCTCCATATATGTAGAAGCATCGATCAAATCCTACTTCCTCGTATAACTGATCCTCTTCGGCTTCCTGTTCAGAGGGTTTAGAATTCTTCTCAACTTCTATACCAGTCTCTGTGATCAGTAGATCCAAAGTTTCCTTGCCTACAAGCTCAAGCACTTGCATTCCCTTAGAGGTAAAAGCCTTTCCAGTCTGTAACATGAAACCAAGATATAAGCAATGAAGTCAATATAACTTAACAAGCCAGGTAACAGGAGAATACAAACCTCTAATAAGGATGGTGCAGCAGAACCAGCAGCTGTAGGCAAACCACCTTGCTGGATGGATCCCGCAAGATTCACAGCTGAATTCTCAAGCCTAGAGAACAACAAAACTTATTTCAATAACAAAATACAATGCTAGTACTAGAAAGTAATTAGAGAAGTTGGTAAAGTCAAACTTGACCACTGTCAATAAAACACAATACAACTGTATTACTGCACCAATTTTGAACTTATAAAACCATATTTACTACATCATGCAGTACTAGATCATCTTTACAACATTCTACAATCCTAGAACTACAAAAAAAAATTATGTACACAGCTCCTGAGAAACAAGAGAAAGTATATGACCAGTTAGCATCTGTTGATTACTAATTTTAACCCAGAAAATAACCCCAAAAAACTGTCCCCCACATGCAATGCAACTACTCTTGTTTCCCTCTAACATAATGTAAAATATATTAAAACATTCAACTGCAGTGGAACATACTTGTGGACTAGATCAGTACTGCCTTTCAATGCACTTCCTAATGCTTGCCACGCTCCTGAAGCAAAATTCTCCACAGAACTATCAAGTACCTTCAAACCCTGAAAATATTATAGCAACGGCATGCTTAGTGGAATAAAAGGTATCGGCTTCAGAGGATAGTTACAGAAGTCAAGAAACAAACAGCTCCAGTCCAGTTGAACAGAAAGTAATGTAATGTTAAAGTGTCCTATATCAAATGAGAGAGATGAATAGAAGTATATGCAAAATTATAAGCGCAATAATTGCAAACATATAAAGGAAAGTTCAACTGCTTAAAAATTTACGACTTGCCTGACCGAGAAACGAATCTTCACTAGCTTTTTCCAATTTTTCCAGAGCAGCCTTTCGTTGCTTTTCATGCTCATCTTGGCTTTCCGTCCCATCCTGGCTTTCCTTTTCAGTATCCCCTTCTTCCTCCTTGGAAGATTCTTCCGAGTCCTCTGCAGGGTTTTGCATGTCGGCAATGCTCTTTGCTGCAGTCTGAGCAACTGCAGCCGCCTGCATCCACAAATAACCATTTCACACATTTAATTACAAAATGCAGCAAACCTAAACTTTTCAATTTGGATTGAATAGACAAATCTTTGCATATATTTTCTAATTACCCAATTAAAACCTACATTAAGATTCGCAGTCTGAATAGTTAATTAACAACGGATACATCTAAAAACACCAAAATTAGATCCAATAACGAACCTTTCCCAAACTTAGAAACCCTAATTTCTAATTTCCTAAAATAGAAAAATAATAATATAATAAGGCAAGTTTATAATAAAAATGGAGATTCATATACACTTGCGAAATGCTAGAGACGCTTACATTGCGAGAGATCTCTTCGGCGGCTTTCTGGAGATCTGAGATAACAGAAGAAAATCCCCCAGCCTCCCCATCCTCCACTTTTTACCGGCGATGCTTGTGCTTCAGCTGCTTCTGCTTTTTTTGCTTCCTCTTTTTCTTCTTGTAGAGGACTTTTCTCTTCCTTCAGTGGCTGTTTGTCTTCTTCCTCCATTGTCGATTGCAGCCAAGACCAGTCCACAGTCTGAGATCTCAAGCCCTACGGAGAAAAATAGAAGTTTGAAATTTGAGGAAATTGATTGAGTTTTTTTTTTTTTTTTTTTAATGGGAAGTTCGAATGTGCGTAAAATTTGTTGGGGCGTTTTGTCACTTTTGGGAAGTTGAAATGAACGAAACTTTGCATCACTATCTGCTTCATTCAACGTGCTTTCGAAGGCAATCAAGCACCATAACGACGCCGTTTTTTGGTTTCACTCATTTGGCACTAACGGGTGGAGCTGGAATTTATACTTGGGGCACGTATCGGTTCGGTCCCTTTTTTTTTTTTTTTTTTTTTTTTTTTTCTTTACAATTTTGTTAATAAGGTCAATTTTGGTTGTTTATTCAATTACTTTCAGGCGCAACATTGGAATTAAAACTTAACATTGTGTTCAAAGTATCACATGACACGTATATTAGTAATTAAATAAAAAATTATTTTTAAATTTCAGTTCTATACAAATTTCCAGTAGTTAGGGGGAATGTAACTTGCTTCTTTAACCACTACTTTGTTTCGGGTTGTAGTTTAGAAAACAAAAATTAATTTAATCCATTCAAACCAAACCATATAGGTTTGGTATGATCGGTACGCGAGTTTTACATATCAAATGCGCACCCTTATTTTGAAATTACTTTAATTTATGAGGTACGAGATTCGAACTTGAGTGCAAGGACACGTACGCTGACATGATCAACTAACCAAACTTATACCTATGTCACGTACTTGTTAATTCTTAATACACTCCTTTTTTAAAAAGAGTAATGCTTTCATATGTTGTGACTATAGATATGCACGCACTTCAATTATCATGACTAGTTGTTAGTTAATGCATCAACTATCATGTTATGATTAGCTAATGTAGTCCTTTTACTCTTTTGAAAACAAATGTTTTTGGTGGTTTAGATGTAGCTTTCAAAAATAAAATGGGAGGAACTAGGGGGATACCTGATACCATGTGATCTCATAAAATTACTACCTTCTTTCTTTTTCTAAAGACTGAGCCACACATGTTTGGCAACTTCAATGCATTATTGCCTTAATACGTATGTACTGTGGATGGTTAATATAATCCTAAGCAATTATATATCTCGCTACAATAAATAATTTCATAGCTTTTTAGAGGTGTGAATAGCGTTTTCAAACAACTAAAAACACTTTTCATAGCGCTTGCACAATAATGTAAAGTATTTTCTAGATTATAGAGGCATGTTTTCCAAATAAATACTTAATAATAAAATTAATTTTTATTCATGATAAACTGCAAATTTCATACCCTTAAATTCTCTCTCATTTTTCTTTTACATTTCATTTCGTTTTTAGTTTCCATCTTAGCAATAAACACAAGATAAGCTAACATTACAATTTCATGCATTTTGAATAAAAGAGGTAACTAATCAAGTAGCAATGGAAGGTAGTTCAAATTTCAAATTTCATTGTTCAATAAGATTCTCGAAGTTACAAAGCGAGTGTGTGTAGAAGGTGTTTTTGAAAAACTAAAAAAAATACAAAATATGGGAAACATGTCAAATGATAAACTAGTACTCAGTAGCCTGGGAACATTGGCGGTGGTGGGGATGAGTAGAGTGCGCCAAAGTTTGGTGGCAGCACGAAGTCCGGTTCGGTTGGGTGGTGGAGACTGAGCAGGAGGAGGTAAAGGAGGAGATGGAGTGGGAGCTGGTGGTGGAGGTGATTCGACCGGTGGTGGTGGGGATTGAACAGGTGGTGGTGGGGATTGAACCGGTGGTGATTGAACAGGTGGTGGTGGGGATTGAACCGGTGGTGGTGGGGATTGGACTGGTGGGGGTGAGGATTGAACTGGCGGTGGTAGGGACTGAACAGGTGGCGGCGGGGAATGGACCGGTGCTGGTGGTGGTGAAGAGAATACCGGTGGAGGTGACTGCACTAGCTCTGGAGATGGTGGCGGAGGTGAATGCTTCGGCACCGGAGATGTGTTAGTTGGGTCTGGTCCAGGTGCAGGTGTTGGTGATGGTGGTGGCTCAGCCTTTGGTATTTGAGGTGGTTCAACCTCAGGTGTTTGAGGTGGTTCAGCTTCAGGTGTTTGAGGTGGCTCAACCTCAGGTGTTTGAGGTGGCTCGGCCTCAGGTGCTAGAGGTGGCTCGGCCTTGGGTGTGGGAGGTGGCTCGGCCTTTGGTGTGGGAGGTGGCTCGGCCTTTGGTGTCGGTGGTGGCTCGGCCTTGGGTGTGGGAGGTGGCTCGGCCTTTGGTGTGGGAGGTGGCTCGGCCTTTGGTGTCGGTGGTGGCTCGGCCTTTGGTGTGGGAGGTGGCTCGACCTTTGTTTTGGGAGGTGGCTCAGCCTTTGGTGTTGGTGGTGGCTCGGCCTTTGGTGTGGGAGGTGGCTCAACCTCTGGTGTTTGAGGTGGCTCGGCCTTTGGTGTTTGGGGTGGCTCGACCTCTGGTGTTTGGGGTGGCTCGGCCTCTGGTGTTTGGGGTGGCTCGGCCTCTGGTGTGGGAGGTGGCTCGGCCTTGGGTGTTGGTGGTGGCTCGGCCTTGGGTGTTGGTGGTGGCTCGGCCTTGGGTGATGGTGGTGGCTCGGCCTTGGGTGATGGTGGTGGCTCGACCTTGGGTGAGGGTGGTGGCTCGGCCTTGGGTGAGGGTGGTGGCTCGGCCTTGGGTGATGGTGGTGGTGGCTCGGCCTTGGGTGCGGGTGGTGGCTCTGCCTTGGGTGCGGGTGGTGGCTCGGCCTTGGGTGCTGGTGGTGGCTCGGCCTTGGGTGCTGGTGGTGGCTCGACCTTGGGTGCTGGTGGTGGCTCAGCCTGGGTGTCGTTGGTGGCTCGGCCTTTGGTGTTTGGGGTGGCTCAACCTCTGGTGTTTGGGGTGGCTCGGCCTCCGATGTTTGGGGTGGCTCGGCCTCCGATGTTTGGGGTGGCTCAGCCTCAGGTGTTTCGGGTGGCTCAGCCTCAGGTGTTGGAGGTGGCTCAGCCTTTGGTGTTGGAGGTGGCTCGGCCTTTGGCGTTGGAGGTGGCTCGGCCTTTGGAGTGGGAGGTGGCTCTGCCTTGGGTGTTGGAGGTGGCTCGGCCTTGGGGTGTGGGTGGTGGCTCGGCCTTTGGCATGCTCGGTGGCTCGGCCTTTGGTGTAGAAGGTGGCTCAGCCTTTGGTGTGGCAGGTGGCTCGGCCTTGGGTGTTGGAGGTGGCTTGGCCTTGGGTGTTGGAGGTGGCTCGGCCTTGGGTGTGGGTGGTGGCTCGGCCTTTGGTGTTGGAGGTGGCTCGGCCTTTGGCGTGTGTGGTGGCTCGGCCTTGGGTGTGGGTGGTGGCTCGCCTTTGGCTTGGGAGGTGGCTCGGCTTTGGGGGTGGGAGGTGGCTCTGCCTTAGGTGTGGGAGGTGGCTCGACTTTAGACATGGGAGGTGGCTCTGCCTTTGGTGTCGGTGGTGGCTCAGCCTTGGGTGTCGGAGGCTTCTCGGTCTTTGGCGTCTGAGGTGGTTGAGGCCTTGGTGTCTTGGCTTATCCTGGGTTGAAGAACCACCACCACAATGCTTGCTGCAATCCACAGGCTTAGTGACCACTGGGAAGCAAGTCTTGGTATTCTTTTGCTTGGGCCTGCCGGGCATGCAGTTGCCCGTGTCATCAAAGTTCACCTCACGTTTGGGATTTGGCATACATTTCTGAGCTTCTCCACTGAAATAATTGTAAGCAAATGTGAAATTGGCCAACTTAGGCAAGGAGCAAATCTTTTCAGTCACAAACCCTGTCAACCTGTTGTACCCAACAGCCAATTCCTCTATGCTGCGGAGCTCCAAGAAGGTCTTTGGGAAGGAACCAATAAACACATTGTTGCTCACATCAAGAACCTGCAGATTTCCAAGGTTTCCAATCTCAGGAGGGAAGCAGCCACCAAGTTGGTTGTTCATGAAAATAATCTCATTCAGATTTTTCATGTTCCCAATGCTTCGTGGTATGCAACCAGTGAAGTTGTTGAACCCAAAATTCACTACAGAAACCGTGGAGTGGCCCAAGGTGTCTGGAATTATTGATGTGAATCGGTTGTGGTTCAAGAACAAGGCATCGTGCTCCTTGTAGAAAAGCTCTGGAGGCAGCTCTCCTTCGAAATCGTTGTACCGGAGATCAAGGTACTTGCAACTAGGCCATTCGAGGACCACCACAGGGAAGGAGCCGACGAAGCGGTTGTTGCTGACATCAAACTCATGCATAAGTATCAGTCTCCTGAAGCTCCGTGGGATAATGCCGCAGAACCTGTTGGAGTTGAGGTGGATGAGAGCAGCATCAGTCAAGAGCCCCATTTCGACAGGGAGATGGCCAGCAATGTCGGCATGGTTCAGGTCCAAACCGGCCACAACGGTCAGTTTTTCATCGTCAAGCGCCGGTGCACAGAAGACCCCTTTGTAGGAGCAAACATTTGCACCTTCCCAATTGACTGTGAAGCCAAAAGGGTCGGAGAAGATGGCCTTCTTCAAGGCCTGAAGAGCAACATAAGCGTTTTTGAGCCTGTTGTTTTCAAAGTTGAGCTTGGCATCCACTTGAACCTCATAGTTTTCAGGAAGGTCACCGCCCTCCGGGAGAGTCAGGAGCTGGCGGTGAGCTATGAAGGCGACTTCAGCATCGGTTAAGGCGAACGAGAGGGCTGAGAATGAAGAGAATAGGAGGAAGAAGAGAAGGCAGCCGCCTGAGGCCTTGTTTGTGATGAGAGGTGGAGCCATTGGATGAGTACTGAATCGGCAAGCACAAGGCTCTGCTTATAAAGACATGGGGATGAGGTGAAGAGGGAAGCTGTTATATTGTGGGGAGGAGGCTGTTGTGTATTGACAGAAATTGAATGGTTGTAGAAGACAGAGGTCTTCTTGTTTTAGGACCGGAAAGTATGGGGCTCTTCACATCACCCACAAAACTTGGTGGTACCTTCATTTTTTAGCATCAGAAGTTATCTGGTGTCTAAAAATTGGCAATAGACCCCGGTCCTCTTTTAGTTGGATGACTAAATTTGGCTGTTGAATCCTAAGCATCCATTTTGTACCAGATTTAGTTTCCATGCATCAGGTTGTCTTTCCATAAATAGCATAACATCTATCTATTTGCCACCTGGCATAAACCTCATGTTTTTAGCAGAAAAAGGAAAGGAAAAAAAATTCCTCAGGAGGTCCAATAATAACATTGAATTAATGGCATCAGCAAGAGAAGATGAAATGCTGTTGCTCACCAATCAAAAGTCAAGCTTATAACCCCTGTTTCTGTGGCTGCTTACAATAGTGCAAGCATCATTTTTTCATCAAGAACCTGAAACGTACCAAAGCTTCCTGTTTGGTTTGCGGAAAAGATTTGATACGGGCATTCAGAGGGTTATAGCAATTTATGTTGCTACCTTAGCATATTATTAATCACTTCATAATGGAATATAGTACCATGGTCTCAGACATTAGTTAGGTGAACAAAACACTCAGTTTTTTAGTTTTTTTTTATTTATTATCAAACTTTACTTTCCCAAAACTAAGCCATGGATCTCCTTGGGTGCTCATTATTTTGAGGTTCCTCCCCTGTTTTGGAATAGCTTTGAGGGTAGGCTTGGGGTTGCTTGGCCCCTTTTGTAACTTTGAAAAGGGGAAAACACCAAGGTTTCAATTAAATTATGTAGCATTAAAATATGAAAGCATCACCATATCATTCACAAATATTCCCACCTTTCCCAATTTTTTTCCTTATCTTTTTCTCTCATTTCCATCTCACAACTTCTGGTGTCTTTGATTTCTGTCTCTAGCTTTTTATTTATTTATTAATACCATTTTAAGTATACTGTATACACTTTTTATTTACATGCATGTACAAAAAGTCTAACTTTAGATAAGATGGATTCATATAAAAGAAGAAGATAAGGTTCTCTGTTCATGTTTTGCTAACAAATGAAGATGAGGTTGACATAGCAAGCAGGCACTGAAGTCCTTGAAATCCCACTAAATAACAAGAAACTTGAAGGCAATCTCTTCAGCTTGGAAAATTTTAATTCATTGAACTTCATGAAAAGTCATACAGGGGTTGAAGTCCTCTACTGAAAAATAAACCTTCAAAGCTTCCCAACAATCAAAACCAAAACATCCCCACATCTATAAACACCATTACACCACATTCCTAATTCAGTAAATCCCAAAGACATATTCACAAATAAAACAAATAAAACAAAACTTCGTGTTTGATCAATCTGTTTCATGGTCAGGGGTAGCTGAATACCAAGCAGGGTGCCTCCCCTTGATTCTAAGAAGCCTGGTGAAGGGTGAATCTGGCATTCTTGCACTTTCTTCTTCCTCCAGCTCCTGAGCTGATTTTGGCAACCCATCCGGTATGGGGCAGAGTCTCTCTCCTTCTTTTACCACATCTGATGGCTTTTCTGAATTAAATCCATGCTTCTTATCCTTTTTTATTGCTGCAATGCCATGTAAGCATCCCACTAATGTCTTCACACCTCCTGCTTGAAGAATCAGCTTCTCCACATCTTGTTTTGGTATCTCCTTCTGTACCCAGCAAGATTTTAAAAAATATGTGAATTCCTTGTCTTTAATTTCCTCCATTTTCTCAGCAGCCAAACAATAATTTAACAGGTAAGAAAGTTTTTGTACCTCTAGATCCTTGAGCTCAAAATACGCTCTCCAGCACCCATAAGACTCGTCTCCTTCGAGCGTTGAACAGTAATCTGAACAAAAATCATATCAACAGAACGAGTTAATACAAAATTCACTGAAACCGCATAAAACCCAAGACAGATTCATGCGGGTAATAACAAAAATCAAAATCAGATCATGCCTTCAAAAACCACTTCAGATTAACCAATAACAGCATCAAAAAAATAAATTGAAATTTAGGAGATGGGTACGTACCAGAGAGTTCGTTCTCGCACTTTTCGACCAAGGGCGGGTCTCTAATGGCGCGATCAAGCTTGGACCGGCTAAAAGGCTCGAGCTTTGGAATGTAAGCATGGTTTCTGGACGAACAACAGATAGTGGAAGCGAACTTCGGCGTCGTTGATGATGACGACGGCGAAGACGGTCGTGCAGAAAAAGCTTCTCTGTTGGCTTCGAAGAGCAGAGGAGAAGAAGAAGGGCAAGAACGAAGCATGACTGTTTTTATCATCGTGTCCAAACACACCGCGAAGTTCACTACTTTCTCTTGCTTTGCTTTGCCTCTGGTTTTTTCTTTTCTTCTCTCAGAAATTGGTTTGATTGGATTGGAGTGGATTGGGATCGGACATACTATTTTATACAAAAAAGGCATCGGCCGAGTGGATAAGAATTAAGTCTTGTTTTTTCAAAGATATTTGAGTAGTGTTAATGTGAAGTGGCTGTGACGGAAAACAATGACGGAGAAATCTTGGCCGTTGATCGATGAGATGGGTGGAGGTTTGGGATGTGAACTGACGTGGTAGAGACATGAGGAGGGTGACTTTTTGTGGAAAGTGTCAATGTGGGACCGGGTCATAGGTTCTTGAATTTGGGATCCGCTAAGCACAACGCGGCGGTTTGTGTGAATCCGTGGGCGGGAAGAGAAAAGAAGAGGGCACGTGCACTCAGCAGCAGCTCACTGCTTTTTTTTTTCCTCTGTTCTTTTTCTTTTAGGGTGACCGTTTTACCCCTGTTGTAGATATTTGCGGAGGCAACGTACTGACAAAAGTTTGATATTTTCTTTTTCGATATCTTATTTTTTATTTTCAAGGATTTTTTATTTTTTGGGAAATATTTTCAAGGTTATTTGATCTTGACTTGATTTTTGATCACATGTTACGAAGTCAATTTTAATGGAGGAAGCCCTTATTAATTTAAATTTAATGAACAATAATTGTGAATAAATAAATAAAAACTATATAGCAATAAAAGTTGATGTATCTTTGCCAATGGAGTCTAACCCAAAAGAAAAAAGACAATGATATGTATGATATGGAAATTAGTTGTCTCATATTCGAATCTCATGATACATTGACAGTGTATTTGAGAAAACCACTTCCCCTTTCTAACTTTGATAAATAAATAAAAAACATAATAATAATAATAAGTCGATGTATCATTTGTAATACATGAAAGAAGCAACACTTCAAGTAGCAGATTCAGAAATTTGTCTTTGCATACACGCGATAAGCTCTTAAAATTGAATAACTTAAATTGTTTAGTAGGGTGCAGCGTTTACCTTAACTTAGGAAATGTTAATTGGAGAGGCATATAGGGCTTAAGGGGACCATGACAGTTCCTACTTCTTTTCTAAGAGCTTGGTTGAAACTGCTTATGAAATTGCTAAAAATGTTTTCTAAAAACCAAAAACGCTTCTAATAATGCTTGATAGAAGCATTTATAAGCTCTTCTAATTCACAAAAGCAATTTATGAAGGTATAACTTCCAAGTGCTTTCTTACGAATTTAATATTAATTTTCTTATTTTAATGGACATTAAAAAGAGTATTTTATGTTCATCTTCTGAAAATGTATTAATGCACCTATTTATTCAATAAATTCATTGGTTGGCCTTTCAATTTGGGACACACCTTTTTGGAAAGGGGCTCTTTAGCATCTATAGGGTCCCTCTTGCAATCAACTAATTCAATCTCAGTCTCTGCATATCCACTTGTATACAGAGTCTTAGAATAGTCACTCATTATATTATGTGACAGGTCTCCTGCATAATCTGGTTTAAGATTTTTTGGAATTGTAGTTCTTGTTTCGCAAGGAGAAGTGTAGTTGTATCTTGGGAGGCGAGCGCCAATGACCATATAAGCACCTGTATGGGGCATAATTCTTCTTAAGGTTATAGTCCAACATTTACCTTGACTCAATTAAAGTTCTATTAAGGCCTAAAAAATCCACAGTTGGGCCCAAATAAATTCATAACCCAAAATGACGCATGATTCAGAAAAGGCCCAATTTATAACACACAAAGATCCACCACGCAAAAGTCACACCCCGTGTGTCATGCCAAATAAATAATCTGTCATGCTAGGAATCAAGATTAAGATTATAAAAATACGTTAGCACTACAAATCCATGCTAATTATCCTGTCAAGCATCATAATTAAAAAAACATGCCAAGCAACATGTCATGCCAAGCAAAAAATCGCTATGTCACACCCAACCACGCTACAAGCCTAAGTGGGCCCAAGCCACTCAAATGCCCAAGGCTTGCTTGAGTGGGTTGTGGTATGGATGGTAATAAGTTGTCATGAGGCCCATTGATGGGCTGAGAAATGGAGGTTCCGGGTTGCTTGGGAGCATCGGAACCCAAGCCCATTTCTTAAGCTCAAACATGTGAGTGAGCACAAAAAGGGAAGATATCTCAACCAAAATAACCTAATCAAATAGCTCAACCAAAATGGTCCATTAAAATTAACCAATATAGCCCAAAACTTGATGAGATCAGCCCATTTGTTTGGTAGATTGACTTGCCATCTTAGAAAGAACATACAATTAGAAGCAAGAAGCAGCAAAGGCTTCAGCATTTGGTTGAAAGACAGCCACGAAAGAGCTTGGAAGACCATGTGGGCTGCTGGGAGGGAATGAGTTTTCAAGCAAAACATCCAAGGGACCAAAAGTTATTAGCGCTCAAGGAGCCACCATTCGAACCAACATGTATACCAATTTCTTTCCTTTATCAGATCTGACCATGAAGGAGGAAAAGAAATAGAGGAAAGGAGATATCTGAAAATAGGAATTCTTCACTAGTGCAGCTGCAAGAAAGGAACATTGAGCTCCCAAAATCCCTGATTTTGTTCAAAGGAGCAAAGTAGATTTCACCAAAACATGATGATTAAAGGGATGAGGGGAGAAAGGAAGGGAAAGACTTGGCAAAATGAGATAGAAGCCATTAGGATTTCTTGAAAAAAGATGGCTTACAGCGGCTATAAATAGGGTTTCTTCTACTGAACAAAAACCATTCACAACCAGATAGCAAGCTTCCTCTCTTGCCTACAAAACCCAACAATTTTCGTGCTTAGTTCATCTCTTCCCTCCTCAATTTTCCTTCTTGGCATGCTGTTCTAACACTGGATAGAACCTCTGTCAAGCTGCCGGAAAAAGCACTCAAGCCTTCTTTTTCTCTCTTTCCCTCATTCTTAACCAAACTTTTCTACAAAACCCTTTTTTCTCCTACCTTTATACCCCATCTTTCCCCTAGGAACACTTAATATTTTCTTTAGTGCTAAACTCATGACAACTTTGCTCCCATGCCACAAGTCTTTCATGCCAAGCTAAGATTCTACCTGTAAGCACTAAGAATTTATCTGTAAGCAACCATTATTTTTGTTGGTGAAGGTAACCAAGGTGTTTCTTAAGGCTTTACTGTCCTTTCGAAACATTTTGGGGTATGATCTTTGAACTTAGGCACGGGGGTAATTTCATTCAGTTCGCTCCTTACGGCAGCCCAGCCCAGTAGCTGCCGGAAGAAAAAAGCCCCTACAGGTTCTTTTAAAACCCATGTATCAATTTCATAAAATCTTGTTTTGTTTGAAGAAAATGTATTAGTTATAGTATTTAAACCTGTATTTTTCCAACATGCTTTTCCAAGAAACATGTGAATTTTTCATACAAACTTTGATGTTCTTCTAATAAAAACACTTATAAGCGTAAGTGTCTAATTCTTTCAAATTCAGATTGACATGCCCACACATAACCACACCCCCTATGTCAATGTTTTTGTCAATGATGTGTTCCCCAAGGAACTGCTTATAAGATATAATGTCAAAGTAGCATTTCTATGCTACATTATGGATTTTGGCACTTAGTCAAAATACCATATACAATATAATAATCATATGGAAATTCTAATTTTTTTTTTTTTATAGACAAGCAATATTCTATTTAATCTAATTTAAATTACGGGGAGGGGAATTCAAACTTGAGTGCTGAGTGGGGAGCATATCCGCTCTAACCAACTTGGCTACTCCCATATATGTGTAATTCTAATTATAACACAAGAGCAATTGTGTTGTAGTGAGATTACTACTTGTTGATGCTAAAAAATGGACGGCTAAGATTGAGTCTAACTTAGAGATGAGTAGAGCTGGCAAACGGGTCGTTTTTGCGGGTTACGGGTCGTGTTCGTGTCAACCCGTTATCTTAACGGGTTGACACGAACACGACCCGTTAGCTTAACGGGTCAGAAACACTGAACCCAAACACGACCCGCACAAATTCGCGAATAACACGACACGACCCGTTATGGCTAATGGGTCGTTTTTCACCCGTTTCACCCGCTTAACCCGTTTCACCCATTTAAAAAATAACAATATTTTTTAACAATTATTAAATGAAAACACCTCAAATTAGAGATATAATAAAAATAAAGCTGAAATCCTTTAAATAAGTCTTTCACATTACACATTGGCAAATAAAACAACTCTTAGACAATGTGAGTTTCAAATTAATCTCAATTCAAACAAGTTTTAAATAAAATGTTAAGGAGAAAAGGAACAAATTTAGAGCCTCCACCATGAACCTAATCTCAAAACTTGAAGGTCCTCCGTGTCCATGACTCCATGATCTCAAAATTGCAACTTTCACCAATATGCAATCTCACTGTAAGGAAACAAAAAACACAACAGCCAAATATGAGAAAAAAATAAAATTATGGAGGGATACAATATGAATAAAATATCAATTATTTATTGTTACCTTTCATCAATCTTCAAGGGAAATACTATTGGAACATTGTCCTGATATAGTCTCTTCACAAGTAAGATTGAAAATATCTTCAGTAAGACTTTCCACTTCGGCACTTCCTTCATCTATTGCTAAGCATTGAAAAAATAAAAATTACAAAGAATTCACATAATGGAAAAACATAAAAGAAAAAAAAAATAGCTACTAGTATTAAGCTATATAAATATTACCTTCATTTCCAAAAAGCCAATCTCGAGTGCACAACAAAGCTTGAACAGTTTGAGGTAATAATGAACTACGATATTGATCTAATACTCTTCCGCCAATACTAAAAGCCGATTCCGATGCAACGGTAGAAATGGGAATTGTTAACACATCCCGAGCTAAATGTGAAAGTATTGGATAATGAAAATGCTCCATTTGCCACCAAGAAAGAACATCTATATCTTGCTTTCTATCTAGTCTTTCCTCATCCAAATACTTATGCAATTCATTTTTCTTACATGAACTTGAACCATTTTTGTAACTATTATCAAAATCCTACACCATACAAAATCAAAAAACAATTATTAGTTACATGCAAATATACAATATGAAACAATACATAAATAAAACAATAAGAAATAATTTGAATTTACCTCAAGAATGGTGTCTCCACCTTCATTGTGACTAGTTGTCTCATTCGTTGGAAAACTTGCATTAAGAAGAGGAGATAAAGTTTCCGTGTACACATGAAAAAGGGAAGTCAATGTGTCTGTAACACCCTTGAATTCTCGAGAATCCTTACCATGAAGCTTAGTATAAGCCCACTCTACAAAATGCAACTTATAACGAGGATCCAAGATAATTGCAATTGCAAGAATTAAACTGTACTCTGACCAATACTTCTCAAACTTCATGCTCATATTAGTTCCTATCTTATTCATGAAAATATCATCATCTTCAATGGCTGCCTTGATTTGGTGTTGGATTATGAAGATCTTAGGGAAGAATAAATTTGATGTGGGGTACTTTGTTCCAGAAAATAAGCATGTCACTTCATAAAAATACCCCAAAAACTTGGAAATCTTCTCTACTTTAATCCACTCTTGGGGAGAAGGGCAACTACTAAAATTGGAATCAATCAACCCTAAATTAATAAATGCACGATGATAGAAAAGTGCACTATCAAGCATGGTATAAGTTGAATTCCATCTAGTAGGGACATCTTGTCTCAATCCTCTCTTACTACCCACAATCCCTACTTGTGCAACACAATCGTAGAATTTTTGTTTCCTTGCCTCGGATCCCTTTATATACTTGACACATTCCCGAATCTTTGTCACTGAAGAATCAATTTCTTTAAGTCCATCTTGGACTATCAAGTTTAAAATGTGGGCACAACAACGCACATGAAAAAACTTACCACCCATCAATAGAAGAGATCTAAAGTTCAATTGATTCGTCAAAATATCAACAAAAGCAGTATTTGCAGAAGCATTATCAAGAGTAATAGAAAACAACTTCTTCTCAATCCCCCACTCAGTTAACAATGTATTGATTTTTTCAGATAATGCAACACCAGAATGTGGAGGAGGCATATGACAAAAGTTGATAATTCTTTTCTGTAATCTCCAATCTTTATCAACAAAGTGGGCAGTAAGAGCAAGATAACCATCAGTGCATAGAGAGGTCCATAAATCTGATGTTAAACAAATTCTTCCCTGAACTGAGCTTAACAAACTCTGAAGTTTTGTCTTTCACTTTTAAACATCCTCAACACACATGCCTTAACAGTATTTCTACAAGGCAACTTAATATCCGGCGAGACATAAGCAAACAAAGCCCTAACTCCCTCATATTCAACAAAGCTAAAAGGCAAGTTATGTTTTATGATTGCCTCTATTAACAAGTTACGAAATCTGATATGATCAAATTTAGGGGAACGCAATCCAGATGATGACATAAGTAATTGTTTCACATCTCCATGTGGTTTCTTAAGGCAATTTTTAGCATGATTCAACAAATTTCCAGTCCCACACCTACTATCACACACATAAATTGTCTCACAATTTCTACATTTAGCACGCCTTTTTTATCTTCTCCAAGAGGCAATAAATCAAATGTTTCCCAAGCAGAAGATCTCAATTTTCTCTTACCAATAGTGATGCCTCTAGGCTTTTTGCTTCTAGGGCTTGACTCTTTATCTTCTGCATTTGCAGCACTTGTATCCCCACCCATTGAAACATCAATAGACTCCTCATCTGTGAGTCTCATACCTTCAGTACTCTCTGTAACATCCATGAGCTTCAAAAGAAAAAAAAATGGACATAAATTCAATATCAAACAAAGAACATAGTGCAGCAATTGTTAATTAGTTTTTTTAATTAGCAAGTCTTCATCTAAACCAGTAAATAAATCAAACAAAGAACATAGTGCAGCAAGTTGATAAAATAGGCAGAAGCCACTAAACAATTAAGGACTGAATCGGCTCCTCTCCTTGCCCTATATAAACAGATCATACTATGCAAACCATGCATAAATGTGAAAGTATCATAAAGTGTTTAATTAAACATGGCTCAGACACTACTGATCTATGTTACAGACTAACAAAGATGAGAAATCCAACCACATGACTAACAAAGATAATAAACTAACAAAGATGATAAGCTAAGTGATGCAAGAGGTACAAAGCATTTCACAAGCTACCACATAAAGTAATTTGGCGGCTTATGCGGCAGTGCCATGTGAGTTAATGAAATTTCCCCATGATACATGAGGATAATGGCAGTACAAATACGTGGCATGCCATCTCCGTTGCCACACCCATAACGGTTTGTAAAAGCATGATCCATTAAGGATAGAGTAAAGTGAAACCCATAAAAAGTTCTTAAAACTGATACTACTGTACTCCCTATTCCAGAACCACCAAACTCAACAACTGGGTGGAGAACAGAGACCATGCTTCCCACTAGCATTTAATGGGTTCTGTGACTCAATTGCAATTTTCCTATGACAAGCTCTAGTTCGTTTCAAGTATCAATAGAAAGTGGTATTAGATTTTTTAATTGCAAGAATTTGGAAGCGAAGTACAAACCTAATACAACTGTCCAACTTAGCTGAAGTGCTAATGTTCCAGAAGAAGATACACCAATCACAAGTTCTCAACCTTTCTTTTTTCCTTTGTTTTCTCTCCCGAAACATTTCAGTAACCAAATTAACTATGTCTGAAACTAGAAAGCAGGAACATCCTATATAAACAGATCAAACAAAAGGAGAGAACTTTCGATTACCTTTTCAACTTTTACGGAAATGTTATCAACCCGATGCTTGAAAGACTCTGGTGGAGAAGAGGAAAGATAGGTAGTTGATGTTGTTGATGGTTTGGTTTGGATGTAGAGAGAGAACGTGAGAGAGTGTTTGTTTTTCTTGAGAGAAAGAGACAGCAGAGTGAGAGCGGCGTGAGATGAGAAGGAAGAAGGGTAGCGATGCGAAACAGATGATACAATTCAGTCTAGGTTAATTTTATAATGAAAATTACAAAAATGCCCTTCCTCTTAACGGGTTAACGGGTGATTCGCGAATAATACTGACACGACCCGTTAGCTTAACGGGTGAGTAACGGGTCCACCCGTTTTCAACCCGACCCATTAAGCTCGACCCAAATACTGTTATTTTCGTGCGAATTCGTGTCGTGTTAACGGGTCGTGTCCAATATTGCCGGGTCTAGAGATGAGGTGTGATGGATGATGGGTGAAAGTGAGGACCTTCAACATGTGTGTGAAGATTTGGGCAAGCGATAAATATACAGAAGATAAGATATACATGGTTCCTCCTTAATGAATGAGCTACGTCTACGGAGAAGTATATTCTCATTCTTATAATAATGTGTATTTACATTTATACAAAGGGTTGGGCCCAAATATAAAGAGAAAAAGGAATAAGCCCATGACTAAAGATCAAACCCAATTTAAGGATCCTTTCCTAAGTGTAAAGTGGTCTCCTTTTATAGGTGAAAGGGAGTCTTCACATTTTGTAATATTTCAAGGTGAGACTCTTTGTACTTCTTAGAGTTGTTTTTAGTTGTTTGGTCAGATATACAAACACTACTAATAAGTATATACATGAAGTCTCAATGCTTGCAACTAAACTTTAGAAAAAATTTATAAGCAAAAACAAGAGTTTCTAACTTTCCCACATGATATAGGTTTTATGAAGTTATAACACTATTTTAGGACCCATATAGAGCTCACCTCACCTATGAAAATTTAGTATAATAATGGACCAAAGCCATGTAAGACTGGACAAAGTGTGCCTTGGACTAGGCTCAACCCAACCGATCCAATTTCAATTTTACCTAGCTCAAAACATAATAGAATCAAAACCCATGTGAGCATTATTTATTAAATAACATAAACATACCAAGATGTTAAAAGTAGAGTGCTACTATTTCCACCCCACCTGTCCTATTTTCCCACCCACCTTATCTTTCCACTCTCCATATAAATTTTAAAAAATACAGTCCTATTTTTCCACCCACCAATATTCCTAAAATACCCTTTTAATTATTACCTCATTTCCTCTCTCCTTTTATTCTCTCTGTTCAGTTTCAAGCTTCTAAAAACATGTTCTCTTCTGATTGCAAGAACTATATGGAATAGTGGCTTTCTTCTCTTCAGAACTTTGACGCCTATGACTAACTGACATATCTCAGGATTGGCCATATTTTGACCAGTTCTTCGTTGTGTGATCGTTTTTGGGTAATTGGGTAAAACTAGAAAATAATTTAGAACAAGATATGCCCTGCATCACCATCCTTCCTAGAAGCGCAGAAGATTAACATCCATAAGACTTCTGAGGATAATTTCAAAGCGCCTTTAATTTTGAAAGAGCTTGGAAGACCCTTCTTGTTTTCCAGCAATGCTGCATGCTAATAATGTAGTATAAATGTGAAATAACCATGGAGAAGTCGGGGGATGCCACTCCAATTCGTGACCTACAAGTTGGGTGGAGAGGTTGGTTTGGTGATATGAGGAAGATGGTGGTTCAGGCCTCTGTCTCTCTTCACTTTCTCTCTCTCCCCCCTCTCTGTCTTCGAACAAATCCAGGCCCTTGCATATTGAGTTTGGTGTTTTTTCCCTGAGTCTTTAGAAGTCATTTTATGAAGGGGTTTATTCGTCTTTAAAATTTTGAAGATAAAGTAGGTAGGAAAATAAGACAAATGGGTGAAAATAACAGCACTCTAAAAATATTATTTTAACTCACTCAATTTATGGCAAGCTCCAAACATGCATCAAGACAACTCACTTTTTTTTTCCTTAGTGGTCATCGATAAAACTGTAATTTAATTTAAAACTGTTCCCACGTGCCAATTTCATTAAACAAAACAAAACAATTTGGAAAATAATTATTGCTTAAACTCACATCAAAATGCGTGAATGGGCCCCACACTTGATTTAATCCACCTTCTCATTAATGTTTTGTATTATGTCAATAACGTGGAGAGAGCACAGCGAAGCCAAACCGGTCCGACCGGTCGGACACCCAGACTTTACAAGGATGCGCTTAACCGGGTTAACCGTTAACGAACTACCGCTCGCTCTCTCTCTCTCTCTCCTGTATCTGATTCTTCTTCCGTTTCCTCCGTACACAACAGCGCACAGTATAATACATATTTTGTGAAAAAAGAAAATAAATAGAGAAAAAAAATATTGAAATTAATCAAGTAATAAAAGAAAGAGAGGGTGAATCAAAATCAAAGACCCAAACGAATTCCAGATTAGTCTTCGTCTTCTTCTTCTTCTTCTTCTCTGTTACTCCGTGAAGCAATTTCTTCGAGCTCGGGAACCAGACAGGACCCTTTGGCAAGGGAAGGGTCCACGGTTGATCTTGCTTGGTGTTGAAGCTTTGAAGTTTCCAACTTTCAAGGATTTGACTCGGATTGCGGAATTTTATTGGGTTGGAGTTCGTTTTACTTTTAGCGAATTGAAGTGGGATTCTAGGGTTTCGGGGAACAAGATGAAGCCCATGCAGACCATACAAGATCTGATCGAGGAGATTAAGCTCCGAGTGGTTTGGTGGGCCTTGTTTGTCTTCTGCGTTACCTACTTCCTGTCCCGTAAGTGCTCCAATATGATGCAAATTGGATTTTTTTGTTCTTTCTTTGTTTCGGTTTTGTTACAAATTTGCTATAGTTCATGAAATTATTGCTTTCTTGGGGGTGTTGATGATTTCTGATTGTATCTAAGTTGCTTTTTATTCCAAGAATTAAGAATCAGTAGCTAACTCATAACTCTGTGTTTAGCTTCCGAGAAACTGGTCGAAAATAATCAAGTGAAAATACAATGTTGGATTTTACATATTATCTGTGATTTCTTCATCATATGTATATTATACTCAGCTAAAGTCATAACATAGTTTCAAGTTTCTAAAATATCTGTAAACAAGTGCAGGTTAGAATTATGGTAGTCTGTGTTGTGAAAATTGGTTGGTTCTCTTGAAAATGTGGTCTTTTTCACTCTTAAAAGAGTTTTTTTCCTGACTCCAATTCTTTGTCATTCCTCACAGATTCGAGTAAATCAATGTGGATGAATATGCCAATATCAATTTTGTTGGTTTCCGCATTACGTTTTCTATTAAATAATGTGGAATTCCATTGGAAGGTTCAAAGACCTGTTCGACCGCAGTCATATTTGTCTCATTTGGAGAAGAAACAGTTGTCGGTCAATGATCCACGCCTTTCTACCGGGCCTCCACCACCAAGGTGGAAGAGGAAAATTGGTTCTCCAATCGTAGAGGATGCGATGAGTGATTTCATTGACAAAATTTTAAAGGATTTCGTGATTGATTTATGGTATTCAGATATAACACCAGACAAGGAGGCTCCAGAGCAAATACGTGTGATAATCATGGATGCTCTTGGTGAAGTATCAGGAAGAGTTAAAGAGATAAACCTTGTTGACTTGCTGACAAGGTATCCTTCTGTTTCTTGTGGAAGTGAATCATTTGCAAGTTGTTAAAACACTTTTATCATTAAAGAAACATAATTAATGCCTTTCGTATGTTTCAGGGATATAATTGATTTAATAGGGGATCATATGGAGCTTTTCAGAAAAAACCAAGCTGCTATAGGTGTTGATGTTATGAAAACTTTGTCTTCAGAGGAGAGAGATGATAGGTTAAAACATCATCTCATGGCTTCAAAGGAGCTCCATCCTGCATTGATATCACCTGAGAGTGAGTACAAGGTGTGAGTGGAGTGTTCTTACAGAAATAAGTTTTGTTTTTAGATTTTATCTCTTGGATTTAGGTTGATGCTCTTTATCTTCCATAGGTTCTTCAGCGGCTGATGGGTGGAGTGTTAGCTGTGGTTTTAAGGCCGCGAGAAGCTCAATGTCCAGTGGTGCGATCTATTGCCAGAGAACTTCTGACAAGCTTGGTAATCCAACCTGTTCTGAATTTCGCAAGCCCTGGGTATGTTATTGAATAGTTTAATTTAATATTACCTTATTTATTTTTGTTTTTCAGTTTTTAGTTTAGTTTATGTTTTTTTTGCTGTCTATAGGGTGTTAAATTCTCCTAAAAGGTATTGCCATTTAGTTTAGTTTTTTCCTTTTTCTTTTCTGTCTTGAGGGTGCTAAATTCTCCCGAAAGGTATTGTCATGTAAAACTGTTCAGAAGCATCAAACTGTCATTTACTATCTATATTCTATAGAAAGCACCTGATGGCCTAGGCTAAACCTTTATTTATTTTGTTTTCCGGATTTTTAAACATATATTACAGAACTGTGGTTGAAATCTTGTATTGGATTATTATTATTATTGTTATTTTATCATGATCTATTTATGTCATGATTTAGAGCTTAGGAGCATCTGATCTTATAAGTGGGCGTATATGTGTATAACAGCATAATAATGATATGTGCCTCCAATTTAATAACATAAATGGTACAGATTTTTCCACGCCTTTCCTATGGCTTACACAAATTTAGCCATTTTAACATACAATTTTCCTTTATTCAGGTATATCAACGAATTGATTGAATACATTTTGCTAGCCATTAAAGATGAAATCACTAAAGTGGTAGCGGGTGACCAGTCAACTGCAGGGGGTAACAAATATGCAACCTTTAATCAAAGAACTGATATGATATTGTCTAAAGTTGACAATCAGAGAGAAAAGTCCTCGGATTATAACCCATTCCAGGAAGATCCTTTGCAGCCACGGCCTGCTGATTGGGCAAGAATTTTGGAGGCTGCGACACAGAGAAGGACTGAAGTTCTTGCTCCTGAAAATCTTGAAAACATGTGGACGAAAGGGAGAAATTACAAAAGAAAAGAGCACAAGAAAAAGATAAGAGCAACTCAGGAACATACACCACATACACCTGTGAGTTCTGGAGTAGATAGTGCTGTACCTGCTAGAAAGTTAGGGAACGAAATGGAAGCTGACAGGCATGAAATTTCTACAGGAATAGAGGATAAATCTATTGTGAAGCTGACACGTGAGACAAGTTTAGATTCTCAATTGAGTGATGGGACCAAAAAAGAGATGCAGTTCTCTTTGGATCCCAGCAAAAAATCATATGCTGAGGGTGGGAATCTTGTTGATGAATTGGAGGACATTGGAAGCCTTGCTGCTGATGGAAATAAAATTAGGCTTAAAAGATCAAATAGCACTTCTGCTTTAAAAATCCAACCAGACACAAAAAGGGCACTCACAGAAGGTGGAGGGTCTATCATATCAGAGTTTTATAGCCCTGAGTTTGGCAAGCGCAGAGAAGAGCATGTTCGTAAGAGTGCCTCAGATATGGTAGTCCATTGTGTGGGACAACAAGTTCCCAAGCTCAGATGCCGGGTAAGCATTTTTTCTGTGAAATTTGATGGTCTAGTAGATATCATAAATTTTGAAGATATAAATTTGATGGTCTAGCAGATATTGTAAGTATTGAAGATGTAAACATTTCAGCTTCTTGACTCTTTGTCCAATATGCCTATACAGGTTATGGGCGCATACTTTGAGAAACTTGGGTCAAAATCTTTTGCAGTTTATTCAATTGCAGTTACAGATTCAGAAAACAGAACTTGGTTTGTGAAAAGAAGGTTTCATTCTCATCTATATCATCACACCAAGATTACTCCTTTCTTTTTATTGCACTTGCACATGCCCAAACATGCCCCAACCCCCCGCGCGTCCACACACACACACACTCTCTCTCTCTCTCTCATAAAAATAATGAAAATAAAATTACAGACACATACAACATATACAGAATCCACCTCTGATGCGGATGTCCTAATTTAAAGAAAAGTAAGAACTACTTGTTGGGGCCCACCTTGAAGTGTAATCCCATGATCCAAACCATCCACTTTTTAGGTTTCCATTCAACGATCATCATTGCAAAAATTGAGCTAAATGGAAATCGTTTAGCCCTTTGATTATCATCATCATGATAATTTCTATGTTTACCAGAAATACTTGATGAAAATTAGATGACTAAACAGATTCAGATTTTGTTAAGTTATTCTTGCTGGGTGGTCCCACTATGTGGACCTTGTTTTTCTTAAAATGAAGATGTGCTCATTAGAGAAAATATGTGTGTGTATATATATGTGTGTGTGTTTGTTCTTACATATGTTCAGAAAGTTCTTGAAGTCTATTTCAGCATTACCTGGTCCATATATGAATTTTTGTTCTACCTGCAGATATAGGAATTTTGAGCGATTACATCGCCATCTTAAAGAAATTCCAAATTACACTTTACAGTTGCCACCCAAAAGAATATTTTCGTCAAGCACAGAGGATGCTTTTGTTCATCAGCGATGTATTCAGCTGGACAAATATCTGCAGGTATGATGCAGGTTCTTCAATGTATTTCTATATCCCCCTCCTCATTCTCTGCTTTTTTCTCTCCTTGTTGCTTTACTCATGCTGTATTTCCCAGGATCTCTTGTCAATAGCTAACGTTGCTGAACAGCATGAAGTGTGGGATTTTTTAAGTGGTTCCTCAAAGGTATTCATTGTCTTGACCTTAGTTTTAGAATCTTAGATGACCACCTATATATATCTCTCTCTCACTCTTTTTTTCTAAACAGTATCTTCTTTTTTTTTCTTTTCTTTTTTTTTTGGGGTTTTAGAATTACGCTTTTGGAAAATCTCCCTCAGTGATGAGAACTCTTGCAGGTATGTGGTTATTCTCAGTGGTTTTTCGCATATTTTCTGTTCATATTTTTGGGTGTCCATGTTTGAAGAACACAAGTGATGTAATGGAACTGAAGGATATGTCTTCAGAGCCTTGTTTGACCAGATAAGGGGTCCTTATCTATTTTATCCCTCATAATTTTTTGGTCCTTTATATTTTTCAATACTTTACAGATTAGCACCCCCTTGAAATCTTTTAGAATAGTTTCTTTCCTTGTAAAAAATTAATTTAGAAGTATTCGTCTTGCTCGAAGGAGTTGTTCTGCTGCCTGCAGCAAATATTTTTCAGAGGCTGAGAACAGTTTTTGATTCATATATTATGGACCATGAACCTTTTCATTTTAGTAGTCACTAAAAGGCATTTGTTCTTACTTCTTAGTATTATCTTAAGTGAACGTGGGCTTTTCTCTTTATTTACTTTATACAGAATACAGTTAATAACTAAAATGTAATTATCCATCACCAAAGTAATTCTCAGAAAGCCATATATGTTAAAGAACCTTTTTTTATTTTTATTTTTTCTTCTCCATAATTGCCCTTGGTCTTAAATCCTAGTATCTTTATTTGTAGTTTTATCTTGATCTGGGTGCTTCCTTTAGTGTTATGACAATTTCTCATATTTGCTTATTGCTTTTCGAGATTCGGTTAGTCAAGGTTTTCATGGTCATTCTTTTTATTTGATTGAAGCAGTCAATGTGGATGATGCTGTGGATGATATTGTACGCCAGTTCAAAGGGGTTTCAGATGGCTTAATGCGTAAAGTTGTTGGTTCTCCCACATCTGAGGCCTCATCTTCATTTCTGCATGGAACTTGTCCACAAATGCAGATGAGACAGGAGTACGTGCTATTAGGCAAAATACAGTGGAACAACAATAGCTTTTCTGATAATGAGGATGGTGATAAAGATAAAAGTTGTGACCCTGAGGAAGCAGGATCTGGTGCACAAGAAAATGGGTGGCATTCAGATAATGAATTGAACTCCAAGGGTTATCCATGCAGGGTTATACATACAAGGAGCTTAGGTTCGGAGAAGAAAGATGATTTAGCTGGGGAGGGTGGCTTTCCCGCAGCAAATTTTACAGCAACCTCCAGAATTTGGAGGATCCAGTTGGAATGCCACCTGAGGTATTATTGTTCACTGTCATGATACTTAGTATCCTAAATTTGTTGATTATGGCAAACAAATTCATGTTGGTTTTTGGCATGTAAGCCACTAGACTGCTAACTAGTGTTTGATAGGGCTGACTGGTAGAAAAGAATTCATGTTAACCACCTTGAAGTATTTTGAGAAAAGGACTTCTGTAGTTGACTCAATTTCTTAGGAAAAAGGCTTGGGTTAGACGTGAGAGGAGTAGCTTCATGTTGGACCTTTTTGACCATTTTCACCAATATCTTATGTGGTATCCCATTTCCGGTACTTGCCTACTTCCATCATTACCTGAAGTCTCTTCCGCGGCATGTTCCCTTTTCTTCACACAACTAAACTATAGTTTTAGGTATTTCATTGACATCAATTACTTAATAGGTTAATATTGTTATCCATTTTTTACTTTCTTAATTTTCTGCCAGTGTAGCATGATGATATTCTCCATGCCCATTTTGGATCCTCCTGTTTCCAGCGTAATGCAATCTGTCTTTGGTTATAAAGTTTAGATCTTGGATTTTGTATACAAGATGCCATTTTATTTTGAATTTAAAATTTACTACCAGTTTTCACATTTTGTATACAAGATGCCATTCCAGTTTTTCACTGCTGGACCAGAGTAAAAATCTCGATCACCAAGATATTCTGAAAGTTTCCAACCTTGATATATGTTAAAGCATACTCAACACTAGAAATGAAGGAGGTGGTGCCCATTGAAACAATACATTGCTGAACTTTGAAATGTGATTCAGGAGGTTTATATGGACGTGTAAATTATAAGAAAATAGTATCCTGACTTGTGAAAGGTTGCCATTAAAGTCATTGTGAATTGCATGTATAAGTTTTAGATTTTTCAGTGAACTTGGTTCTTTCATAGGTTTATCTGAAGATCACCATTCCAATCAACATTTTTAAATAAATACCACAGTGCTTCGTAGGACATGTTGGTTGTGTCTAATATGGATGTTTACAACTTGGTTTCTTTCAGTGGACTCCACCCAATGTTAGCGTACCTCTGTTGAATCTAGTGGACAAGGTATTTCAGCTTAAGAGAAGGGGCTGGCTGAGGTGAGCTGTTCATGCCTTAACTTAGATGTATTTTTGTTTTTAGTGATTGCTAGGAAATCATGGTTTCTTTTTAATGGTTCAAGGAAATTATGGTTGTGTGTCCTGATGATGCATGATGATGTTATCTGTAGTCATTATGTTGTTGTATATTAGAGACCAGATCTTTAATTTGTTATCTTTTTACTATGCCTGAGTGTACCTGAGTATGGCTTCAGCTCTAGTAAGTTGATCTTGGATAAAAGCATTTGGACCACGCATGATAAACCAGTATCCAGTTTTGTTTTCATTAATAAAGTAGGTGAAGTACAACAGCGTTGTCCAGAAGTGGGCAAGCAGTCCACCATTCAAAAAGTAAAAAACTCTTATCTCCACCCTGTTTTCTTGTAAACGTTGAAAGGAAACATCATATGCCATCGTGGCAAAGTTTTATAGATTGGTTATTCTCTGTGCCACTTCTCTTTGTTGTGCTTTTCTTTCTTTCGGTTGCTCATCTCTTCCTTTTTTTAACAATTGATTTTAATTTGTTCTCCCATGGTTCTGCTTTAATTTTAGTGATAAATATTTCTTTTTTCTTTCTATTTTATGTGGTCAATAACTTATGATTTTCAGAATTGTTGTCATTTTGTTCTCCCCTTTTTGTATGAGCAACTGTCTATAGCTTATAAGACTTCTTTTCTTAATTCCTTTTAGTCTGCAGACCATGTCCCAAGTACTGGTCGAATTGTATAAAGCATGATGTTATGCACTATGCTGTAACGTGTGTAATTACAGTAAATGATTGGTCTTTCACACGTGCTTATATTTGTTCATGCCGAAGACAGGTCTTTTGGATATCAAAACAAATATTACAGTTAATGATGGAGGATGCTATTGATGACTGGCTCTTGACGCAGATTCATTGGCTTCGGAGGGAGGATACTATTGCTTCGGGAATTCGGTGGCTTAAAGATGTAAGTACTGAACCAATTATAAACATCTTCATTTTACTGAAATAATATTTTATACCAACTTAGAGATGTAAGCTGTAAATGCAATTAGAAGAATTCAGTCCAAGCTTAGATGAATACTGCAGAAGAATAGTTATATGAATAAATATTTTTGCATATTAGTCCACTACATATATTATGTAAATGGAGTCACCTTTGCCTGCACTTTCCTCGGTAGATTTCTGAAATGGAAAGGGATTAGGTCTATTGGGTAAGTCTGTCCAACCTCTGCAGGCTTAGTCATTGTGCATACTTTTGCCCTCAAAATATTCGACTGGTTATATACATATTGCAATTGCAATTGCAATGTTGGCCTGACTCAAGCTTAAGTTAAGAACGTAGAAGAAATATATCTACATTAAGATGTCATGCAAAACGACCTTGCTCAAGGGTTCAACCACAAAACCTTTTATCCACCTCATAAATGTTTGTGTTGAGCAGTGAAAAACAGAACTCCTGTTGCAAGTTCTTTTTTGTCTTTAATTTATTGTCTGCACAAAATCATATAGAGGTTCTATTATTGTTATATTTTTTCTTTAGAACTGCTTCTCTTGAAGCTGGTAAAAGTTTGGTTACATTTGAAGGGAGCGACTTCATGTATTCCTGTTTGTTGAATTTTGATTGTCTCAACTCTCAATTCTTAATCATCATAATAAATTTGGTATGTGCTTCCAAAATTTCTTTCTAAGGTAAAATTGTTCTCACAGTTGTCATATGCAAATATTTTTGCTTTCTAATCATATGTATTTCTTTTAGGTTCTGTGGCCCAATGGCACATTCTTCCTTAGAGTCGGAAATGTCAAGATGGTAATGAAAAACCCTTTTCAAAATATAAGTCAATTGGGTGGCAGTAAGGCTGATAAACCGGGGTCTTTTGAGCAGCAGCTTGAGGCTGCTCGTAGAGCTAGTGATATCAAAAAAATGCTCTTTGGTGAGTGATTAATATTATCTGTTTTTTGGTCATAGATAATTTTGTTGGCTGTATTAGTCTTCATGGAAATGGTTCTGCTGCCTTGTTTTTCATAACCAGTGAAATCTGTTTTCCAGAAGTTATTATTGCACTTTTTAGGTTCAAGTACTCTTATCTGTTGTTTCTCCAAATTTTCTTGGACTATAATTATTTATTTCTTTTGGGTTTCTGATAAGTGCTTATATTGAATACCTAGGATTGTAGCAAGGGCCTCTGATAACGTGTTGAATTCTGAGAGTTGTAGGATTTTGAGAGTTCGACTATTTTAACATAGAAAAAATGGCTAAATTGCTCTTAGATATAGGTTAATCATCACTTTTCATGTGAAACTTACAATCTTATGAATACAAAGATACCAAAGAACTGGAATATTAATTCTACAGTTATGTGAGTCTAGAACTATATTTCGTGAAAAATACAATCTTTCAGTTGTCACAGCTTCTTGTTCAGGAGAGGTGAAACAAAGTTTCCGGCACCAGAATTCTGTGACAACTCATGATCTTCTGCCACTTTCTTGTTATATACGTACATACATTCATTTTTCTGGCTTGATTCATGTGTATATACATATGTTATATATATATATATATATATCATAAAGTATTCCATGATTGTTAGAGTAGTGTGAAGACTAGAACTGCTTGTGTCCTTGTCTAATTGCTCTGACTACTACATGAAAAGAAACAAACTGATCCACAATTGTGACAGATGGAACTCCAACTGCCTTAGTCAGCTTAATTGGGCATAAGCAGTACAGACGTTGTGCAAGAGACATTTATTATTTCACTCAGGTTAGTCTCTCATCCTCTTGCATTGTCTGCTGCAATTTAGTTTGTTAGGTTTCAAACCGCATATGGTGATTGTGGATTATTATGAACTGCAGTCTACTATCTGCGTGAAGCAACTTGCATATGCCATACTTGAATTGTCGCTCGTTTCAATTTTTCCTGAGCTGCAAGATCTTGTTCTTGATGTTCATCAACGATGGGTGTTAATGAAACTGTTTAGCGAAGATCTTATGTCCGTCCTTCCACTTGATTGTTGCTGTTTAACTTCTCATGATCACAAAGCTCAATACCAAGGTACCTTCCAAGATAGGCAAGACTCAAGAGCACATGATCCATTTCTCTCGGCATTGCCTGTGGTATTTTCTATGTAGGTAAGTGAACAGAAGTCCTGAAGTTGAAGTTTACAAAAAATTTTGAGAATGTGAGAAATGGTCCTGTTTACGCTGTCTCTCGCGTTTTAACTGTACAAAATGTAGATGTAGGGTGTGTACAGGCGTCATCTTCTTTTTGTATAGCTTCTGCGTGGTGAAGTTGATACCCTTTTGTGGGGGTTTTTATACCGTTGCAAACTCAAGAAATATGATCCGTAATGGGTGCATTCATCATTATGTAATGCAACAGTGAGAAATGAGCCTATTTTGGTTTTAGTTATAAAGCAATTCAATTTTTCAAAGATGAATATGTTTGTTTTTGCTTCTGATTTCTTCAGATTTACGTAAACTCGTCAATCCAACGGTTAAAAATGCATTTGTATTTGTATTGGATACAAGTTTACGTAAGTCCTAAATTTGTGAAGAATTTGTGAAGACAATGAGAAGAGCCCTTCAAAGATCGTTATTCTGTTAGCTTATACCATTTTGAAGTGTTATCCCTGTTAACACAATCTCTTTTTGAAGCGATCGGTATTTGTATTTGAGCAAGAGCTTTCAATTTATTTCCCTACAGATAAGAAACGAAAAACGCCCGCTCTGACTGTCAGGGGGGGAAACAGAAAACGTCTCAGACTTGCAATCACACAAAGAAAAGATTGTTTTATGGATTATTTTCTCTTTTCCAATAGTTATATAAGAATTTTCAATGATTTTAATATGTTTTAAGAACTCTTTACCGGATAGATGTCATGAGCAAAGCCGAAAATTGGCAGCATTGCCCTCGAAGTCGAGGAGCTATAATTGGATGGTAGGTTGCATCCTAAAATACTCAGATGAAAATTTCTTTGGTAAAATTGACATGGATAATGAATTTATTTGAAAAATCGTAATCCCTTTATAATGCCAAGTTCATTCAAAAGAAAGTGCTCAAGTTTATCCAATTATGTGACAAAGTTGTTCGTGGATCGCTGCATGCTCATGGGCAGCTAAAAGTATCAGAAAAAGGCACGGTTCTGGTGTAGTTGAATGCCTGGGGATCTTTCTGATGTAGATTGCAAGAATTGTGCCATAAGATTTTCTATATTATAGTTCTAAGACGGAGGTGGACGTGCTATTTATGGGAGTTGTTATATCATATATGAACTTTACCATTTTTACAAGTACGCACTTGTTTAACATAACCAATTCTATGAAGGAATGTCGTTCCTAACTCATTTTGAGCGGATGAAAACAAATTACTCCCATTCTCATGTTTGAAAATACTCGTAAATATGAAAGTATTACTTATTCTCATTCTCATGTTTGATTGTTCAATAGTAAAAATAAAAATATATACAATTTTCTATAATACACAAATGTTCGTACTTGCAATTTAGATATGTATTAAAAGAAATTAGATACAACTATACTAGTCCTTGTCTAAATACATATTTAGACTAATCCCTTGTGTAGATTAAGAATTGATTTTATTTCCTCTGATTCTTTGTCTATGTCAACATACATATTACGCATCAGATTTTGTTTTATTTCTCTAGATTTATTGTTTCTTCTTTCTATAATATCTTTTTGTCGAAGAAAACTCTAATTTGTGATAATCCACATTTTTTTTTTATGAGTTGTAGCATATATTATCAAATTTTAAATGGATTTTTTATTTGTAAGGGGCTTTGTAGCTCAAGTAGTCATCATTTATCATTTCTATATCGCTTGATATATATATATATATATATATATATAAAACTGCATTTATCATTTATATTTTAAACTTTTTATTTCTTAATTGTATCACTGGCATCTAGTATTTGTCATTCTTTTCATTCCACTGTTTTTAATTTTGTGGTAGCTTTTGTGCATAAGCTTGCTTTCATAGTTGTTCTACTTTGTGGGTCACTCTCCCATCCCACTCTGTGTCTCTCTTCACATGAGACATGACCTATATATTTGCATTCTCAATGAGAAAAAAAACTTTTTGGTGCCATGCTTGCTTCTACTTCAGTTTTATCATTGTTGAGCTCTTTGGTGTGCATCAATGAATATTAATTGATTTCCCAAAAGCAGAACCCTAGTCAGTATATTTCCGTTTAATACGCGTATTATACACGTACATATATATTTTTCAATAATACTTCCGTTTCATACACACTTAAAGACTCGGTAAATGCACGTTTTTAAAAAAAGCCAACATGTACGTACATATTTTTCACACTTAATACACGTATTTTTTTATAAAATTTTGAAAAATACATACAAAATTCATGTATTATACACATTTTTCACATATTATTGAAAAATAATAATATATATTTAAATATTTAAATAAATTATATTTAAATATTATAAAGTGGCTGAACTTGTCAGTTTGTATCTTGCCAAATTTTACCAAATAAAACTGTACATATTTTATTGATATTTTTTTCCCATTCTGTGTACATAGTAGTCATCATTTCATTTTAGCCCCATCTTGTTATTTGTCCATGTTATCCTCTTTATTTTTTCTCAAAGTATTTTAGACTCTCTTAGCGTTCAACTTAGATATTTTGATAAAAATAAAAACCATTCAACTTAAGATCATGTTTCTACATAAGTACATAAGATTTTACCTAGGTTCATTAAACCTTGGTCACTGTGAATTTTAGGCAATTTGATATAATATTTAATAGGCTTTTGAATTGTCCAGATCTTTTGTGCTCTTAAGAGCACTTCCACCAGTTAGCCCCTTGCCATGGCAAGGGGAGCCCTAGGGCAGCTACTATTCATGTGAATAGTGGCTGCCCTACCCCCCCTTAGCAAAGTGTGTTTCCAGCATTTTAGGCTTGCCATGGCAAATACTATTCATTTTTGTTTTGTTTTTTTTTCACAACTTTGTTTACTTAAACAATTAATTTGGATAATATTTTCGGATAAGATTTTTGGGTTCCTACATATGAAAAATCATTTTCTCAAGATTTTTAGCGGAGGGTGCAATATTGACTAAGTATGAAAAATGGTTTTTCGGAATAATCATTTTCTCAAGATAATTTTTGGCGGCTTTTATTCCTTACACATCAAATAAGAAAACTTGATTTTATGGGATTTAATATGAAGTATATATTCACTTAATGAGCCATCATTTTTAGCCTAAATCGTATTTTGCACTAAAACCGATTTTTCATATTTTGATTTGGTGGGAATTTGATTTTCTAGTATTTTTATTTGAATCCAAATAGGGGGTACTTCCTTATTATATTGTAAACTTAAGTAAATGGAGTAATATAAAAATAAATAAAAGTAAAAGGACAAAGACATTTACTTAAATGTTGAAAATGAAATAAGGTATAGAGAGAAAAGAATAATTTTTTCAATTTTTTATTACAAAAATATTGGTTGCTGGTGTTAAAAGTGAGAGTATTGGTTGGTATTTATAGAAAAAAAATTCATATTTTTTTGGTATTTTTTTGTTGGGCAAAGGGAGCAACTGTAGGCTGCTGACGTCAGGATGCCCTCTGGTGGACGCTCGGGCCAGCAAGGTAGCTGGGCCACACTCATTGCCCTGCCGTCTTTGTTTTGGGACATTTTGCTGGAAAGCTTTCTAAGTGGTCAAGAATTCAAGCTCTATAGGACTCGGGCATGTGTGTGCTTCGCCCCCGATCATTCCTAACTTTAGCAACAATAAAAAAAAAGGAAGAAGCGCTCGGTTTGCTGGGAGTTTTATTTATTATTTATTCATTAGTTTTCATTTAGGGCAAAATAGGAAGATTGGGGGAGTAATTTATTGTTTGATTCTAGAAAGCATTTAGTAGTTTCCCCAACCCATAGAATTTCGGAGATTCGCTATTAATACCTCATATAGGAGCTCAATTATAAATAAAAAAACCTTATAAGAAATGGACTTTAGAAAACACACCCAAAACCTATTTACAACATAATAAAAAGGCTTTTAACTTCTTTTAAATTACAAAACTGTCATTGATTTCTTAAAACAAACCCAACTCCAAACCTCATTAAAAAAGCCCAAAACACTAATAGGGCATCGAAGTAATTTAACAATCAAATTAAATTCATAAGGTCAGCCGTCATTTTTTTGATTTTTTTATAGTTTGTTTATAAAAATTAAATGATTTAGAATTTATCCATATTATTAGTGCTAAAAATGAGTATATGACTAAATTTCACTATAATTTCCCCCAGTTGTAATGTGTATTGCCGCCTCTCTATCTCTCTCTCGTTTTTTGTTTGTTTTTTGTGTTCAAGCACATCATTTCTATAAAATATACTTTCGTTTTTGCCAATGTCGTTTACAGAGTCCACTGTTTCAATGGTGGTTCAGAGAAATCGAGACCAAGGCACCTCGGAAATGAACAGCGGTGAGGAACCGTAGAGAATGGAACTGCTGGGTTTCTGGGTACGAGCATTTCAGGGACCAAGGATCAAAGAGAACAAGGAGAGATTGCAGAAGCTGGGAATTTTGGACCTTGCTCTGAAGCTGAAGCCCAAAGCTGCCACTCCAAAACGTTCCCAGAGTCAGAGAGATTCGTCTGTTCAGACCAAAATCCACAAGTCCCAAGGCGCTCTTCTAGTAGCCCACTTTTCTCCTCTTTCGTTTTAAAGACCCTCTTGTTTGGGTTCCAGGAAAACGCAAAAGAAAATGGTAGGAAAGGTTAAAACTTTAAAGGATTTTCTTTTTCAAAAAGCGTTTTTTGTTTTGTTAGGTTGAAGACTGTGGCTCCAGTAAGTTATGTAGAAATTAGAAAGCCTAAAGAGAAGGAAGAGACCTCAGAGAGTATTAATATTTATATCAAGGAGGGCTCAAAGCAGAGGTTTATACAGAGGAACATGAGAAGCAGTTGGGGGATTGTAATACAAGCTGGCCCCCTGGGTGGGATTTGGTTAAGGGAGAAACTTGCCACCAATGCAGGTAGTTCATGACTCTGTGATGGTTTCTTGCTTTTCTCATAACAATTGAAGATGACTCATTGTGTTTGTTGTAGTCCCCTGGGACTGGGATATTTTTGCATTGTTGTAAACTTGCCACAAATATTATTTCTGATGTTTATTTGGTAAAGGTGTGTTCTTGAACTCTGAAAAGATTTCATACTTTATAGGGATTAGTTGAACCGGCTTTAATTGACTAGCTGATAATGATGTTCTTAACAACGTTATCAAATTTTAACATGTCAAGTTATGCAGTACGTTCTAAAATTTTAGATATAGTTAACTGTAAGTCTGCAAGCTTAGCCCATTCATGGTAAACCGAAAAAAGTCGCGGGGCTCGTTTGACATTTGAATCATTGTTCTTAAAAGGATTCTGTGAGCACCGGAGTTTTTCAAGTTTCAAACTGATATAAATTGTTGTTGTTACCTTTTGGTTGGGTTGTATTTTTTAATATATCAAGCTTGCATTTGACCTTACAATAAATGTATTTTATGTTCTCCTTTTCCCAATAGTTTATCCTTTACACCACATTTTATTTAGAACCATTTAAAGTTTGTTGCCTCTTTCGGATTTAAGCTTTCAATTCATCAAATTACTTATATGGATAGATGAAAATGTAGCATTGAAAGAAGTCTTGTCATTGCTATGAAATTAGCATCCAATTGAAGCTTTTTTAATATACCAGGTACACTTTCCATGGTTGGTTCCTTCCCTATTCTTCTTTCAGCTTTCCAGTGCATTGTTGGTTGTGTGTAGCATTTCGTGCATGGTTTTTTTTTTATTTTATACTCTTATAATTTGTTTTCTAAATCTATAATGGAAAGGAGATTTCAAGGATTACTGATGCTTAGGAGCTCATACATATGATTAACCCAAAGGAAGATGGCACCTTCTCAAGAGCATAGAAAAATGCTTAAATTTACTGTTATACTGGGTTCATTGCTTAATCGTACAATACATTCATCATGCGTTATATTGATCTTACCTTTGACTTTTTAATTAAAGGTGTCCTTCACTTGGTAAAGTATGCTTAGAGATGACATACTTCCTTGCAGGCATAAACTCTTGGCCAGCATACACATTGCTGCAAATGTGACCGGTCCAAGGGCGTTATGTGGAGATTGCTTATACACGAGGTAAGTTCTTTCATAAATTACCTATTGAAAGTAACATTTCTTTTAATGTTCCAATTCTTACAAAAAACATGCAATGAATTTTACCGTCTTCCACAGATATGGAGAGAATAGCTTGAAGCCAACCAAAATCCTGATTGGGGTTTGCCCTGTTTGTCGGGACTCTGCAACTGCAATCTTTGCCGTAAAGCAAAAGGGTGGGAACCCACTGGTAATCTGTATTGGAAGGTTAACCCTTTCAACCTTATGTTTGCTGCATGCATTTGTGATCATTATATAATTTGGTGTAATATTCTTCTCTTCCAGCATGATGCCCACGGTTTTCGCAGTTGATACTCGTAGGTCCTTGCATGTCAGACTGAGTGATGTCCTATCATCTGTTTGAAAAAATGAAAAAGAAATAAAGAGAAAAACATGCAATAGAACACAACATGCATGCAAGCCCAGTAACTCATGCATCTACAGACAGTTAAATGCATACACATACACACATGCATTCACTCAATAGAATCACTACATAGTTTGGGCACTGTGATTTGGGTACATAATGAGCAAGTCCACAATTAACATGGATAACCATTGCTAAATTTGTTAATTTATCAGGTCTCAAAACTGGGTTACAAGTCTGTGGCGCATTATCTTATTCAAACCCACCATTCCCAGATAAAATCAGAAACCTCAGGTGCAGAGGTTGCTGAAGAGGGATCTGAGCCATCTTCACATGATGAATTTCTGGAAAGCACAAGACATCAACCTGAGGACCTAAGGCATGATGAGGGGTTCTTCACAACGGAAGAAAAAATGGGCGAGGTGCACTTCCTGGGCATCAAGCATGTTGATGTCAATGATGTGGGTAAGCTAGATGATGTTGCTGCTGCTGATGCTAATGATGGTGAGGCAAAGGAAAAGCCAAGGAGAGAAACAAGGGTGAGCAGGAACTAAATATTTCTGGATTATTGATTGTCTGACATGAAGCCTGTTCTTAATACTAAGTAGTCTTGGATCAACTGGTGAAATTTTGGAGACACCGAACTCTTTTTGAGCACAAATATTCCTCTTTTGTTAGCAGGACAGCAAAGAAGGCCACATCTGTAACATTTTGTGGAGTTTACTGATTTCACTCAAATATATTAACTATCCTTTTCAAGATCGGAGAGTGCTGTTGAGTGGTGAGCGACTCAACTTCGATTTGAGACATTTTCCAAACTGACAGAAAAATGGAAGGGAAAAAAACAATTGAACAACATTTCTATGATTTCAATGCAGTTTTACAAAACCCAGTAGCAGATAAGCTTTTACGAGGGAGTATACGAGTCTATTGCACACTTGATTTTGGGACTTGAATGCTTGAAAATGAAAAAAATGAAAGAAAGAAAAAAGAACTATTAAATAGGTGGAAAAGAAAACCGAGCTGTTTTTCAAATTATACGACCTTCAAATGTCACACTGGTTCACATAAGATATTTGAGGGAACTCACTTCTCATGTCGTTTTTTAAGGGATGTGAAATGAAGATTCATTTATCATATTTGGTATTCTGGGAAAGTAATTAAGAAATACCACTTTATTTCCTTTCACATGTTTGGGTTTGTATAGGAATGTAAAACAAAGTTTATTTAATTTACCAATTATAACCATATTAATCAAATAAAAAAAATGTATTTAATGCTATATTGTAATTCTAAATTGTTAATTAGGACAATATGGTCATACAAAATGTATATTTAATGTTGGCTCGTTTTCCTAAACTTTCTCATGAGGATGAAAACAAAACTCAAGGGGGGAGGAGGGCTTCACTCTCCCCCTACTTTTCCATGTGTAAGACAACGATTTCCCATGCTTAAACTTACTAAATATGGGAAAGCAATTAATTTATAATCTCTTAGCCTTCTTTTCCATAAACCAAACAGGGTGACAACAATTCAAACTTTATATGGTGTTGTAGTAACCGCCAAACTGCAATAACTTCTCCGAACTGATGTGCAGGATGTGGCTATGAAGCAGTTAATGGCAACAATTCAAACGTTTGATGTAATTCGTCTGGTACTTTTTGTCATTTTGCACTATTTTTTTGCCATTTTTGCATTGGTTACTTTTTCTCATCTGCTTCCTTAAAATATTTGGATGTGTTTCGACACAAAAAAAACAGAAAAGAAAAACTTGTGATGTGATTATGCCTTGATTCGTGACTTGATCCTTGCCACGTTCCTTCTTGGCCTCGTAGACATTGACTTATAATTCGAATTTTAGGCACAAGGCATGAATATCAATCGAGCCATATTATTTGGGATCCGCCGCAAGGTCTCCATCAGCTCCAGCCACACGACCTCAACTCATCCAAAGTCATTACGGGTTTCTTCACCTAGGGCATGTTTACGTATCAGTAATGGGAATGAGAGGAAAGGAAATGATTTCCATTCCTGACTTCTCCTGCGTTTACTTGCAATCAGGAATGAAAAATAAGTGGGCCCCACCTCAAAATCCGTAATCACATTTCCTCAAAACTAGGAATCATATCAACTAGGGGGGAGTAGTCGATACGATTCCCATTCCTGTTTTCTCTTAATAACTTCCAAAAATACCCTTATCACTTTACCATAATTCTAAAATTAATTTGGATTCTGATTCATGCAATTAGTAAACAATAACAATGGGAATCAATCTCATTCCATTGCTAATTTCCAGATGTTTAGTAAACAGCTTAAGGGAATGATTCTTCCCATACCGATTCAGTAGTTCTCCGATTCCTAAATTCTCTGATTCCTTAGTTTCTCATTACTGATACGTAAACATGCCCCTAAAATTTGGTTTCTCTGCCACATGGCCAATTGCGACCAACAATGATACTAACTAACCTTACAATGGCAATAAACTAACTAAAGTTGGGTTCTATTTGGAACCTTTCATATTGTGCCAAATCTCTAACTGGTACTACTACTAATATATTTGACATTTACCAGCCTATTTCTTTTTGTTTCTTGTCAGATTAATATTCAATTTTGACTTTTTTAATTCGTACAATATATTTAGAGATGAGATATCCGAATAGAAGACCTCGTGCAGAATAATTGTTTTTATCTTTGGAGCTACTATCATTTTTATTCGTATTGTAATCTAATTAATTTTTTTTGCTTTTGCTTTTTTTTTTTTTTTTTTTTTTTTTTTTTTTTTTTGTGATGAGAGAAAAAAAATTTTTCCTCTCTATTATTGTGTGTATTTATTTCATTCATCAGCCGGGCAAAAAAAAAAAAAAAAATTTTTATTACGTGGGCGGGGCCTCCATATACCATTACAACAAACTCCCCACACAAAAAAGGGCCATAACAAACGGTCTAATATATTCCTGTGGTCTAATTTCAAAAATTAATGCAAATCTGATCATCGATCAAGCATGGTCGAAGCACATGGTCGAAGAAAATAAAAGATTCAAAAAAATAATAAAAATTTTTAAAAATATCATATGAAAGATAAATTTTAAAAAATAAATTAATGAGTTACTACAAACTTTGCAGTAGCAAGCATTAGTGGGTACGTTTCCCAATAGAATTACACCATTTTGTTTCGTATTGGTATATGGCGCCTCTCTTTCCCTCTCTCTCCTCTCTCTCTCTCTAAAACATCCAATTTCTTTATAATAAAAAATTACAGGCACAGGCAATAGGTTTAATATATCATCGTTTACAGAGGAAACTCATCAATCTCCACTGCCCCCTGTTTTTAATGGTGGTTCAGAGAAATCGAGGCCGAGGAGGCACTCGGAAGTGAACAGTGATGAAGGAACCGTAAGAATGGAACTGCAGAGGTTTCAGGGTACGAGCAGTTCAGGGACCAAAGGATCAAAGGAACAAGGAGAGATTGCAGAAGCTGGGTCTTTTGGACTTCTCGCTGAAGCTCAAGCCGAAAGCTGCCCCTCCAAAACGTTCCCAGAGTCAGAGAGACCCTTCTGTTCAGACCAAAATCCACAACTCTGGGTCCCCGCCAAGGCGCTCTTCTAGTAACCCACTTGTATCCTCTTTCGTTTTTTGACCCTCTTGTTTGGGTTCCAGAAAATGCAAAAGAAAATGGTAGGAAAGGTTAAACTTAAAAGGATTTCATTTTTTTTAAATTGTTTTTTTTTTGGTAGGTTGAAGACTCTGGCTCCAGTAAGTTTATGTGGAAATTAGTAAGCCTAAAGGGAAGAGAGAGACCTCAGGGAGTGTTAATATTTGTATCAAGGGGTTCACAGCCAGAGATTATACAGAGGAACATGAGAAGCTGTTGGGGGATTGCAGGACCAGCTGGACCATGGGTGTGGTGGCTATGGGGAAGATAGAAAACGCATATATGACGGGGTTCAGGGAGAAACTTGCCACCAATGCAGGTGTTCAGACTCATTGGATGGGGTTCTTGCCTTATCGAGTAAACCACTTTTTTTTTTTTTTTTTTTTTTTTTTTTTTTTTTTTTTTTTTTTTTTTTTTTTTTTTTTTTTTTTTTTTTTTTTTTTTTTTTTTTTTTTTTTTTTTTTTTTTTTTTTTTTTTTTTTTTTTTTTTTTTTTTTTTTTTTTTTTTTTTTTTTTTTTTTTTTTTTTTTTTTTTTTTTTTTTTTTTTTTTTTTTTTTTTTTTTTTTTTTTTTTTTTTTTTTTTTTTTTTTTTTTTTTTTTTTTTTTTTTTTTTTTTTTTTTTTTTTTTTTTTTTTTTTTTTTTTTTTTTTTTTTTTTTTTTTTTTTTTTTTTTTTTTTTTTTTTTTTTTTTTTTTTTTTTTTTTTTTTTTTTTTTTTTTTTTTTTTTTTTTTTTTTTTTTTTTTTTTTTTTTTTTTATTGTATATTTGATATATATATATATATAGTCAGTTAACTTAACCAACCAGATTGTATATAGCACCACCAATCGCTAACTGTGTCACATGCTATATATAGACCACCCATCGGAGCGTCTCGTCACTTTGAGATGCAGCACCATGAGAGATGCCTGTAAAGCGATGAGAGATGAGACAATTGTTTCGTTGCACGGTTTGCTCAGTTTTTTGGCTCCATACTCGAAAGCTGTGTCACCCGTATTTTGACGGACACGTGACAGAGCTTGACTGATATGACCCAATTGCACAACTGTTGATATCGAATGACCGGATGTAATTGCCCCAAAAACAAGGTCACCAACCTAATTCCAATGGTAGCCAAGTGGCGTCGTAACAGGCTACAGCATTTAACCCGTAATGAAATAACTTATTGTCCTACCAACTATGAGGTTGAAGTCTTTCTGTGCGTTCGAGTACAGAATTACACTGACCTTTGTCATCATCATCATCCATGCGACCTTTGTCTCCACACCACCAACTACGTGGTAACTACTACATGTTGCACGAAGTGATAGTGAGGCTTCTTTTTCTTTCTTTTGTGGTTTGTTGTGTTTCCCTTTTGACATGTGCTTATTCACCTTGACTTCACACTCCACTATGAGATGACAGGAAACTACTTCGCATCTGTGATGTATACTGCTTATTATGAGTGAACTTCATGGTTTTGGTTATAATAGGTATGTCTCATTACTTTTACATAAATAAGGACAACTTGTTTTTGGGTAAAAAACAGAAGTAAGTCTAAGATTTAGGGTTCAAAAGTATCGGGTGTCTAAAATTTGGACTAGCTATAAAAGAAAAGTATTGCTATTGAGACGAACTGAGAAAAAGCAATGGAACTGATACGACATGAGGGATTTGTACTTATATATGATGCAATAGCCAAGTGCTTTGGGGAGGGTGATTTACACAATATTCATATTGGGTGTTTGGGTGTGTCTCGAACTTTACCACATGAATAAGTGTGGAAGAGCTCAATCACTGAGTTGTACCCCCCCGTGAGTAATGAAACTTTTATAAGATTTCGAGTAGTCATTTTTTGGCACAAAAGAACTTTGAATTAATGCTGTTTGCGTATTGTTTGAGTGATATTCCGTTTTGTAATTGAGACTATCTAAATTTTAGCTTTCTCCTATTTTCCGAGAAACAACAAATTTTGCTCCTATTGATTTTTATTTCCTAATGAATATCCTAATCGTGTCCTATTTGTCTATCGGGGATTAAAATACGACATATCCTCTCTTGTTTTTTATAATCACTTTTTTTTTAAAATTCTGTTACATAATTAAGGCATTTTGTCGTAAAGACTCAATAATTACTATCAAAATTTTGTCCGACAAGAGCCTAAATATTAGGTCTTATAATAAGAAAAAAGGAAAACGAACAAAGTTTGTCTTCTAACAAAAATATTATTTTTAGAGGAGGTTTATTTATGCTTTTGTCTTTTTTTTCCTACACGCCGAACTACTGCGTTACTTCTGATTGCGAAACAACCGTACGTGCAACGAAAGTGCAGTCTTCTCTTTATCATATTCGGCTTACTTCTCATCCACTCTATACGGAGGAAACTACTTCGCATATGGGATGGCCTAATTGTATTTTATTTTTTTTAATACAGCAAATGGCGGAGCACTGAGTAAACCCTAATATATAACAAAGGAAAGTAGCCTTTCCCAGCATCGATATCTCATCCTTTTTTGCAATCAAATGGATTCAACCACTAATGAAGGTGCCTCTCTCTTCCGCCATTCACGGACATATGATATCTTTCTTAGTTTTAGAGGTGAAGATACACGAACAATTTCACAGGCCATTTGTACAGCAATTTGGTTCAAAAGGGTATTAAAAACCTTCATAGATGATGATCTAAGTAGAGGAGAAGAAATATCACCAGCGCTTCTCAAAGCAATTGAAGAGTCAATGGTTTCTATTGTTGTCTTCTCTGAAAACTACGCAGACTCCAAGTGGTGCTTGGATGAACTCGTTAAGATTCTTGAGTGTAAAGAATCGAAGAACCAAATGGTTTTTCCCAGTTTTCTACAAGGTGGATCCCTCAGATGTGAGAAACCAAAGAGGTAGTTTTGGTCAGGGCACTTGCAGGCCATGAATCCAAACTCAGAGACAACATGGAGAAGGTCTTGAGGTGGAGGACGACTCTTACACGAGCAGCAATTTGTCTGGGTGGTCTTTTTGGACGGGTATGTGGGCAAACTATTATAATTTAGTCACATATTATCTCTTGCTGCAAGTCTTGGTGATTTATATCCAACATAATTTGAATTATTATTCTGTTGTATATTGTTTTAAGAAGAAAAAAAAATACTAAGAATAATATGAAGACATATAATTCTTTCTTAATGTGGAAAAAAAATCTCTTCTTTTGTTTCCTTTTTGTGAGTGTTTGTATCATTTGCCTTTTTTAGTGTTAGTTTAAAGGAAAAGAGATTTAGAGAATGGTTGGTAGTGTTTAGGACAATAGCTTAACTTGGAAAGAAAAACTTTTTTATTTATTTATTAATTAAAATAGGAAAGGTGCTAATGCTTTAATACTAGAGTTTGGCTGACGGAGAGAGTTTGACACAGTTTTTTTTTTTTTTTTTTTTTTTTTTTTTTTTTTTTTTTTTTTTTTTTTTTTTGCTTGATATTAATAAGGGGCTAACTAAACCTAAGCTCTAGAATTATATAGATTTTAAGAGTCGGCACCTTCGCTTGGACAAGTCGGTTGCAAAGTTGACCGATTTTTTCAAAGTCATTTTCAACTCCACAATTTTGTCTACTTATCTCTAGATTTCTCTAGTTATAATATATTATATAATTAGATTATTCTCAACTTCTCTCAATTTTTCTAGATTATTCTATATTATTCAAGACACAAGTGTGCATTAATTTTAACATTTAATCATAAATAGCAAAACATCATTTCATTAAATATTTTGTATACTTCTAAATGGCAGGAACGAATCAAAGTTTATTCATAGCATTGTTGAAATCATTTCCCTACAAGTATTAGATTGTACCCATTTGAATGTCGCGAATACCCAATTGGAATAAGGTCTCGTGTATGCGAGGTATATAAGCTTTTAGATATTGGGCAAAATGAAATTTGCATGGTAGGGATATGGGGGACAGGTGGAATAGGTAAGACAACAATTGCTAAAGCTGTTTATAATTCAATTGCCCACAAGTTTGAAGCTAGTTGTTTTTTGAAAGATGTTAGAGAAAGATCAATACCATATGGAGGCCTAGTCGAACTACAAAATTGTCTTCTGTATGAGATTCTAAGGGAAAGGAATTAAAGGTGACCGATGTTGATAAAGGAATCAATGTGATTAGGGATAGGTTGAGGGCCAAAAAATTCTCTTGATTCTTGATGATGTAAATGAACTGAACCAGTTAAACACATTAGTTGGAGGGTTTGATTGGTTTGGTTCAGGCAGCAGAATTATCATAACAACAAGAGATAAGCATTTGTTAACTGCGCATGAAGTCAATCGGATATACAAGGTCAAGGAATTAGATCCTCATGAAGCTCTTGAGCTCTTCAGCAGTTGGAATGGATTCTCAAGAAATAGACATTTGCATGATGAGTACGAGAAACTCGCACAAACTATCATACACTATGCTCAAGGCCTTCCATTAGCTCTAATGGTTTTTGGCTCACTTCTACGTGGCAAAAGTGTTGATCAATGGCAATCTGCATTAGATGGCTATAAAAGAGTTCCAAACAAAGAGATTCAGGAAATTCTCAAAATAAGTTATAATGCATTAGAAGAGCATGTGAAAAATGTTTTCCTGCACATCGCTTGTTTCTTTAGAGGGGAAAATAAAAACTATGTGATAAAAATACTAGAAATTTGTGACCTCAACCCTAAGTATAGTATTGTATTGCTCGTCGAAAAGGCCCTCATAAATATTGATGAGAGAGATTGTATTGGCATGCATCACTTGCTAGAAGAAATGGGTAAAGAAATTGTTCGCCAAGAGTCACCATCTGAGCCAGGCAAACGAAGTAGATTGTGGTTTTATGAGGATATTTGTCATGTTCTTGAAGAAAATACCGTAAGTACTAAGTAGATTATATACAGATATGAATATATATATATACATAAATAATCAACTTGACAACAAAGAAATCTTATCGTTTGATACTTTTGCGCTTTCATACTAGGGGACGAGTAAAATTAAAGGCATCCTGATGAATTTTCCAGAAGAACATGAGATATCCTTGAGTTCTAATAGCTTCTCAAAGATGAAAAATCTTCAACTTTTCATAAATAGGAATGCACGATTTTCTGAAACTCGTGTGGATTATCTCCCCAACGAGTTGAGGTTGCTTGATTGGCCTAAATGTCCGTTGCAAACTTTTCCATCCAGTTTTAATCCAAAGAAACTTGTTGAAATCAATATGCCTCGTAGCAGCTTGTCACAACTTGGAGAAGGATTCAAGGTACGTGTTTTCAATTTCTTTTCATACATTGGTATTTTCAAGAGTTTATTTTATGAAGTTGTTGTTTACATATCTTTAAGTGAAGCTTATCGGTTGATCTTTTTCTTTTTCCTTTCCATAGAGGTTGCAGAATCTAAAATCTATGAGTTTGGAGGGATGCAAGTTCCTCACAGAAACCCCCAACTTTTCTGGATTCCCAAATTTAGAGGACTTGAATCTAAACTACTGTACAAGTTTAGTTGAGGTTCATCCTTCTGTTGGATTCCTTGATAAGCTTATTTGCTTGAGTATGAGAGGATGCCGTAAACTTACGAAACTTCCAGGAAGGGTTCACTTAAAATCTCTGGAATCTATAGATCTTAGTCATTGTGGAAGGCTAAAAAATTTCCCTGAGATTGTTGGAAAGATGGAATCATTGGGAGAGATGAACCTATCCGGCACTGCCATTGAAGAATTGCCTTCATCAATCAACATCTCATTCGTCTCTATTCGTTAAAGTTAAGCAACTGCAAAAACTTCACAAATCTGCCATGCAGCATTTATGAGTTACAGAATCTTCAATTTGTTTATCTTCGTGGATGCCAGAAGCTTGTGAGATTTCCAAATAAGGTGATTCCAACCAACTCAAATGACATTGCTGGTTCTTTAACGCTTCCCAATCTTTTCCATTTATATATAGAAGGTGCCAATTTATCCGAAATCGATTTCCTTGGGACTCTTGATTGTTGGTCCAGATTAGGCGTACTTGATCTTTCAGGATCCAATTTTGTTAGACTTCCCGAATGGATTACCAAATTTGTCAACATGCAAGAACTGAACTTGGTTGGCTGCAAGAGGCTTGTAGAGATTCCAGATCTTCCACCAAACATATCTTCAGTAGATGTGAGTGGTTGCATATCATTGGAAAGATTTCCGAAATTGCCAAACATCTTGGAAGGCAAAGAGTTACAGAGGCATAGAAGGATGGACTTGTCTAATTGCTGGAGACTGCTCGACATTGCGGCTCACTTCTCTGATCACTTTCTGATCGCTTGTAAGCAATTGTCAGTCGGGGTCGTATTTCCAGGAAGTGAAGTTCCAATGTGGTTCAACTGTCGTAAGAATTTGAAGAAGCCCGTAAAGAACTGTGACATTTCCTTCGAAATCCCTCGAGACTTCAGATGGGAAAAGAAAGGATTGGCTATCTCTGTTGCTTTTGAAACGCCATTTAAATCCGGCTCGTTTTATGCCGTTATTCACGTCAATGAAGAAAAAATTTATGGTGTTATGTTTGAATTTGGTTCAACAATTTTTGAGTCAACTCACGTGTGGCTGCTCTATGTTCCGTTTTGTAAGATGGATGAGTATGTAAAGCTAAATCAGTCTACGTGGCCGCGACCGCCTTTTATTTGTCGAGCTAGTTTTTATCGAGATTATGATCCACTGTATTTTAAAAGCTGCGGAGTCCACCTGGTAGTGCCACAGGATGGTGGAGATATTCATTCGTCTCGCCTCGTCGGTGGCAGTGAGGAAGGAGGAGGATGATATTGGGGTCGATACTCAACACTAGTTAGAAGAAGAAGAAGTTCTGCCAGGAAGTCCAGAGGATAATATACTTTCAAAGTATTAGATTTTGTAAATTATTTTGTAACTCCTTGTGGCACCAACCTGGTTTACATGTAAGGGATGGAGCGTGTTCGTTCGTGCGATGTTTGATCAAGAAGCTCTGTTAACTGAGTATATAAATAATAATAATACTTTATTTACGTTTTTTTTTTGTTAGAAAAAAAAAAGGGAGAGAATAAGCTAGTGCAGTTCTTTTGTCCGTAATTAGTAAAATAATATGTTGCAAATTTTGAAGTGCTGTATGTACATAAAAGATCTCCTAAAAGAATATATTTTCACTACAATAGAATTTTCCTTTTGGTCCCAATACATAAAGAGTGCTGCTATCCACTCCCTGCCCTATTTACTCAGTCATCTTATCTTCTCATAATCTCATCTGACTTTTGCGTCGAGTTAATTTTCAGAATTGGACACAAGTTTCGCTGCGTTTTAAAAGCTTGGGAATCCACCTGGTAATGCCACAGGATGATGAAGACCTGTCTATATTTATGGAAGATGGTGAGTCTGATTCCGATGACTTGGAAGATGCTAATGAAAGGTTTTGATGGAGATAATTGTATTGATCTATGTGAAGATGAGCAAGACTCGGAACTACTTCAGCTGTGAAGATAATGAAGATGATGATGAAATGATGAAAGAGGTGAATAGGTATTTCGGAGAAAGAGAAATGCAATGTTGGAATCAGACAAAAGAAAAACTAAGATGCAATGGTGTTAGATTGTAGGGGAAACAAAGTGATTTTATTAGATTTGGAGGAGAATAGTATATGGCTTAGTGTAAACTAATTAGCTTTTATAGCATACTGACTTATTGGCCACCACACTTGATTTAAATTAGTTTGGGCTATTTGACCTTTACACTTTGATTAGTGAGCTTATTGACTCCCTAACATAGCTAGCTTTGGATAGCTCTTGGCTCCCTTATAGTTTGGGTAGCTTTTTTGCTCACCTTGAATGACCACATGTATGTCTATTTATAGACATGATCCACCGCCATACCTCGGTCCACCGACTTAGGAAGACTAACCCCAGCCACATATATGTGTGGCTTTCTCTAGATAGTTCTCCAAGTTGCATGTAGCTGCCGACTTCCCATCAAGATTATGGCACTTTCTTCAAGCTTCTAGATTTTTCTATATTTTTAGCACAAATGTGCATTAATTTCAACAAATGGAACTCTATAAAAATAAAAAACAGATGGAATAGTATTGATGAATAGTAATATGCCAAGTGTGTTAGAATTCATAGGTTTCAATGTTTTGGATGTTTGGGAGGAAGGAAAAAATCACAGCAAACAGATGAATATGAGAACGTTGCTCTGGAAAAGAAAGCTCGAGATAACTGTTCATTCTATTTCACTATTCATGTGTATTCGTATAAGAGAGAGAAGTGAGCTACTTCTCTAACAGATTTTCACAAAGATTAAATCCTAGCCATTGCTTCTATCATCCTATAAGATGCTTACATTTGTCACTAGCTGGTACTAAAGTCTTAGGCTAGAAAGAGAGTCCACTTGGACTATGATCCGATGGCTCTCATTACATCAGAAATTAAAAACTTATAAAATGAAATCAAAACCGACTTTGTGACTTTGGCTTCAAGGTTTTCAGCTTAAGGGTTACACATCAACAAAGTCGCCCACAATCTAAAGAAGAGAGTTCCGTGTGCCCACGGGGAAGCTTTTCATTCACTAGTCAAAACTCTCATACCCCATATAGTCTCTCTCTCTCTCTCTCTTCCCAAGGAATGTTCCTAAAACTAAATCCTGTGTGCGAACCTATAACCAACGGCTGTCTGTGACACACTGATTTTTCATCCAAACCAATGGCAAGACCCTCTTTTTCTTTCTCTTATATAAACCCAAGGCTCTCTCCTCACCATAAGCTTCCATTAAACCCAAGAAATTGTAAAATTATACACATTTCAGATTTTCAAGTTCAAGCATGTCTGCAGTGATGGATGTTTGGATGAGCGAGTTGGCAAAGCTGAAAGACAAGGTAGGGGCCAAGAAGCGGTTGGTGTTTTCATCAAAGGCCAAACAAAGAGAAGGTGATGATGAGGTTGAAGAACAACAAGTGTTGAAAGAAGCAAGAAAAGAGAGCAGCAGAATGGCTCAGATTCAGAGGGACTTTGATTCCTCTGCGCTTTCAGAGGCCACAGTTCGTTTGGTTATGGACCGTTTTGTGCCTTGGTAACACCTTGTAAACATGTTTAATAAGTCTAATCTTGCATATATAATCTTGCATGTTTAATTAGGCTCTGGCCATAAAAAATGAGTAATTATATATAACCAAGGCTGTTTGGATTCAAAAGTCATTACGGATCCATTAGCTTGTCTCCATGTAATTAAGTTTTAGTAGATGCATAAACTTATGACTAGTGTATTTGTTTTTGGTTTTTCCATTTTAATTATATTTTTGCAAGCTATTAACAGATGAATGGTTCTTACATTTGGATTTAAAGAAATTACATATAAACCAAAAGTTTAATTATTGCTTCAAGGCCCTAAACAGGACCAAGCATTAAACCATAAACTATTTTTAACAAACAAACAAAAATAAAATACATAAAGTTGTTTTTTATTTATAATATTTTCTTTTGACCGGAAATTATTGGGCTCACCAAAACCCAGGCAAAGTGAGACAAATATGTGTGATAAAGGTGTAAAGTGAGACAAAATGAGTTTTCAGAGCAATGTGAGACTCAAATACACTTTTAGGGGTATATCAAAAAATAAGCCTTTTTTTTTAATTATTTATATACATTTCAAGGTGTATATGGACTTGGGGTAAGCTTCTCTACATCTAAACCTCAACTAAAATAATCCAATTCATCCTCAATTCAATTCGATTACAGATTAGTTAACATGCCATAAATAAATGAAATTTTTTATAAAGAAAAACTTGAAAGTTTGACCTTTAGAAAAAAAATTTATACATATCAATTGTGGCCCAAATAACTAAAGAATTGGCCCATATCAATTTTGGTCCAAACAAAAAGTTATACATATCGTCCACTTTTCTTTATTTTTTAAAGATTTTGGATCCGTTCCGGGAAGGTCGTTTACGTCTAGGCCATTGGCTTATTTTATTTTAGGTAAACAACAAATTCAATTGATGTCAACGCCTGCGAAGTTGCACCCAAGGTAGCAGGAAACTGCTTCGCAAAGACGATGATCAAACTCTTTGACTATTTATCAGTACCATTTCCAACCCTTTCAGCCTGTTTAGTTAAACTTTCAACAAAATGGATTCAAACACCACTCAATTATTAGGAGCTCCTTCCCCACCTTCCTCGTCTTCCACCAATTCATGGACACACGATGTCTTTCTCAGCTTTAGAGGTAAGGACACATGCTACAACTTCACAGATCATCTACACAAAAATTTGGTCCAGAAAGGCATCAGAACCTTCATCGATGATGAGCTACCAAGAGGAGAAGAAATTGTTAGGTTGCAGTTAGAATTATTGTTAGTGTGTTACTGCTTGGTTAATAAATCCCTATTGTTTAGGGAGTATTTGTTTGTTTTGACTTAGTCTGTTACCACGTAATAGGTTTGTTAAACGTGGGCTGTTCTTTCATTCTTAGGTTACTCTTTGTAAGGCTATTTAAACAGCCGTCACTGCTATTATCAATTTATCAGTTTTTCTTCTAAATACTTGCCATCAGAAAAGCTCTTATTTCCAACAATTGGTATCAAAGCTTCCTTCCAGGGAGCCTGATTTGAAATCAGAAGAAGCAGCAATCTTCTAGGTGTGAATATGACATCAGAGAACAACTATGTGCAGTCAGCGATTCCTAAGTTTGATGGGCACTACGATCACTAGTCTATGCTCATGGAAAACTTCTTGCGATCAAAGGAGTATTGGGGTCTGGTGGAGAATGGGATCCCTGCAGCAGCAGGAGAAGCAGATCTCACAGAAGGACAGAGGAAAGCCGTTGAAGATCAGAAGCTGAAGGATCTGAAAGCCAAGAACTATATGTTTCAAGAAATTGACCGTTCAATCCTAGAGACAATTCTGAACAAAGACACATCAAAGAATATCTGGGATTCTTTGAAACAGAAGTATCAAGGCACCACAGTGGTCAAGCGAACACAGCTACAAGCTCTTCATAAAGAGTTTGAGATTCTTCACATGAAGGCAGGAGAATCTGTGAATGAATACTTCGCCAGGACTCTCACCATAGCTAACAAAATGAGGCTACATGGTGAAAAATTGGGAGATGTGTTAGTCATTGAAAAGATTCTGAGGTCAATGACTTCTAAGTTTGATTATGTTGTTTGCTCCATTGAAGAGTCACATGATTTAGACTCTATGTCCATTGACGAGTTACAAAGTAGTCTACTGATGCATGAGCAACGTATGAATGATCACGTCACAGAAGAACAAGCATTGAAGGTAACGTATGATGAGTCCTCTGGAGGAAGAGGTTGTGGACATGGAAGTTTTAGAGGAAGAGGTCGAGGGAGAGGCAGGAGCTTTGACAAATCCACAGTGGAATGTTACCACTGCCATAAACTAGGGCATTTTCAATATGAATGCCCAAGCAAGGAAAAAGGAGCAAATTTTGTAGAGCCTGAAGAAGAGATATTGCTGATGGCTTATGTAGATGATAAAAAGAAGAACATGGAAGATTTGTGGTATCTTGACTCCGGTTGCAGTAATCATATGTGCGGGAAGAAGGAATGTTTCTTAGATTTGGATACAAGCTTCAGAGACTCAGTAAAGCTTGGAAACAACTCAAGCATGGCAGTATATGGGAAAGGCAATATAAGGCTGCAAGTGAATGGGATTGATCAAATCATCACTGGAGTGTTTTATGTGTCGGAGCTAAATAATAATTTGCTGAGTATTGGACAACTTCTATAGAAGGGACTTACAATTGTATTTCTATGTGGAAAGTGCAAGATCTTTCATCCTGAAAGAGGCTTGCTTATGGAGTCCGGAATGTCATCCAACATGATGTTTGTTCTACTTGCTGAATCTCAGCCAAGAGAGTCTACATGTTTCAATACAGTCACAAAGGACCAAACACATCTTTGGCATTGTAGGTATGGACACTTGAATTTCCAAGGCTTGAAAACCCTCCAGCAGAAGCAGATGATGAAAGGATTATCCCAACTCAAGACTCCTTCCAAATTATGTGAAGATTGTTTGGTGGGCAAATAGCACAGGGATTCATTCCCAACAATGAGCACTTGGAGGGCCTCTCAAATACTCCAACTCGTTCATGCTGATATCTGTGGGCCAATCATGCCAATCTCAAATAGCAAGAAAAGGTACATGATCAATTTTATTGATGATTTCAGTCACAAGACATGGATTTATTTTCTGGTAGAAAAATCAGAAGCTTTTAGTACTTTCAAAAGCTATAAAAATCGTGTTGAAAAGGAAACAGGTTCAAGTATAAGGGGGCTACGAACAGATAGAGGTGGTGAATTTACATCACAAGAGTTCAACAATTTTTGCAATGACAGTGGGATATGCAGACAATTGACGGCATCATATACTCCACAACAGAATGGAGTTGCAGAGAGGAAAAATAGAACCATAATGAACATGGTTTGTAGCATGCTCTCAGAGAAGAAAATTCCCAAAATTTTCTTGCCATAAGCAATTAACTGGACTGTACGTGTGTTGAATAAAAGCCCAACTTTTGCTGTCAAAAATCAAACTCCTGAAGAAGCCTGGAGTGGAGTTAAACCGACAGTGGATTATTTCAAGGTTTTTGGGTGTGTCTCTCATGTACATGTACCTGATAGCAAAATAACAAAGTTGGATGATAAAAGCATAAGGTGTGTCTTGCTTGGTGTCAATGAGGAGTCTAAAGCATACAGATTGTATGATCCAGTCTCTCAGAAAATACTTGTAAGCAGAGATGTTGTGTTTGAAGAGGATAAAATTTGAGATTAGGACAAAAGACATGAAGAAGTGATATTAGCTTATTTGGAGTGGGGTAACAATGAAAAAAGAGCAACCAGAGTCACTGAAACTGAAGAAGAAGGTGTTGCGGACTTTAATAATGAAGGTGCTACTGACTTTAATAATGCCACAGGAGAAGAAATGGGAAATTCTTCTTCAGATGAACTAGTTGAAGAAAATCCTCCCAATTTCAATGAAGGGAGAAATAGAAGACCACCAGTCTGGATGGAAGATTATGAAACTGAAGGGAGTCTCTCTAAAGAAGATGATGTGGCTCATTTTATCATGCTTGCAGCTGCTGATCCAATTCATTTCGAAGATGCAGTGAAAAGTGAAAAATGGAGAAAAGCCCTGGATTCAGAAATCAAAGCAATAGAAAAGAATGATACATGGGAATTGAAGGAGTTACCTGCTGGGGAAAGAAGATTGGAGTGAAGTGGGTATATAAAACGAAGCTTAATGAGAAAGGAGAAGTAGACAAGTATAAGGCAAGGCTCGTAGCAAAAGGATATTCTCTACAACATGGGATAGACTATACATAAGTGTTTGCACCTGTGGCACGATTGGATATGATCCGTCTTGTAATAGCACTTGCAGCTCAAAGACAATGGACAATCTACCAGCTGGACGTGAAGTCAGCCTTCCTGCATGAGGAATTAAATGAGGAAGTGTTTGTTGAGCAGCCTCAAGGTTATGTGCGCAAGGCCAATGAAAAGAAAGTCTATAGGCTCAAAAAGGCTTTATATGGACTTAAGCAAGCTCCACGAGCTTGGTATAGTCGTATAAAGGCTTATTTCATGAAGGAAGGATTTGAAAGATGTCATTATGAACACACTTTGTTCACAAAGACAGCAAAGGAAGGTAAAATTCTAATTGTGAGTCTTTATGTTGATGATCTCATATTTACTGGCAATGATGAATCTATGTTTGCTGAGTTTAAGAGATCAATGAAGCTTGAGTTTGACATGACTGATCTTCGGAAGATGAGGTATTTTCTTGGTATAGAAGTTATGCAAAGAACTAATGGAATATTCATTAGCCAAAAGAAATATGCTTTGGAGGTGCTTGAAAAGTTTGGAATGAATAAAAGCAATCCGGTTCTTAATCCCATTGTCCCAGGTTGCAAACTTTTGAGAGATGAAGATGGAGTAAAAGTAGACAACACCATCTCCAAACAAATTGTGTGAAGCCTCATGTATTTAACTGCTACTAGACCCGACATGATGTTTGTGGTAAGTCTTATTAGTAGGTATATGAGTAATCCTACTGAGCTTCACATGGAGGCAGCAAAGAGAATTTTAAGATATGTAAGAGGAACAACTGATTTTGGGGTGTTCTACAAGAAGGGAGGAAAATGAGAGTTGAATGTTTACACAGATTGTGACTATGCTAGAGACCAAGAAGACAGGAAGAGCACCTCAGGTTACGTTTTCTTATTCAGTTCAGGAGCTGTGTCCTGGTCATCAAAGAAACAGCCGATAGTAACTCTATCTACCACTAAGGCAGAGTTCATTATTGCTACCTCTTATGCATGTCAGGTAGTATGGTTGAGAAGGATTTTTGAGATGCTTGGTGAAAAGCAAGATAGGCCTACAATTGTTCACTGTGATAGTAGCTCAGCAATTGAACTTGCAAAGAATCCAGTGATGCATGGACGCAGCAAGCATATAAACGTTCGTTTCCATTTTCTTTGTGATCTTATAAAGGCAGGAACTGTGGAAATGGTGCATTGCAACAGTCAAGAACAAATTGCAGATGTGATGACAAAACCTCTCAAGTTGGATGCGTTTGTGAAGCTACGAAGTATGTTAGGTGTTTGTCCAGAACCTTGTGTAAACTGATTGCAAGCTGCATTCAGTTTAAGGGAGGAATTGTTAGGTTGCAGTTAGAATTATTGTTAGTGTGTTACTGCTTGGTTAATAAATCCCTATTGTTTAGGGAGTATTTGTTTGTTTTGACTTAGTCTGTTACCACGTAATAGGTTTGTTAAATGTGGGTTGTTCTTTCATTCTTAGGTTACTCTTTGTAAGGCTATTTAAACAATCGTCACTGCTATTATCAATTCATCAGTTTTTCTTCTAAATACTTGCCATCAGAAAAGCTCCTGTTTCCAACAGAAATATCACAAGCACTTCTCCAACCCAAAGCCACCTTCACCACCACCACTCCAACCTTACCCAACATCATCCACCCAGCAACCAACCCTTACCATCCTCCAACCACACAACTTCTCAAGACACCCCCACCTCTCCCTCTGCTCCTCTCTCTTCTCCCAAGCCCAGCCCCGACATCCACAGTCACCCACCCCACCCCGCCAGACCTCCCCCTTCCTTGATGATTGCAAAGAATAAGGGGCTAAGGAAGGGGGAGGTCGTGGCTGGGTGGGGTGGGTGACTGTGGATGTCGGGGCTAGGCTTAGGAGAAGAGAGAGGAACAGAGAGAGAGGTGAAGGTGTCTTGAGAAATTGTGTGGTGGGAGGGTGATAAGGGTTGGTTGCTGGGTAGGTGATGTTGGGTAAGGTTGGAGTGGTGGTGGTGAAGGTGGCCTTGGGTTGGAGTGGTGGTGGTGAAGGTGTCCTTGGGTTGGAGTAGTGGTGGTGGTCGGATGGTGTGAAGTTAGGGGAAGGGGAGAGGACGACAAAGGGAGAGCAATGGAGAAGAAGAGATTGTTTTTAATATTAATTTTTTTCCATTTTTTCCATTTTTTTATATTAACAAGTAATTACATTATTTAATTATTTAATTATAATTTTTTATTAATATTTTAGTCTACTTAAGTAGAAAAAGTGGGGCCTACATCTCACACATCATCCCTTATGGTAAAAAGATTAAAACAATCATGCCACGTCATCAAAATTGACGGAATTATTAATGATAAAGTGAGATTTGACCAAAGTTTCAGGGGATACTACAGTAAATAAGCCAAAATAAAAATTAAAAGTTCAAGTGATATTAGCACAAACCTAAAAGTTCATATGGCATTTATGCAGATTTCTTTTTGTATTCCTTTCCTATTTCTTTTTGTATTCCTTTCCTATTTCTTTTTGTATTGGGTTGGGATATCTTATTTCACTTGTACTGGGATTCGTAAGTACATAAACTATATAAAGATTCTGTAGCTTTACCCCAAAATCTCCAAAACGCTCAAGACATACGCACTTCCCAACTCCCAAAATCTCTCTGCAATCGATCTGCCCATCAATCCGTCCGTCTTAATTTCACCACGAGACCTGGTGATACTACTTCTACCGACAGAAAACGAAGCTTCAACACTACAATATATCTCAATCTCTTGGACCACTCTGCGAGTCCCACTTACAAAGATTTTAAAAAAAACATCGCCATTGAAACTTATATATATCAAAACCCACCACCATGTTCAATCTTGATGATCTCTCTGATTTCGTATTGGTTGAAATCCTTTGTCGACTCCCCCGTGAATATGCAGTTCAATGCACGTGTGTGTCGAAGCGTTGGTATAGTCTCGTTTATAATCCTTATTTTGTTGGCCGATTTCTACGTCAACAAAATGATAACCAAAACCCCATTCCACGTCCTAGACTAATCTTCACAAATCCAGAGCACAGAAGAGAATTCTTCACAAATCCAAAGTGCACAAGCAAGTTCTTTTCCATGTCAAAGCAGCCTCCAGAGCCCGAAAAACTCAAGTTCTCTTTGAGATGCCTCCCTTGTTTTCAAGGGCCTATCAAGACAGAAGAGGGTGAACCAATGGTGGTAGGAACATATAACGACTTAGTTTTATGTTGTGCAACCATGCGTTTTCAACGGGATTACTACATTTGCAATGCATACACCAAGCAGTGGGAAGCTCTTCCTTCTCCTCCTCAATGCCACGAGGAAGTAGGTGTTGGATTCATCTGTGATCCCTACTATAAGGAATGCAAGGAAGATGCTGACCAAAGAAAAGAAGAAACTAGTACTAGTAAAGCATCATTCCATGTTGATACTGAGTATAGGTACAGGGTTGTGCGTATAATTCCTGAATCTCCCGGGGGTTCCGTCCAATTCAAAGCAGAGATTTTCTCTTCTGAGACTGGTAAATGGACAGAAACAATTGTGTTATGCCCAAGAAGTTTCTATCTGGATGTAAGACATGAAGGCGTTGCTTACAATGGAATGTTGTACTGGATGAGCAGTAGTGCTGGCTCTATTATTGGTTTGGATCCCTATTCAAACAATAATGTTGATAAAAAATATAACTGTCGTTTCATTGATAAGCCTGAAGATGATCAGGTCCCTGTCACTGCAACATTTGATCTCCTGAGTGTGTGTAGAGTTGGAGGAGGAGGAGAGCGTCTGCGAATGTGCCAGTTCAGCGGAAATAATGAAGATAGAGTCGTGGATCAGCTGAGTGTTTGGGAGTTGAAAGATGATCAGGTTGATAACGATAGCAATTGGCTTTTAGTACGCAGAATTTCCCTGAACGGGATGTTTTCACAAAATCCAGTGATCAGGAAATGGAGAGATCAGGGCTGCTGGCACGATGAGATAATGTTGCTTGCTTTCGACCCAAATGATGATGATATCTTGTATGTAGATTTTATTGGACACGTTGTCATGTTCAACATTAACGGTGAAGGATGGATAATGCGTTATTTGAACACTCCGCTTAATTATGGTACAATTCAGAATCACCGTAGGAGAGCTGTCTACCCATTTGCGATCCCATGGTGGCCGACACCAGTTACTACTAGACAAAAACAGAGCTTTAACGCGTATCATTGGGATTTTTAGGTTGCTTGATTTCTTGAGAAGATTTAAATTATATTTATATATTTTTTTAGGATAAGTTATCAATCAGGATATTATTTTCCTGATATGAATTTAATTAGTTTTCTTATTAGTTAAGTTTTATGAATATTCTGGAACTTAGGGTTTCCTACGGTTTTAGGATTTCTTGGTTTTCTATTTAAGCCAACTCGTGGCATTGTCTTAATCAGTTTTATCATATTATTAATTAAGGATAGAGATTTTCTCTATTTTCTTGTAGATTCTAGTTGTTGATGGATTTCAATTTATCTTTTTAGGACATTTGTCGATCCGCAAACCTGTGTTTCCGCGCTGCATCAGGTCCTTTCTACAACAATGAAAATTGAGTCTCTTGCACAAGGTTTCTGTGCTAACATTTCAACACATTCCAACAGTTGAAATGTAAACAGTACTATCTAAGATTAACAACTAATTACAGTAAGCACAGAAAGAAATAAGATGGGTAACATATATACCATCTTCCATTAATAAAAGTGAGAACTAAAATTTCATGAGAGTATAAGAGCTATAGGCGAGATTCTTAATCACCGCCTGGCCCCTACTTGAGCCTCAAGGCACCCCTAAGTCTTGCCTTTTAAAACTCTGTCAAGACTAAGTATTGGAAATGAAATTGCTATACCCTGATTTCAAGTAACTTATTGATCAATTAACATCACAGAGATATTTTCCTTACCTATGTTTCCCTTTATGGCAACGCATTATCCAATTTCAGTATTTATTGTTTAAGTATCTTATAACTTTCATCCATAACCATGTGCTAATACATAGTGTTGATGACTAGTCCCAGTTATAAACATTCAGAAATTTCTATCCACATAGCACGTCAATAATAAATTTTAATCAGCCCATTTTACATTAATTCTGCGATGAGGACACTAAATATTCTCTGTTCTTTTTTCTTTGCTAGATCTGCCATGTTAACATCCACCACAAATAAGGAGAAAACTGATCATTTTGACTTCTTTTTTTCTAATATCTTCAATTTTTTTCTTTTAGATTTCAGGTCTGCTCAGGGAAGGTCTTTTTCAACTATTCAACACCCCCAACTACCACGTCTGCTGCTGAATTGGTAAACGGCCCTTGGCTTATATTATTGTTTATGTGTTTGCTTTTTTCCTTGATCTTATTCAGTTGACTTTTCACATTCTTGTGAAAGGTAGCAGGAAACTCCTTGGCTGCTTTGCATTATATGATGAAGCCCAGCAAGAGCAAAGAGGCCTAATATATATATTGTCTTTGACAAGATCAGTACCATTCCCAACATCTCATCCTGTTTAGTTATCTGGCGTGCACACAAACCTTTACTCGTGTTGTTTAGTTATGGATTCAACGACCACTCAAGGAGCCTCTTTCTCTCATGTTACTCACTCATGGACATATGATGTCTTTCTGAGTTTTCGGGGTGAGGATACACGGAACAATTTTACAGGCCATTTGCACAGAAATTTGATTCAAAGGGGTATCAAAACCTTCATAGATTATGAGCTTAGAAGAGGAGAAGAAGTATCACCAGCACTTCTCAAAGCTATTGAAGAGTCAAGGATTTCTATCATTGTTTTCTCTGAAAACTACGCAACTTCAACGTGGTGCTTGGATGAACTCGTTAAGATTCTCGAGTGTAAAGAATTGAAGCAACAAATGGTTTGGCCAATTTTTTATAAGGTGGATCCATCAGATGTACGAAACCAGAGAGGTAGTTTTGGAAAGGCACTTGCCAAACATGAACGCAAGTTCAAAGATAACAAGGAGAAGGTAAAGATATGGAGGGCAGCACTTACCAAAGCAGCAAATTTGTCTGGGTGGTCGCTCTTGGACGGGTATCTTTCTTACTACAATATAGCTTACTAGCTTTTGTCTATATTTGAGGGTTATCTATCTTCTGATTGAGCTTTTTCACATAAAAACAGATAAGTTTTACGTGTAGGATCCAAAAGCTGTATATTGATCTCTACAAATATATATATATATATGTACTTTTTTTTGGGGGGGTTATAATAGGATTTGAACCTAGCCCCTATACTACTTTTTGACCCCATTCCAAGGCTACTTGAGCTGCTTCTTGTATAGACTATTACATGTGGAAAAATATATACTCTGATATATACATCGATGTATTTCATGATTTTCAATAACATGATACTTTTTTATCAAAGAGGAAGAGGGATGTGAAAATGAAAGTTAAGACATATATGTGGTGTCAATAAAAATAAATCAATAAGGTACTCGCATATGTTTTCCGCACACATAACAAAGATCAATTCATTAACTGTATATGCTTTTAAATTTGCAGCCATGAATCTAATTTTATAGTTGCCATTGTTGAAGAAATTTCTGTACAAGTATCAACCCAGAACATCTTGAATGTGGCAAAGTACCCCGTGGGAATAGAGTCTCGTCTGCAAGATATTCATAAGCTTTTAGGTGTTGGGGCAAATGATGTTCGCATGGTAGGGGTATGGGGGATCGGTGGAATAGGTAAGACAACAATTGCTAAAGCTGTTTTCAATTCAATTTCCTCTAAGTTTGAAGCCAGCTGTTTTTTAGCAAATGTTAAAGACTATCCAATGCCATATGGAGGCCTCGTCCAACTACAAAAGATTCTTCTTCTTGAGATTCTAGGAGAAAAAGAATTGAATTTGAACAGTGTTGATAGAGGAGTAAATGTGATAAAGGAAAGGTTGAAACATAAAAGAGTTCTCTTAATTCTTGATGATGTGAATCATTTGGACCAGTTGAACAAACTTGCAGGAGGGCTTGATTGGTTTGGTTTCGGCAGCCGAATTATCATAACGACAAGAGATAAACATTTGCTAACTGCTCATCAAGTTAATTTTATATACAAGGTCAAGGAATTAGATAGTTCTGAAGCTCTTAAGCTCTTCATCAGTTGGAATGGCTTCACAAGAAATAGCAATTCGGAGGATGATTATATGAAACTCACAAAAACTGTAGTAGACTACGCCCAAGGCCTTCCGTTAGCTCTTATGGTTTTAGGTTCACATCTTTGTGGTCGAAGTTTAAATCAATGGAAAACTATGTTAGAAAGTCAACCAAGATTTCCTATTGAAGAGATTCATGAAGTTCTGAAAATAAGCTACAATGCACTAGAATATCCGGTGAAAGAAGTTTTCCTTGACATTGCATGTTTCTTTAAAGGTAAAGGTAAGAACTATGTGATAAACATGCTAGAAGGGTGTGATCTCAACCCTATCTATGGTATTGAAGTACTCATAGAAAAGGCTCTCCTATATGTTGATCATGTAAATAGAATTTGCATGCATGACTTGGTCGAAGAAATGGGTAGAGAAATAGTTCGTCACGAATCGCCAAATGAGCCTGGAAAGCGTAGCAGATTGTGGTTTCACAAAGATGTTTACCGTGTTCTAACTGAAAATACAGTAAGTAGAATATACATATACCTATATATATGTAAGTTTTATTTAAATCCCATTGTAGAATTTGGGGATTCATGTTTATAAATTTAATAAGGAACTTGCTTTGCTAATACTCGCTTTTTCATACTAGGGAACAGACACTATTCAAAAAATTATGGTAAACTTGCCGGAACCATATGAGATACGCCTGAGTGCTAAAAGCTTCACAAAGATGAAAAATCTTCAACTTTTCATAAACTGTAACGCACACTTCTCTGGAGAAGTTGGTTATCTATCCAATGATTTGAGATTCCTTGATTGGCCTGAATGTCCATTAAAAGCTTTGCCTTCCAGCTTTAATCCAAAGAAACTTGTTGAGCTCAAACTGCGTGACAGTCGTATCGAACAACTGGGGAATGGATTCAAGGTATTTTAAATGTTACCTATCCGTTGTTATTTTCAGAAGTTTAGTTTGTGCATGTTGTAAATTTCTTTAAAGCTTATCATGTGACGCTTTCTTCTTTTTTATTTTTTTGATGTTACAGAGTCTGGCAACGTTAAAACATATAAGTTTTCAAAGTTGCAAGTTCCTAACAAAAATCCCCGACTTCTCTGGACTCTCAAGCTTAGTGGAGTTGGATCTAAACTTCTGTACAAGTTTAGTTGAGGTGCATTCATCTGTTGGATTCCTTGATAAGCTTGCCATATTGAGACTTGTTGATTGTTTTAATCTCACTAGGTTTCCAAGAGGAGTCAAGTTGAAATCTCTGACACTTACTATTCTTAATGATTGCAAAAAGCTTGAGTATTTCCCCGAAATTTTGGCAAAGATGGAATGCACAACAAGAATGAATCTATCCGGCACTGCCATCAAAGAGTTGCCTTCATCAATTAGATATCTCGTTAATCTTCAAGACTTAGAGTTATATCAATGTGAAAACCTTAGCCATCTACCGAGCAGCATTTATGAGTTGCAACATCTGCAGCGATTTTATTTAATGGATTGTCCAAAACTTGTCACATTTCCAAATAAGGTGAAGCCTGAAAATGAGTCTGAAGGCAATTTAGCTCTTCCCGAGCTACGTTTACTCAATATGGGAGGATGTAATTTATCAGAAAGTGCTTTTCTTGGTAATCTTGATTGTCTACCGACATTAAATACCCTAGATCTTTCAGGAGGCAATTTTGTTAGTCTTCCCGAATGCATTAGCAAATTTTTCAACTTGTGGCAACTTTCCCTATATGATTGCAAGAGGCTTCGAGAAATTCCAGAACTTCCACAAAAGTTAAGGCATGTAGGGTTAGGTGGTTGCATATCGTTGGAAGGTGATTTTCTTCGTACTCCTGGTTGTCTCTCTACATTGGAAAGTATAGACCTTTCAGGAGGCAACTTTGTTAGTCTTCCCGAATCCATTAGCAAATTTGTCAAGTTGAAGCATCTTTCCCTGGCTGGTTGTAAGAGGCTTGAAGAAATTCCAGAACTTCCACCAAAAGTGAAACATGTACTGGCGAGTGGTTGCATATCACTGGAAAGATTTTCAAAACTGTCGAACATTTTGGAACGTAAAGAATCGAAAATGATTAAGAGCCTCAACTTATCAAATTGCCGGAGACTCTGTGACAATCTGGCTTTCATGGTAGAGAATAAATACACTTTAGTGAATGATCAGGCGGCTCTGTTTTCTCTCTGTCTCTCTTCTCAGCAATCTAAATTTGGAGTTATATTTCCAGGAAGTGAAGTTCCAAGGTGGTTCAGCAGTCGTACGAATTTGTCGGAGCCAAGTGGTAAATGTGAAGTTTGTGTTGAAATCCCTGAAATGTTGGAGAACAATGGATTGGCCCTCTGGGCTACTTTTCATCAGAACACGCAAAATAAATCTTATGATGAGTCCATCTTTTTTGAAGCCGAAATTTGCATCGATGAAGAATGCATTGGTAAAGCTAAAACAACTTTGTATGGTTCATTAGAGATAGAGGCAGCTCATGTGTGGCTCTACTATATTCCAGACCTTTCAAGGATAGAGACGTGGCGGAGATATTGGATTGATGATGAGTCGCTGCCTTGCATGTGTCGAGTCAGTTTTACTTGTGAAAGTTCGCTGGCCTTCAAAAGTGCCGGGGTCCACCCAATCCTTCGGCACGAAGACAGTATACGTTATGATTACGACTCAGATGACAGTCTACATTCTGATTGACGACTCAGATTATTAGTTTTTCCCTGTACTGGACAAATAGGACATTGTTTTTCCTTCCCTAGAAGTAGAATCACAATTTGACACACAAGTAAAAATAATCCGTCAAAAAGAAAAATTTATGCACATATGTCAAACTATGATCAGTATGAAAGTATATGAGTTCCCCCTACAGAATAATGAGGCAAGTATTTTCCGGACAAATACATACGTACTTCCCAACTAACAGGTGAGGACCTCTAAATTGTTTCTGTGAAAGCAGCTCATAAAAGTTTTATGGGGTTTGCCTCTCTTTCTTTATCATTGATTCATCCTCATGATTATGTTTCTAGGTTTTAAATAGTTATATTCCGAATTAGTTGCTCGTAACTAACTATGTTTGATGTGTTCTGGTTTTGCAGCATGCATTACTCAAGAAGATGTGGGAGCAGAAGGCATGCTGCAGCTGCTTCAATAATCCATTTTCGATGAGGAAGTTGAAATGTTTTTTTTTCTCTCAAGATACGATGGTTTTTGTTTGTGGGTTGTTTCTTTATTGTAGATTGAGCTGAGTCTTGTTAGTATAATTTTTCTATGGGAGAGTTTTTGCTTTTCTATCTTGCTCCATATTCTTTCAGTTACCACAACCATGCACATACTGTATTATGTAATTTTAGGCAATAACATATGGTGTTTTACTACATGAACTTCTTGGTGAGCACTTGGGGGAAACTAAAGACGACTTATCAACCCATTTGGGCATTTGGTTTTCTTCAATACTTGTAGTTGTGCAGGCAGACTTTTGCTTTTTCAAACAAATAAAATTTCAGACAGCCTATTGGAAAGATATTATTCTTATTCATTTCCTAATCCGCCGTGTCAACTTCCGCATAAGTTATGAGAAGTAATACCAACAAAAAAATAGAAAATAATCTGAACTCTATTTTCTACTTATATATCTGTGTCCCGGAGTGCATGTATATAAACAATTTGAACAAATGTAATGGATGCAGGCCTTACAAGCCACATTTACTCACATTTACGCAGAAGAACTTGCATCAATGCTAGCAGATGATAACTCATTAACTAATCTGGGTACCTCTTCGTCCCACTTTTGAATCTCACGAGCATATTTGAGAGCTTCATCTACAGTGTCAGGCTCTAATGCCGTAACCAGTGAAACAAACAACTTTCTATCTGTTAAAGAACGAAAGAGTCTTTTGAACTTCATTGCAACATACTGAAAGGCTCGGTGAGCCAATGTGGTGTTATTACTATTATTATTGCTGCTGCTGGGATTTTGGCTGGTCACTGGATTGAAGTCAGGAAACCATTCACATCGACTGAGAGGAACTTCGTCGATCTTTTCTTCGAACAGATCAAACTTGTTGAGTATCAGGAGGAAGTCTTTGTGGTCAAGGGCCGGATGAGTAACAATATTTTCAAAGAGCTGCTTACTTGCCATCATCTTGTTCATTGAAATGCCATTAGAATCTACAGACAACTCATCGTAGTCTGTCAATGCAACACAAAATAGGACCATATCAACATCTTCAAACATCTCCACCAACTTGCAGTTTCCTCCAAGGCTGCTATGATGCACTCTAATGAGTTGATATCTGCAAAGAAAAGCATGCCAATGCATGTTAAAAGACACTTTGATACCCTGTTTGTCAACACATGAAATAAGAATGTTTCAGTTTTTTTTAGATAAACAGAATGCTCGTCATTATTTCAATAATTAAGAGACTGGAAAAAAAGGACCATTTAAAACTTTGAAATTTTGAATTCAATACCACATCTTGGAAATTTCTTGTGCTTTCAAGTAACTTAATGATCAATTGGCCTCGAACAGATATTTTCCTTGCCGCTGTTTCCCTTCATTAGCAAATTATATAATCCAATTTCACTACTTATGATGCAAGTATTTTATAAGTTTCATTTTCAAATAATACTTTTGTTGATGACTAGTCCCAGTTATAAATGATCTAAAACTGCATATCCATTTCTATCCATTGGGCAATGCACGTCAAAAATAAATTTAATCAGCAACAACATTAAGCAATAGATTTGGCCAAAATCACGCTCAATGAAGAATAATTAAAGCATGTATTGCTCAAACATCATTTAATTCAGGCATGAATCAGGAACCCTAACCTTAAAGAAGGGTCATGCTGATAGGGAGGATCCAGATTGCTATTTCCTTCTGACATGGGAAATGCAAATTCCATGCTAGTAAGGCTGTTGGATGAAGTGATTCCTTCAGCATACAAGATGTCAATGTTTGAGAGCTCATAATCTGTCCTTGAAATCTCAACAGCCTGCAAAGAAAGGTATATAAATTGATTAACAAGGGTATATTATCCCATATTATCCACATTCCATATTCGTATCTAAATTTATCCACAAGATCAAACGAATATTCTGAGCATCTGGCGCATCAAATAATTGAAAACTCAAATACTTAAAGCTAAGAGAGATTAAACTTAAACAAACAAAAAATACGAGCACAAGCACTTTGAGAATGTGAATTGGCTAAAACTAGAGAGGACAGGGACCACAGAGCGTGATCTCACCCGATTAAGAAAATAAGTGGCTGGTCTGGGTAGCATTTCTATTTCATTCCTCCGGTCATATGTGGCCTGAATAGCAGGATCCTTCCACAACTCCTCAACGAATGGTGCATATTCACGAGTAGCTGCTGGAAATATGGCTTCTAAATTACCGGATACCATAGCTTTGATGAGCCAATCTGCAAAAGATTTCAGTCTTGGGCCAATGGAATATTTAGTTTTATTGTTAAGCCGGCTTGCATTCCCTGTTGTTAAGTAACAAACTTCAGACATGACTCCATAATGAAAAAACTGATAGCAATAATTTATACAAAAGGTAAGCATCATACTTGCTGTTTCATATGTTATTTGTAAGCGAAATGGTAAGGTGATAATCAACTAATAGAAAGATATATCAACTTGATAGGAAATCGAAAGATCAGTAACCCACAAGAAGCACCAAAAGTATTCAAAAGAAGCAAGCTGTGATACAAAGATACCATAATGAAATTCTAACTGAAAGCTTTAACGCAACCCATGTAGTCCTTCAAATAAAGTCCAATTACCCGATTAATATCAGTGAAAACAAATATGTTTTTCCTTTATAATTAATTTATAGGTGATAACGCTTTTTATTAAAGCACTATTAGATAGATAACTGAGAAACCATGGGTGGAAGGTTTAGACACTCAATGGTCAGAAACAAATTGGATGAACAATTCATGAATCAAATAAAGAATCACACAGCTGAGATGAAAAAGTATGAAGCCATAAACCTGGGAAGATCATACAGAAGATAAGAATTGTATAAATTTGTCCCATGGTAGATTATTTACATAGTTTGTGAGGCAGAAAAAATCAATGCTGGCCTTTTTTTCCACGTGCTTGGTAAATTTCTACACACTTGAGAAAAGTTAACTTACTAAGATCTTGCAAAGGGTGCCTCATCTTTCTTTTATGTTTAATACAAATGTATGTTTCCTATCTGAACAAAAAGAAAATCTAAGATCTCATCTATTTTAATTGAAAAAACTAATTTATCTAAAGTTAGAGATGAACAGGACAACTGACTTTAGTGAATGAATTGCTATCTGTACACAATTGTTACATATTGATGTGAAAAAAGACCAGATTATGTAAACATAATGTAGTGAATAAAACAAGGTATCAGTTTTTATTGTACCCGAAGGGCCACGTTCATCTAGAAGCTGTCCTTTTCCTTTGCTCTTCTCAAGCAAACATTCTTCTTCAAACCATTCACGCCCCTCAAGCAGTATACCAAGATAACTGTACAATCTGCTTTGGATCATGAACTTTATATTTTGCAGCTCATCTTCAGAGAAAGGAACATTATACAGAAGCTTGGCCTAAAATAAGCAAGTACTTAGTGTCACAAAAATTCCAGGCAGCATTCAGAATAAATTTATTGGAATGAAGGTTTCTAAAAGTAACATTCCTAGTAGCACTGTTTTACATTGAACAAATGCACAACCACTTACTAAGAAATGTTTAAGTTAGTATCACAATGTCCTTCCAATGGTTTATTGAACACAATATAAAAGTACACAAATATAGAACATTGGATCCTATTACAAATGTGGAATGACTTACTTGATATAGGCTTTCATGATAAGATTGCTCCAGCAAAAGGAAAACGAAGTTATGTTTAGTTATCTATGTCCATATTTGCACTTGATAGTTATAAAAAATTCTAAATAGAATGTGCTGCTGCTGATACAGTGCTCTAAGAAAAACACATGTATAGTAATGCATTAAGAAAAATCCACACAAAGGCATGTGTTTGTACGTTTCTGTATGCACCTTCAACTTTTTACAGGTATACACATTTACTGAAAATTAATCAGCAACAAGTTTCTTGAAAACTTCAAGTCATGCCAATGCTGATTTGGCTGTCAAGTTTTGATGTTGATTACTATCATCTAATGTTTTCCACAACAAATAATTTTGTAAGACCCTGAAGCTATGTAATAGAAATGCACCAATTAGGTTACAAATTTTACTGTACTAAGAGATGTGTAATCGTGTAATTCCCTCCACCAATGTCTTACCTGTTTAAATATAGTGCTTGTGCCAGATTTGTGATACCCAACTAGAACAAGTTTGCTAGGCATTTTCTCTTCAACGGAGTTCTGGGTGTTCACTTCATCCGCAGAAACATTTGCACAATCAGAAGGAATTGGCAACGACAAGACGTTACAAACCAGCTTTATACTAGTCTGTAAAGAAGTAACTTGACAGTCAAGGGATGCTTGATGCATAAGATTGATAGGAAAGACACGCAAGTAATTGCATATACACATGCATGCATACCTTGTCCCATATTTTTCCTTTTACTTTATTCATTCCCTCTTCCTGATAGGACCCATCTGCATTCACCCAGTAATGAAGATTTCCTTCACATGGGACTCCTGCCAACTGCATACGTTCAACAGATGGCATCAATATAATGTGTTTTTCCAAAGTTTATAATACCAACGAACTTGAACAAGTCTAGTACAAAAACCTGCAGTATGAAGGCCTCTAATTTAGTAATCTCCCGACCGTTTATCAATATGTTTGTATCCCCTTTACTAGCATCTCGCCTTATGTGTCCTCCAACATTCAGCTGGGGGCTAATAATTTGGCAAGGCTTATGCCCTTCCTGTTCAATTAAAGCAGGACAATTATCTCAGTGCAGTGCAAGTTGCACAACAATATAGAGGTCTAATATTAACAAGCTGAAACAAACAAATATTTCGAGCTGAGTTCAATTTTTACCTTTCCCCAAAACCCAGATACATTATCATACCAATAGCATCCTGGTTTTAGCTTTTTTGGTGGGTTTCTGCAACCTTGCAATCGAACAAGCTCATCTGGTGAAAGAGGTTTGTCGTTCACAAAAATAAGATTTCCTGGAAGTTGATTTGGTTGGCAAGATATCTCGGCTTCCATTATCAGTTCAACTTCCAATTTAGTGAGAAGCCGCTTGAGCATCCTAGAACACTTTCCCAGCTTCTTTCGCCTTGACTCATCAATCCCAAAACCAATGCAAGTAACACATTTCCTTCCTTCTGGCATTGAACCCATTGCTCTCAGCACACAATTAAAACAATACTTTGCACCACAAACAATGCAAACCTCCTTGTCAGTGAATCTGTTTCCTTTCCCACATCGAAAGCACGAGCCTTTAGTCCCATTCCTCTCAACCCTTGGCCTCACCTGCACATTTTCATCCCTATCAGAAAGTTCAAATTCTTCTTCCTGAACTATGTCATTCGAATCAGGATCGCGAAAAGTCACAGTTGATGGCCTTTTAACATGGTGAGGCGTTTCATCCCCGCCAGCTTCCTCTCTACCAGAGAAAACCTCAGAGGAAAGACTCCGTGAGCTTGAACCAGACTCTGACGATCCCCAATTACCAGGGCTCATATAACTTTGAAAGCCTTGAGCTTCTTGACCATCATCAGGTAATTCCAACACATCCTCCAAGCTTCCAGAGAGCCTACAAGAGAAACCCAATTTCCCAGAGCTTCCAAGTTTATCTGATAAAGTAGAGACATCCTTTTCTCCATTCTTATATTCCAGTGCAACAGGGGCCACTGAATTGGAAGAAAAATTTGCCTTTTCTGGCTTTGCTTCACTTTCAAGTTTTGCCTCTTCTCTGGGTTTCTTGTTAGAAGGGTTGGATTTTGCAATCGGTTGAATCACTGGGAGTGATAAATTGTGCAAGAGAGAGGCTGAAGAAACTGGAGCAGCAGTGGGGATTTGGTCAAGATCAACAGGAACTGCATTTGGGATATCATAAGCCAAAGGAGGACCACGGTACTCTATTGCAAATGAGTATTCCAATTCTGTGCTAAAATCTTCATGGTCATCACGATCACCGTGAACAGCACTTGAAGCCATAGCATGACTCAGTTTTCTCATAATAGCAGCCATATCAGAGTTACGGAAAAAATCAGCAGAAAGCAGGCAATTTCAATACCATAACCGTTGATATCAAAAACCCATGAAGATTAAGCATTGACCTTGCAAACCCATGAAGCAAAACGATGATTCAACAAAACCGATGAAGAAAAATTGAAAATTTTCACAAACCCATCGAGGAAAAGCTCTGGAATTTTGAGCTGAAACACCCCAACCTCCTCCGCCTTGCCCCAAACAAACAAACAAAACATAAACAATACGGGGACTCTTTGGTGAAAGTCACGGGTGTGGAGACGCGGACTCGGGCGAAGACCAATAAGTTGACTTCCCATTTTCTCCACGCGATGATGAGAGGAAGCTGCTGACGAATTTCTCACAACAAGAGAAGCAAATCACCACACTCAAAACCCATGCGACTGAGTCTTCGGTTGAAGGGGTTATGATTCTCTGTAGCTATCTATAGGAAGTAAATCTGCTACCTCTCTTGTTTCAGTACCGAACGACGTCGTTCGCGTCGTCCCTGTGAGTAAAACATGGTTCCGTACAGTCACATGTCGACTTTTGGTAGTCTCTTTGACTCTTGACGCAATGAGCTCCGGCCGGCTGCAATTTTCTGGGTCAACTAATCATCATGTCGGATTTTCTCAACGAGCTTAATTTAACATTTTTTTGTCTCTGCATTTTCGTTTGATCAATTCGTCTAACTCTATAAAATATAACTGAATATTATTCAATATAACTCGTGGTTGATTTAGTCATATGAAGAATTATTATGTAAAAATCAGTCCCATGAAGAAGGTAAATTCTATTTTTAAAACTAAGAGTTTTCTTTGGATGCATGAATTTCGCGGCTTATTTAACTCTTTTATATAAACCGCGTGAACCTCTCCCCCAATTGCTTGTACTATAAAAATAAAAAAAATACAAGTGGTGTTTGAAAATAGGGAATCGAAACAAAACTAACTTCGTGTGTAGGAAAAAATAGAAAGGAACAAGTTGGAAAACTTTCAACTGGTGGGAAGGTAAATAGGGGGGATTCTAAATGCATTATGCATCTAAAAGTTTGGTCTTCTAAAAAAACAAAAACAAAACAACCAACGGTCAAAACATATTTTTGCATGGTTAAAAATCAAGGAACTTATCATAACCGTTTCTTTGTTTAGAGAAAACAACGTCTCCGATGTTCCAACCATTGGGGGTCTTTTCAGACAAAGTTGGACTGTTATTGGTAATTTTGTGTATTTAGGGTTTAGGTGTGTATTGATGAAATTTTTGGGTGCCTTTGGAATAGCCTAAAAGTACAACCCATCACCTTTTTTTCTTTTTCTGTTGAAGTCCAACCCATCACCTTGTAAGCCCAACACCAGTTTTTCTCTCCTAATCCATGGTTGTTCTACATTTAGAAAAGCCTTGAAGCCCATTCATTCAGCCTCCTCATAAGGCATGTTTGTTTTTTTTTTTTTTTTTTTTTTTTAATTTTTTTTTTTTTTTATGAACTCCTATGAAGCTACGCAGTATTAGAAGTGAACATCTGAACTGTGTTCTCGTTAATGCGAAACTAAGTTGTAGCCAGATTGCAAACCATCGTAGGTACATGCTAATCCTTTTCCTCATATATGTTTTTCTAATCTTCCGCCATCTGTTGCTTGTAAACTTCGTTTTGATATTAGGTCTTTAGGGATCCCTATAGGATTCCGTTTGTAACTTTTTGTTTGTCTTTAAAAAAAAACACACAAAATAGGTACATTTTATATCCTTCGAAGATAATTTGTTAGATAGAATCCTTGTCTCATAACCAACAAATTAGTTTGAGAGAAATAATATTTTTAGTCATTCGAGCTCGAGTTCGAATTCTGATTCAAATTCAAATTCAAATTCGAGTTCAAGTTCATACAGATTTTGGGTTCACTGGGGTAGGGTTCGCAATACTTATGTATATAACCATTTTTCCTGTGTTGAGGTGTTTTCCAACTTTTGAGAATGATATTTTAGACTTTATAGCAACAACCGGGTGGGGACTTTTCAAGTTCTGGGTTAACTTTCGGTCGCATATGCATGTTCAAGACTTTCAAGTCAAGAGATTCTAATTACAAATATAAACGTAGAAATGGGCTTTGCTTTCTCTTCAAGAAACTTCAGGACTAGTGTGAAATGGCGCTCGATACTATTCACCAGTTTCAAAAATTGGACCATACAATACAAAGAAATTTGGCCATATATTTCAAACTTTCCCTTTTCTGCATTGCATGTATATCTATATATTCGCACTCTTAGTACAGCTTGCTTGCATTGCTTGTGTTTCATTTATTCTAGGTACCAAGAAAAGAAAAATAACAAACTTACAATAAGCGAGCAAATGACTCACTAGTATAATGGTTTCGAGCAATTGTTCCCTCATAAAAAGTTATGGGTTCGAGTCCTAACATTCGTGTAGTGTGTGTGAGTTTAATGTATTATCGCCCCTCTCAATAAGAAATATTCTGGAAAATAATAAAATAATAAAATAAGAGAACAAATAATCATGGGCTCAATTTTCTTTCATTTAATTGTCCATAACTTTGATAAAACCTCACACAACAAGAAACCAAAATATTTACATCTCAATAACACATACCCAAAACAAGCAAATGGCTAATTGGGTTTGTAATATGCTAAGAAATAAAAATGAAAAAACCAAAGAAAGAACACATAGGCTATGTGACATATATGACCATAATTAAGAAGGAAAACAAATGTTCTTCTGGCAAAATATGGTCGGTCCATTTGCATTTGCTTCATAATATTGAATTAGGTCATGCAGGACTCTATACATATAGGCTATTAGGGATCTTGTCTTGTACTTCTTTTTCGGCATTCATCTCATATTGTCATATTCATAGTAATCTGCAAGTTATTTACTAGCCCTCCATGCCAAGGCTTCTCTTGAAAGCAAAACCAGGTGGTCCTCCACGGACCACTCATCACCTGGTCTGGCTTGGGCGGTGCCCCTCTGCTTCGTCTGAACATTTTTGGCACCTTACTGTAGGGGCCACCAGAGAACAGACGGCGAGTGTACTGCACGATCTCATTCAAGGAGCGTCGGCTTTAAGTATACTCTCTACGACCTTTTTGTTTTCAAGGCTTTCCCAATTTTTTAATAGTGACTAGGGTGGTCTTGTTGTTATTGCTGGTGCCCGAATAAGCATCCTTCTCCAACGCCATAATCTGACTCAAGTTCGGCGCGTCCTCCGACACGCGCCAAACCTTCACCGACCTATCCAAGCTCCCGCTGTACACCACCCACCGCTGATCCACCTTATCCTCCGTCCCGTAATCTTCCACCACTGTCAAGCACTTGACGGGTCCAGTGTGACCCGTCAAGACAGACAGACACGAATGTGCCCCGCCTTCCTCCCTTCTCCACACGCAGATGTTCTTGTCCGCCGATCCGCTGAACACCAAGTTCCCAGCCGTGGACAAGCACAGCACGGCCAGTTTATGGCCGCGCAGAACCCCACCGTGGGACAAGTGCTTCTCCCAATCCCAATAATTCACCAACCCATCCGACGACCCACAGTAGACGACCGCCGCTTCCTGGTTCATGGCCAATGCCGTCACAGCGTTCTCCTGCTTCAGCAACGTCTGAACCAACACGTGCGTCGTTCCTTTCCCTTGCAACTCCCTCCTCCAAACCTTCACTGTCCCGTCCGCGGACCCGGTGAACACCAACGACTCGAAACCCACAACGACGCTATTGACAGCGTCGTCGTGAGCCGCCACCGATTCCAAGCACTTGGAATCGGCAATTCTCCAGACCTTGAAAGTCTTGTCCCACGAACCAGTATAAAGAAGGCCTTGATCTTCGTTCATGCTCATGCACGACACCGCGTCGAAGTGTCTGATCCGGACGACATTTCTATGCCGCCGGACCTCCACATAGTTCTTCGGGTTCATCGAGCTCCGAATAAAATCTTTCAAAGTCGGCAAGCTGCCAACCCGTCTGTGATTACTCGGGTTTTTAGTGGACACTTTCCAGACTCGGATCTTGCCATCCTGATGACCCGTAAATATCTTCTCACCCGATATCACAATCGCTTTGATCAACCCGCTCTTGGATTTGAAACCCGTGAATTCCTTCAAGTTCTTCCAGACCCGGATGTTCTTGCTATCCGACCCGGTGTAGAGCAAGTCTCCATTGACAGCCAGGGAGTATATGTGGCCTTCTTCCCGAACTAAGGACCCGATGAGTCCGTTCACAGGGAAGTTCTCCTCGAGCGGATTCAAGGGCGACGGGGTTATCCACGGGGACTTGTTGTATGGCGACGCGGACGCCTGGTTCCACGGGGACATGGCGTAGGGAGATGCCTCAGCGCTGCTACCATATGTACTGGCGTCGTACACAGGGCTGGTCGCCGAGGCACTGCTACGACGTGTAGAGTAATCGTTGTTGTTGTTGTTGTTGATGTCGCTGTTGGGATCTTGGTGGTTCGAGGCGTTGGTCGGAGACGGCAGGGAGGGGTCGGAGGAATGCAAGAAGGCTTCGAATCTCGGTCTATGGTGGAGAGCATTTCGTTCTGCTACCATTGTACCTCCTCTTTCGTTTCTCATTTACGATTGATGAGAGGAGAAGGGCAAGCAAAATATGAAAAGAAAGAGAAAAAATGGATGAAGAGAAAATTGAGAGGATTTTGACGGAAAGTGAGAGAAAATTTAGGAAATTTTTGTTTTGGAGATTTGGAAAGTTTGAGAGGAGTGGGGAGTATATATAAATAGGAGGGGATGACAGAGTGGTGGGTGTGGGTTGGTGCCACGTGTTGGGATGAGACGTGGTCGTTTTGGAGATTTGAACAGGGAAACCGGAAACCGGGTGTGCCGGTAATTATAACGAAAAAACTGATTTTTGTTGCGAATGAATTTGTTTTCCTTCTAGAGATTAATTTAAGGGAGTTTCACTAAAACACCCAAAATGAAGCTGAAATTATAAAAAAACCCAACACCCAAAACACTTTATAAACACACCCAAAACCCATCATTACACACACTCAAAACTCATTTATAAACACACCCAAAAAATATACAATTGTTGATTTTGGAGTTGATTTTGGATGTGTTTCTATATTTAAATAGTATTTGAGTTTTTTTATAAATACATGTCTAGAATTTGGTTTATTTATAAATTTATATTAATTTAATGACCACACGTATTTTTGGAGAAAAAGACGAAACGGGTTTTTTTTGGAGGATACGTGTGGATTATTGTTACATGCGGATATATGATGAAAGCGTATTTTCAGACTCGGTTCTTTTGACTTCTCAGCTGCGTTGAAGATTTGACCTTTCAGTTGGTCAAGAATTTACGTTTCGTTTTCTTTGCGTTGACACGACATCGTTTTTGCTGTGTTCATGAATGTTGGCTCTCTCCTCAGTTCTCTTCACATGCACACATGCAAATCGGTTTTCTTGGATTAAATTCGCCTAACAGTAATGGTGGTTTGAAGATGAAAGGGTAAAAATTTCGCAATTTGGACGGCAGTTGGAATTGCAGTTTAGGTGCATATCGTTTTTAATATCGCACTGCGATTACCAAACTCGTTTAATTTAGACCTTACTATTTTTAACGAGTATTACTATCTTTTTCATCGATTTATGAAATTTGAAAAAAATTTCAAGACTAACACGTGAATGAATTCGAGTGGAAAATAAATAAATGAAAAGTGAGACTGTATAATTTCTCTAATTCTAGAAGAAGTAACACGAAAGGTTTTGTTTTCAATTTTAATTACTATATTATAATATTTATATGCATATAGTGGCAAACAAGAAATATAGTGAAAAGAACTTGCATGATCATCAGAAAAAAAATCCTTACCCATAGAAAAGTACAAATTGAATGATCATCAAGAATTCCAGTAATTTGCTTTAGAGGTGGCCATTAAGAACGGACCCTACTACCATTATCTCCCTTCCAATACTTACTTACACACTATTTACTATTTATTGGTTGACAATCAAATCATCCGAGTTAAAAGGCCCCTGCTAGCTGTTTTATTGGACCAATTCATATTTTCTATATTAATACGGTTAACCGTCCTTATGGATAACTAATTTTGTGTCTCGTCAATCATCCAATGAATCAATCGATATTTGTTGATCAGCAATGCAAAAACTTGTTATTGTAACAGTTAAGATCAAATTATGTTTTAAGTACCTTTAACTCTTATAAGCTTCGTTCTCAAATTACATTTAAGTTTCGCGAACGAAAAAATTGTCGAATAAAAATGAAAAACTAATGTACCACATGTTCAATAGTGCACAAATTGTTTGTTTGTTTCCAAGTCGTAAAGGTTGGTGAACCGTACACATGCTTGGTTCCATTCCATATAAGCTCCAAACCCTGTCAGGCCTTCGGCCTAACTCTACATTTTACAACACTGTGGCGCGCCAAAACCGCTTCATGGTTCACCTTTTTAACGTGCCAATTAGTCAACGGCTCAATGAAAATGGGTCGCCACCTGTGAGCGAAATATTGGTGAAGCCTGAAAGAGACCGGCAGCCACGTACCAGTTTATTTAGCACACCCAAGCAAGACTAAAAAGTTATACCTAAATAAATCAAAATTATTTGTCTTATATATTCCACGTCATCCGATGAAATTAGGTCTGCCAATTGGCCGTCTTTTAGGCCGACACGCGTCCTTAGGGGATTAGGTCACGGTTCATAAGCATGACGGATTAAGCCAAATGTCAGCTGGGTTTTACTGATAAGGGGTCTAGGTTCTAAGAAGCTGGAAATGGCTTCGAGTTTAATTGACACTTGCCCTCCTATGTTGTTTACGTATTTGAGGCCAGCAATCCGAATGATTGACAGATTAAAATAATCTTGGATTAAGTGAAAGAAGAGTATAATTGTATACTTAATTATGCAATTACAAAACTTTGAAGGAGTTCATTTCACGATGTAACAAACAACTCATCGATGCTTATGTTTAATGAGTTATTTAGTTTTGTTTTTGATCTGAGGTGCCGCTGATGTTATTCAAGATATTTCTTTTCCGGGATATGTACGGTATAGTTGTCCTTAGTGCGTCACCAAAATCTAAATTTTGTGATTTTTCTATATCCAGAAGAGTTGCTGCTTGGTGGGAAAAGAAGCGAGCTGTACTGAATTTTCTTGCATGTCACTTATTCAATGTATTATTACAATGGATAGCAAGGTAGGTAAGAATATAATTTGTTTATAGCAGCTTTTTTGGATAATTTGAACAATAATTTTACCACAAAGCTGACTTTTTAGTGCAACCTCACCAAAAGTCCGAAAACTGCATTTATGGAAACTAGGTCAGCTGCATGCGCATGATAATATAAATACTCGTTTTTTTTTAGGCCTGCAAAAGGTGTACTACACTGCTTTTCTTTTCGTGACAAGTTTAAATTCTAGAATCGAATACAAATTTTTACACAACGTAGTATATAAATGTAGCCTAGCTAATACTTTTCTTTTAAACCTCATTAGAAAGTCACTAACTAGTGCTATCTGTGCGGAAGGAAACAAGTTTTTTTTTTTTTTTTTTTTTTTTGTTACGGAGGAAAGAAACTCCACTGGGATTCAATTTTGGGTGCATATCATATATGGAGTCAAGCTAAAGTACATAGAAAAATGGTCTCCTTTAGAAAAGATTTCACAATATTTGAATAGGTTTTAATTTATTTATTTATATGGATTTTATACATCTTGGTTGTTCGTCTTACATAATTGACAAGGTTGTCTGTTGTGTGATTAGAACGTGAATACGTGGTTATGTTGGACCAACTTGTGATTCATAGCTACATAATTTTATTTTATTTTTATCGAAAAGACGCAATTTTATAAACTTGATAACTAATGAACTTTTTTATTTTGTGGTTGGGAGCCTAACAATTGGAAAACTTCATAAAATAGTACGTGTCAACTACCCAAAGGGTTGCCAACTGCCACGTCGGGGTATTTTTTTTACCAAACAATAAGGAAGAAAAGAAAAAAAAAAGAATAAAGTCAAATTGATTAAAAATATTTTTTTTTTTTTAAAGTTAGAAGCTCTTTCTAATTATTATTAAAAATATATATATTGTGAAAGTGGAAGTTCCTTAATAAATTAATTAAACCTTAAACTTACTTGGTTTGAGGCTTGCCTCCAAATCATCAAACAGTTTGCAAAACGGTGAACAAAATCCTCTGCCTCAATTGTTTAGGTTATCAAATTTTATACTGAAGTATTAATTTATGAATTTTGTGGTTAGGGCCGAAAAATTGGAAGTTTATAAGAAAAAATACGTGTCAACTATTCAAAGGGATTATCTCATTCAGATACGTATGACAAACTGCCATGTGGCGCTTTCGTTGTACGGAATGGAAAAAGAAAGAAAATAAAAATAAAAAAGGGCAAAAGATCTTGTAGGTTAATTATGAGACACTAAAAAGAAGAAAAAATATTGTAGATTAATGTAGAAGATTAAATTAGTAATGGGAGTCAATGGCAACTGAGAAAGTGAAAGTTATCCTTACTAAACAAACCTTTAATGTAATAATAATTTTTTAATTTGGGAATTGCCACCAAATCATAAACACGTTTGCAGAACGATCAACATAATCCCTTGCCTCAGTTTTCTAGGTTATCAGAATTTATAAGCAATAGGATTAAAAATTCTTGTTGCTAATCACGTTTGCAGAAATAAGATTTGATCTTGTTGCTAATCACCAAACACATTCCCAGATCTTAAGATCATTAGTTTAGTATTAAAATCGATAAAAAGTTCAGATATTATCATGTGGCTGCATAAACAGTAATTAAAATTGTAGCCCTTGCCCCCCCTCCCCTAATCGCTTATATTATAATCAAGTACAGCCTTACGTACGCTATGTCTATATTTTGGAGCGTGACATTGAAAAACCCTCATGTGAAAATTTCTAATCTTATTATAGCAAGCACCATTAAGATAAAATATTAATAAGTAAATACATTTAGTATAATATGAGTGAATAATTGATATGATTTAGATTCATTTAGATGAAGGATTTTAAATCTAGGGACTTTGACGACATTATAAGGTTAAATTGTTTATTTCAATTCATGTACTCGAAAATTTGGATAAGAATGAAAAATGAATTTCAAATGACTATACATTTTGAATGGATTTGAAATACATACAATCTAATATTTTCTGAACATGTTTAGTTTTGATGTCAAATCCAAATCTTCTCTTTCAATTTCTCTTGATGCAGTGGACGACCTGAAACTCCGAAAAGTAGCCATCGCTACAAATTGATTGCTTGAAAAGTAATGTTAGCTCAGATTGGATGCATATGTCAATGCCCCACATATTTTGCTACCGGAAGTTAGTTTTCCATATATAAGGCAAACAAAATGAAAAGTATAAATTAAGTAGCCCCTTCCCACTAATTTTTGGTTTCAAATGTGACTGCAGTACAATTATTTTTCATTTGTTGAGCCAAGAATAGCATCTATATTGTCTTCCTCGAATATTTTGTTGTTCAATTTTCTTTTTTCAAAGGAGAAACTATAAAGGAACAAAAACTTCCATGAATCGATGGTATCACGATTTTACTATTCCTAACCAATAACGCTATGACACGACTGATAATACTTCAATGTGACATAATATTATTGCTATCCCAAGAGGACCTGTCAGAAGGAAGCTTCCCCTTTTACATGGGAAGGTATCTTTCAATTACTTAGGTCACTACAAAGAAAAAAAAAATATAGGGACATGTTGAAAACTTGCATTTCACATCACAGCTGAAGTAGAGGTGAAAAATCAAGTCATCTGGCAATACATGTAGGGCCTGTATATTGATCAATCTTATGGACAGGGTTTATGAAAATTAATACTCACAAGATGTCACTGCCAGACCAGTATATTCAAAATGTCAGTATATTCAAGGATAAGTCGCACCAGACAAGAAAATATAGGCCGCACACAAGGATGTTGTGGTGGAATTTAGGCCACTATTTCAAAGTTTCCTTCAAATGAAGGATGAGTTTGAGGGGTGCCTGTTAAATTGAGGGATATTTCTCAAATAAGTTTATTTAACGAATTTTTTTGTTTGCATTGTTTAATGATTTAAACGTTTATTTTTCAAGTTTTAATTTATAGATTATAGGTGTAAAATATCATCAGAATCAAACAACATTTAACCATTTGATTAAATGATCGTCATTTTAGTGTTTCTTTGAAAGCAGTATGTTCCTCTATTTATTTTATCACAATTTGTTGTTTTAATGTTTTCAAAGATGATATTTTAATGAAGATTTGGAAAATCAACAATTCAGATCGTTGGAAGACAAATATGTTCTTATCAGGCTATTTCGGTGAATATGAATCATTAATTAAGTCAAATCTTAATTGAAAATGTGGTTCAGATTTACTTTAGCAAGATAACATTACTTTCGATAACGTTACTTTCCACATACTACAAATTTTTCTTCAAGATAAACTTCAAAACGGGAAGGAAAATGGACCGTTGGAATTATTGGATTCCATGAAGAATAGTCCTACATGCAATACCTTTTTGATATCAGTGTTTAGAATTTTCAGAACACAGTAGAACACAAGACACCCTGCAAATGATAGACGTATGCTGCTGCGCTGTACAATTGGCTCTCTCCTTGCAATGTAAGTGGACCATTGTCGATCTAGTGTCCATTCTGGAATAGTAACTGGATGTTAGAGGAGACAAGGCGTCTCCTAACCTTACCAACTCAATTATTAGTTTCATTAGTGCTCTACACATGGCTGATTTGGACTCTGCAGAGTCCCACGATTGTCACTAAGCCAGACATAGACTAACAAGAAAATAATTGAACAAGTATTTTTTTGGCAAAAAGAAGAACTTCCATGCAACGTCATGTCTGATATCTTAAGTCAATTAAGCATTATCATGTGAAAAAATTAAAATATATGATAATTCATGATTGACTTAGAATATCGTTACAGTAGTAATTCCATATGTAGGTAAAGTTTTTCTCCTGCTTCTATCATACTTAATTATGACAAAAAAGAAGAAAAAAAAACACATAATGTCAAATTAAAAAAAGGGTTTTGTACTTCTATGATCATGGTTGTTTGAATTGTTAGTCTAAATTCTATTTAAAAGGGGTCATATAGCAATCAAATCATTCCAAAACGTGGGAGGAGATTCTTGGCAAAGTCATTGACACTTGTCTCAAGTGCGTGTGAAGTTGTGGAATGAAAGTAATACACGTTTAAATTAAAGTTAAATAGATGATTGTTGTCTCTTATTAAGCTACAGATGTTTTTTCATCCAAGCTTTATATATACTTTATATACCCTTTCTTTTTTATATTTGTCTTGTAAACTACACGTACGATTAAATTAGCCATGGAAGTCAAGTCAGAGTAATTTGCAGAATTCAGGAAGATCTTCCATAACTATTTTATATACAAATAGTTGTGAAAGTGAGTTCCTTACAAAACCAAACCTTAATTTAAACTTATTTATTAATTTGGGGCTGCCTCCAAATCATCAAACACGTTTGTAAAACGATGAACAGATCAACTTGTTGCCTCGGTTTTTTACGGAATGCAATATTATAAATCTGCACTAGTAGGGTTACATAAGAAACATAATTAAAAACCAAGGTGTAGAACCAGCTGGGCAAGAATTCATGATGACTGTTTCTACAAACAATACAATACTAGAAAAGTGCATTGATCTTATTCCGACCTCGATGATATATTTTTTTATGTCAGAAACGAGTTTCATTAATATAGAAAGTCAAATCAATTACACGCGCACAAAATAAACTCAAAAAATAAACTCGAACAAATGCAACACAAAAAGAGATGAAGTCTGCTACAGTTACAAAACTCATGTACGGGCAAAAAATCCCACTAAACCTCGATGATCATGTCAGCTTAGCTACTCCAAGGAAATTCAATTGCTTAGAGATAACTACACACAGAAAATAGGTCTTGCTTTCTTGGTCAAGTAGGTAGGCACGCATGTTGCATTTCACATCACACCTAAACTAAGTCTAAACTAAAGGTCAGAAATCAAAGTCTTCTATCTTCTCGCAACATATCTGAAGAAAATAAATAGTGTAGGGCTTGTTGATTAATCTTAATATTAATGGACAGGTTTATGACAATTAATTCCTGGGCTCCAAAGTCTAACAAGCTGTCACTGCCAAAACTAGTAGTATTGTCTTTGTCGACCTATACAATTGGTTGATACATACAAGTAATTGGTGTACGTAGATCATGAGTCGTCCTACCTGAGAAGAAAATATAGGCCACAAAAATGTACTTTTGAATTTTAACCCATTTCGAAGTTTCGTAAGCTTGGCTAATATTGACGTAAATAAAGATTATTCGGAATCTGAGTATCAACCGAAAATTTTCCTTGCGAGTTTATTTTAAGAGTTGATTTCTTGAAATTCTTCTATTTTATTGTTCATATTAACAACATGTTGTAATGGTTTCTTATTGTTCATATCACCTCTTGCTAAATTCAGAAAAGGATTTTGAACTTTCATGATCGTGGGAACCTTTTTTGGGATACATGGCATGCGCGCCACCATTTGTTTGGGATTGTGCTTAAGTGGTGTTACAAAGCATGGCATGATGACTTAAGGCAAACCAGTCCAAAAATGTCGAAGCCAAATTAATATTGTCGTCGGAAAAAGGCAATCGAAGATGGAAACGACATGTTTAGGGAAAAATTGAGGAGGATACAGCTTCAAGAGTCAATGTTAGTATGTGTCCATGGACTTTAAGTTGGACAGATCGTAAACCAAAAAGAAGTAGAAACAAATGATGAAGTATATAGAAGGGATCTTATGAGAAGCGTTGATGGCTTTGATAATTCCAGCTAATAATCCGCTTTTTGATGGTTTCCATGCAATGGCCTTAGTAATCCGAGCAACTTGGCATAGTTTCAAGATGTCAATGTGTCGACAACAGCATGTTAATAGTAAAACGTATTGACATGTTATAGATATATCATGGGTTTTACGCACTTATTTTATATGTATATGGCGGCTCTTGGAACGTATCTTTTAAGGTTTCACTTTGAAAATTTTGGTACACATGACATTAGTTTTCTCTAATTGTCTGCGGTTTGGATTTTGAAGGGGCTGTATATTAGTTTGCTAGGAATGTATCTTGATTTGCCTTACTCATGAATAGTTTATCCATCGGATGGAAGGTGAACCGTATTTGTTGAAGAAACAGATACCAGGATGATACTTGTAGGTATGCAGCAGAAGCTAGAAAGATGGTTGAGGATATTTTTTTCTGGGTAAGGGCAACGAGCAAAATAATCTCTTTCTGGAAGGCCAAAATATTTGCTGGATCATCAAATCTTCATGCCCATACCTAAAATTTGTGATGTTTCAAACATTGTAGATCCCCAAGCTGAAATTTCATAATGCCAGTAAACAAAGAATTAATCTAGATGTGAGCTTAGCTGCTCAAATCTAGCAAGCTCAACAATGAAATGCAAAAGAAAGAAAAACAGAGCAAAAAAACAGGGGATGCAGAGGGTGGTTTGGCACCACTAGACTTCCCTTAATATTCAATATGAGAGGAGAGACATGTATTCTCTCTCTAATTCTATTACACAAATTGCTCTATTTTGTAAGAGCAGTAGAAGATATTTGAACTCATTGCAGTAATTAACAGTATCATAGTACAAAGGATATGTTAACTTCTATGTTAACTTCTAATGCTTTTAAGGAGTATTTCTAATGGCGGCATAGGAGATAAATTTCTAGCAACAGAGAGGCTGTGGAACCAGGAGAACATATGAAGAGAAGTCTTGAAATAAATATAGAATGGGAGGAAGAGGCAAGAAAGTAGAGGCGGCCTGTAGCACACCATCTTGAACATAACTCACCATAGCTTTGATTGAGAATGTTTGAGAATCCAAAAGCTATTCTTCTCCCCATGTCAACAAACAATGTGAACCCCGTCATCGTCATCATCATCATCATATCTAGTTACGCTCAACAACAAACGGAAGATACAGTACAAGATGAACCGTGTAATGCGATTCTTGGAAGAAATTGGGACTATTAGTGGAACAAGCAGAGCTGATATGATGACGAGAAAGATTGAACCCGTAATGGCAACGAAGATCGAAAGCCAAATAAGGTTACTTGTTACTAGTGCAACACCAGCCATGAACGCCATGAACATCATTGAGAGAGCTACCCCTAATATTGGCAATCCAAATCTTGCAGAAGCATAACTCATATCACCTGTTTGTGCCCAAAGAAGGGAAATTGCACCAGTGATTGAGCTATACATTGCTATTGTGTTGCATATCAGAAATGTTTTGAATGCCCAATCTGTAACCAAAGTTGCCCTGCCTTCATCACGTCCAGAGTTCTTATATCCACCCGGCACTGTGAAGCCAGCAGCAAAGGTTACCGTGGCAACGAGTGTCGACACCAACAAGAGATTGTTGACAGTCTGTCTGTGGCTGTCAGCATCCTCAGTGGCCCCAGAACGAAATTCTCCATCTTTCTTAGTGTTCTTAAAATAATTAACTCTCGCTGGCTTTACTTTGGCAATAATCCTCTCTTGAGATCGTGAAGCATTAGCTAATGTCAAGGCCATAACTGTTAGAGGCTGCAAGGAGAGAAAAATTGCGGTTCATGACTGGCTCCTTAGTAAGGAGAGTTGAAATGTGAAGGCAATAAAATGTGTTGAGAAAATTAAGTACCCTTCGAAGAAACAAGATCTTTTCACCCATCAACGACATTCGTGCAATCTCCATTGCCGTATGGCGTTCATGGTTCCTAATGCTTAAGTTAACCCTCTTATCCGATGCCAAAATGCTGACAGTCTTTGGATACCCTTGCCGAACTGCTAAATGCAGAGGTGTGTTTCCAAAGCGATCTTTCTGATTGATAAGCCCTTCAAGCTCTCGCCTTTTGAGCAAAAATTTTACCATGTTGTCTCTTCGATGCCAAACTGCCACATGTAGAATGTTCCATCTGTTACCGTCGAGCAAGTACCTTGATGGCGGGCAACGATTAAGATGCATTTCGACAATCCTGATGTGGCCTTTTCTGGAGGCCAAATGTGCCGGTGTGAAGCCGTTTTTGTCCTGCTTGTATGGGCCATCAGGACACAAGCTTAACAACTTGTCTGCAGCTTCAGTGTCACCTATATGTGCTGCAAGTGTATGAGCAGTCATCCCCTCTTCATCCGATGAGTCGATCAAAGACGGATCAGTGTCCAAAAGTATTGCATCAAAGACACCTATAAGAATTTACAAAAAATATAATGGCAACCAAAAAGATTGTATTTGATTAAAATGTCAACCAAAAATGATGCTTAAAATTTAGTGGCAGAAAGAAATTATGTACCCTTATTCCTTCCTAAGATGGCAGCTCGAAGAACCGAGTTCCCTTCCCACCGGTTCTTAAAAAGATAGTAGCTGGAACCATCTGGTTCAGTGCCTATCGGCTGATCTTGATAGCGGTAGAGCATTAAATTAACAAGCTCATGATTTCCAGCTTCAGCAGCCATGGAAATGGGAGTCTTGTTGTGCATATTTGGAGAATACCACATCGATCCATCTATTTCAATCAACAACTTAACCACCTCTAGGTGCCCATTTTCCATGGCCACGTGCAGCGCCGTGTTCCCTCTGTTATTCTTTTCCCTCAGCATATCAGTTTGGGGAAATTTTACAAGAGAAAGGACTGTGGACCGGTCCCCTACGGATGCTGCTAAGTGCAGCGGGAGGTTTCCGTCGTTGTTCTTCGTTAGGATGAGCTCCGGTGACAGGTAGCGCAGCCGTTCAACACGGGCAGCGTCGCCTACACTCGCGGCGAAGTGAACCAGGGTGTTGCCAAGGGGGCTTACTTGGAGCAATTCCATCTGCAGTTCTTCTTTAGAGGTTGTGTAGCTGTATATTTCAGGGTCCATGTGTTAGTACGAAATTTGTATTGGCATTTCCTAGACTTTAGTATAGGGTGAAAATTAGTTTGTGAGGAATGGTTGATGAACGCTTTGTCACTACTCCTTCAACCCCACACTTCCGAGGCATGCCCTGACCATATGAGAATCTTGATCTCAGGTAAATCATGACATAATCATGCATTCATTATAGGATTCCTAATTGGAGTTATTTTCACTGAAAGTATTTTTATCTTGATCTTATTTTTAATAGGATTAGATTTTATCTCTTGAGATTACTTTCCTAGTTAAACTCTATTTTGGTTTAAGTTAATTTATTAAGTTTTCATCATCTTGGACTTGGAAAGCATGTTTGAATGAATATCCTATTTTGCTTCGTTGTTTACATATTGATATACACTGATTTGTTGGATATCAATTGATGATTGGAAAATCAACCTCCATAGTACAAAAGATGACGAAATAGAATAGGACTTTATTTCAATCAAATCTGATTTGGCACGTTTGTGATTCCTTAGCTTTTTGATTCATCTCTTGGAAGATAACAACATAATTGTATAAAGCCAAGGCGTGCATCTACTTCTTTGTACAGCTTTTGAGATATTTGTTTTTGAGCATATAGAATTCTAAGAAAAGCTGCTGTGCGCATATTTGAGATAAATCATCAAGTGTTCAAATGTTTACTTGGTGATTTATCAAACACTTTAATCATTCATATTGCATTCATATGCATGTCGGTGACTCATACGGTTGAGGGCACCAAGACCGTGGTGGCGGTTTTTCTCCGGTGAGCTTGAAGCAATCGTGGCCAGTATTGCGTTCAACATAAGGAGTGTCGAAGATCATCCTGTGACAGAAGTTGAGTTACAAAGAAGTCGGTAAACATTATCTAGAGTGTGTCTAGGATAAGTGTGTGAGTACTTCTTGTAATCATCGTTCTATAGTGGATTTGTGTTGGACTGAGAAGTCCCGTGGATTTTCCCCAGAGGTGGGGTTTTACCACGTAAAATAATTCTCTGTGTGTTCTTTTAATTTAAGCTCTGCACATTACAGGATTGATAGGCCATATCAATCCTGTGTCAAAAGTTTATTATTATTTATTGCAAAAATTCGAATTAGCTTGTTTAACTTTCTCTAGGCATATATATAGACATCCTACAGGTATTTTCAATTGGCATCAGAGCAGGTTGCTGGACATACTCAGCAAGATCTAACATACCTTACGATGGATCGTGCCGCGGGTTCTGTTGCACATCCACCATATTTCGATGGCAACAACTATGGTGCTTGGAAGGCCAAAATGAAGTCGTTTCTTTGGTCCCTAGATGAACGTGTATGGTACACAGTGGTTCATGGATTTCCTGAACCCACAAAGAAGATCGGAAAAGGAGATGAAGAAACCACAGTTCTCAAATCTAGAGAGGAGTGGACCACTGCAGAAGTCACACACAGTACTAATAATCAAAAAGGGTTAAATGCTATATTTACTGCTGTATCTTCTGATCAATTTGAATATATATCTAGTTGTGATACTTCTAAGGAAGCTTGGGATATTTTGCAGGTCACTCATGAAGGAACAGATACTGTCAAGGGTGCCAAGCTTCAAATGCACACTCTACAATTCGAGACAATTCTGATGGATGAGAATGAAACCTTTTCTGAATTTTATGCCAAACTTTGCGTTATTGTGAATGCATGTTCAAATTTAGGTGAAAAAATTCCAGAAGATAGGGTGGTGAAAAAGATTTTACGGTCCTTGCCTCCACGTTTTTCACCAAAGATCACAGCCATTGAAGAGATTCGTGACCTGAACACTCTGAAAGTTCGTGAACTTATAGGGTCGCTTCAAACCTACGAGATGAAGCATCTAGCTCCTAAGAAAAATAAAAGCGTTGCTCTTAAAGTAGTTGATAATGAAGATGGTGAACACCAATCTGAAGAATTCAATGGGGAGGAATTTGCTTATCTTTCACGACAATTCAAGAAGTTTTTCAAATATCAAAATTCGAGAAGTCATGATTCAAAAAATCACTCAGGTATAAATCCAAAAATTAAGCATGGTGATTACACTGATGGTAATTTAAAATCTCGCAGGTTTACTGAGAAGAAGACCACTAAAGACAGAGTCAAGTGCTATGAATGCGAAGGATATGGACATATTTCCACTGAATGTGCCAACACACAAAAGAAGCAAAATGGCAAAGCCAAAGCACTGAATGTAACCTGGAGTGACAGCGATTCAGAATCTGAAAGTGAAGAAAATACCATTGCGTTAATCACCACTGTTAGTTTGGATAAGGCACAGCAAAACAATGGGAATGATGAAGAACCAAATATTGGTTATGTGCTGGAAAAATATGACGATCTTCTAGCTGCCTCTCAGAAACTGAATCAACACAACAAAGAGCTTGCCAAAAAGGTTGCTGTGCTGGAGCTTGAAAACAGTAGGATTGCCAGGACATTACAATCCTCTACTGCTGAACCAGAAACAATTGGTGAAGGTATGTGTGAAGGTATGTACGAAAAATTGGAATTCTTACAGAAAAAATGCTTTGATCAAAATAAATTAATTGATTCTTTGACCTCTAACAACCAAGCTCTTGAAATTGAGCTTAAAAGTTCAAGGGAAAGGATTATTGCTTTGACAATTGGTGCAGAAAAGGTTGACAAAATGATTAGCATGGGTCGAAGAGATGGAGACAAACGTGGCTTAGGTTTTGATTCACTCAACAAGTCTTCCGCCGTATCTGTTACAAAGTTTGTCAAACCATCACTTTCTACTGGTATTCCAACTCATCAAACAACTTGGAGATTTACACCCACGTGTCATTATTGTGGAGCTCGTGGACACATTCGACCAAAATGCAAACTGTTTCAACAGATTTTTGTAAGTCAAAAGTCCACCAAGGAGGGACAGGTAAGAATTCGAAACAAGATTGCATATCTTGTAAAAGAGGTAAGTAGGCTGTCAAAACTCTCTCATTCCCTATCCTTACCAAGTTCAAATCTAGTGTGGAGAAGAAAGGATAATCAAAATTGCTTGCTGGCAATTTCAAGTGATTCACATCAAACTAATCCTCCTGAAATATTAGATGTGAAATGTTTTGTTGCTCTTACTGCTCTTTCTGACTCTAAATCTAAATCTTGGTATTTTGATAGTGGATGTTCGAGACACATGACTGGTGAAAAATCATATTTTTCAGAAATCTCTCCAGAATGCGTGAGTGGAATGGTTACTTTTGGAGATGGAAGAAAATCCAAGATTTTGGGGAAAGGAAAGATTATGGCAACTGGTACACCTAGCTTGGACAATGTTTTATTAGTTGAAAATCTTCAAGCAAACCTCATCAGTGTAAGTCAACTTTGTGATGAAATAGGTGAGGTAAGTTTTACTAAAACCCAATGTATTGTTAAGAATAAAGATGGATTAAATGTGATGATTGGAAACAGATCACCTGACAATTGTTATTGTTTTTCCACTAATGAAGTTTCTCAAGTGTGTTTTAGGACAAGTAAAGATCATCTTGATTTATGGCATCAACGTTTGGGACACATGAACTATCAAGACCTAATTAAATTGTCAAATGGTGAATCTGTAAGAGGATTGCCCAATCTTTCAGGTAAACGTGAGGGTGTTTGTGAAGGTTGCCAACTGGGAAAGCAAACCAAAAACCCTCACAAAGCTACAAACTCAATCTCCACCTCTAAAACTTTGGAACTGATGCATATGGATTTGGTTGGTCCAATTCAAGTTGCTAGCTTAGGAGGAAAGAAATACATTCTTGTCTTAGTAGATGATTTCTCACGTTTTACTTGGGTCATTTTTTTGCATGATAAGACAGAAGCCTTTAATTCCTTCTATGTTTTGTACAAGCTAATCATGAATGAAAAATATGACACTAATTCTTGTATCATGAGACTTAGGACAGACCACGGGATGGAATTTGAAAATCGTGCCTTCTCTGATTTCTGTTCTGAACAAGGAATAAAACATGAATTCTCTGCTCCAATCACTCCCCAACAAAATGGGGTAGTTGAAAGGAAAAATAGAGTCCTCCTTGACATGGCTCGTGTCTTGTTAAAAAGTGCCAAATTGGCGGATCATTTTTGGGCTGAAGCCATCAGTACTGCATGCTATACATCTAACCGTGTGTTTTTCAGGCCACATACCAAGAGCACTCCATATGAAATCTGGAAAGGGAAAAAGCCAAATGTCAAGCACTTAAGGATTTTTGGTAGTAAATGCTACATTTACAAAGACAGGGAGTATCTTGGAAAATTTGATGCAAGAAGTGATGTTGGAATATTTCTTGGTTATTCTACGAATAGTCGAGCATATAGGGTGTTTAATAGTCGCACTAAAATAATCATGGAATCAGCTAATGTGGTTGTAAATGACACGTCTATATTGCAGGTTGAACCTAGAAGTGAAGATACAGATGTGGAAACTCACGAATCTGCAGATGGTACTGAAGCTGACTTCGAGGATTGTAACCAGCCTATCAATCCTGTGATACGCAGACCTGGTGCAAAACAAGTTCAGAAAGATCACTCACCTTCAGATGTTATTGGGAATGTTTATGATAAATTGAGAACTCGACAACAAGTCTGTAATGAGGTAACCAATTTATGTTATGTATCTCTTATTGAACCTAAGACTGTGACAGATGCTCTTGCAGATGACGACTGGATTCTGGCTATGCAAGATGAATTAAACCAATTCGAAAGAAATGATGTGTGGTATCTTGTTCCACGTCCCAAAGACTCAAATGTAATTGGTACCAAGTGGATCTTTCGAAATAAGACAGATGAGAAAGGACAAATTATGCGCAACAAAGCTAGACTTGTTGCCCAAGGTTATTCTCAAATTGAAGGTTTGGATTTTGATGAGACTTTTGCTCCGGTTGCACGTTTAGAATCTGTTCGATTGTTGCTATCCATTGCATGTTATCTTCAGTTCAAGCTTTATCAGATGGATGTGAAGAGTGCGTTCCTAAACGGAGTTTTACAAGAGGAAGTCTATGTGGAACAACCTGCAGGTTTTCAAGATCCTATCCATCCCAATCATGTATATCGTTTGAAAAAGGCTCTCTATGGACTCAAACAAGCCCCGAGAGCATGGTATGATAGATTGTCCACACATCTTCTTCAAAAAGGATACACTCGTGGTAGCATTGATAAGACCCTCTTTGTCAAAAGAACCAAACAAGATTTAATGGTTGCTCAAGTATATGTGGATGATATTGTTTTTGGATCTACTTCAGACATCCTTGTCAAAGAATTTCATGAGGTAATGCAAACCGAATTTGAGATGAGCATGTTTGGTGAACTAAATTTTTTCTTGGTTTGCAGGTTCAACAATTCAATGGAGGCATGTTCATATCTCAAACAAAGTATGCCAAAAATTTGGTGTCCAAATTTGGTCTAGAATCTGCCAAGCCCATTCGAAATCCTATGAGCACAAGCACCAAACTTTCCAAGGATTTACATGGCAAAAGTGTAGACCAGAAATTATATAGAAGCATGATTGGCAGCTTGTTATATTTGACTGCCAGTAGACCTGACATCTCCTTCAGTGTTGGACTTTGTGCTCGCTTCCAATCCGATCCCAAAGAATCACATCTACTTGCTGTGAAAAGAATTCTCCGCTATGTGAGTGGTACCACAAACTTTGGTGTATACTACTCATTTGACTCAAATGTTGAACTTGCAGGCTATTCCGATGCGGATTGGGCTGGGAGCATTGATGATAGAAAAAGCACAACTGGCGGATGTTTTTACATAGGCAACAACCTTGTCTCTTGGTTTAGCAAGAAGCAAAATTGTGTCTCTCTCTCCACGGCCGAGGCCGAGTACATCGCTGCTGGGAGTTGCTGCACACAGTTGTTATGGATGAAACAAATGCTCAATGACTACGGCATTCGGCAAGGTAAAATGGTCACGTTTTGTGATAACATGAGTGCAATTAATATCTCTAAAAATCCGGTTCAACACTCTCGCACAAAACACATTGATATTCGTCACCATTTTATTCGTGAATTAGTGGAAGAGAATGTGCTCTCCCTTGAATTTGTTTCTACTGCAAAACAATTAGCTGATATTTTCACAAAACCTCTAGACAATCTACGGTTTGAAACCCTTAGACAGTCATTAGGTATTTGTGCTCTTGATTGATTCGGAGTCCACTGCATGCCAATGCCTATTCTTGCTGTATGCTGTTTAAATTATTTTCTATTTTTATAAAACTGTCCAGCTCGTGCAAGGATTGTTAGGCTGCATCAATCCTGTAGTTGTCTGAACGTATTAGCTGATCTTAGATTGGACTTTGGTACAGCACTCTATTGAAGCCACACACTCACAGCTTTCCACAAAGGTTTCCATTGTCTTGGTGCATTATAAACTTCATTAAATGTTCTATCCATCTATTTAGCTTTATATTGCACGCCACACTCTTTTTCTTGAAGTCCTTGAATATCTCTTCTCATGCACTTGTCTCTCTTTGGATTGCCATCACACTACTGTGCGTAAGTTCTTGATATGGTTATAAAAAGGTGTTGACCACTCATTGCTCAGTAAACCGGGCCTCTTGTCTAACCAACGTCGAAGGTTCGAGGTCAAACAGGTTGTGATGGTCTGCTATCCTTGCTTATCTTTGGAGCCTTCATGATTCGGATTAGTATTTCCCCAGGGGTGCTTTATCACCCAGTTGCTTCCAGTCATCTGACGTGAGCATACTGATTGACCATCCGTTACATGGATCATGTCGAAAGCTATGTGCTACTCGGTATACAGATGTAATCTGTCATCGTCCTCTGTTAATCGAAGAGGATTTCGACCTCTCTAGTTTTGGCCCCACTTTTGTTGATTTTCTCACTCGGCATCGTCTCTTGCCATTAGTTCGTGGGTTGCCTCTACCGAATTTTCAGATCGTTCGGGAGTTTTATGCAAATTTTCCTGATGTGTCTGCTGCCTCTGTTGCACTGTCTGGTTTGGTTGTGCGTGTGCGTGGGGTTGCGATTCCACTCAGTTTCCACTTTATTTCGGCTGCTCTGGGTCTGCCTCCTATTCGCTCTGGAAGTTCGTGTGAGCCAGTTCCTGATTTTCTTCCGCGTCGTCAGCTGGTGAATCGCCTCTATGTGTCTCCACCGGAGGTGCTCCCCACTGAACTCTCCTCTGGTATGATGTCTCAGTGGACCCGTACTCTGTATATGCTTGTGCGAAACTATCTGAATCCAACTTCTCAACATGGGAAAGTGAGTTGGAAAGCTGCTCATATTCTCTTCCAGTTAGTGATTGAGCAATCTGTCAGTGTTGAGTTCTATGTTCGTGAAAGCCTTATTGTCGCTGGTGCTGCCAATGCCACAGTTCCGACGTCCAGTCTTGTTCTTCCTCGGATTATCACTGCCTTGGCCGCTCATGCTCGTGTGCCTGCCCTACCTACAGATGATATTGGCTCATCCGACTCCCTCAAAGTCAACAACCAAGTCACTTTACACCGCAGCGATGCTCACTGTACTTCTGGTGGTTTCTCCATCGAGCAACAGGCACTTTTGGATTCACTCTCTGCCTCCCATCAGGTGACGCATGCACTTCTTCGTCGCATCTGGAATCGTCTTGACACCTATAGTGAGCTGTTGCTATCTGTTGCTGGGCACATTCAACCTACTGCTCCTCCCCGTTCTCCTCGGGCTCGCAGCATCTAAGGTTCTTCTGTTCTGCTTCTGGTTGTTTTTTCTTTTTGCTGTCCTCTCTGTGTCCCTTTGGATTTCCTAAACAAAAAGGGGGAGAATATTTTGTGGTATATATGAAATTTAGGGGGAGTAAATATTTTGTGGTACATATGAGGTTTAGGGGGAGTTAAATGTTTTCTGTCTTTGGGATCAGAACTTGTGGTACTTTGCTTAACCTCCTGACATATGAAATATTTAACTGTGCTAAGTTCTGGCTATTATTATCTCAATTCTATTATGCTTCACTGGTCGTCTGGTTGTTGTTGTGCAGACATTGCAAGCACTGAATATCTGTCTGACAAAGCAAAGTAGGTTATGTAGGTTTTTTTCTTCTTGTAAACGTATTTGAAATGTAATCCAATGTTTTGTCCAGGAAATGCCAAAGGGGGAGATTGTTAGTACGAAATTTGTATTGGCATTTCCTAGACTTTAGTATAGGGTGAAAATTAGTTTGTGAGGAATGGTTGATGAACGCTTTGTCACTACTCCTTCAACCCCACACTTCCGAGGCATGCCCTGACCATATGAGAATCTTGATCTCAGGTAAATCATGACATAATCATGCATTCATTATAGGATTCCTAATTGGAGTTATTTTCACTGAAAGTATTTTTATCTTGATCTTATTTTTAATAGGATTAGATTTTATCTCTTGAGATTACTTTCCTAGTTAAACTCTATTTTGGTTTAAGTTAATTTATTAAGTTTTCATCATCTTGGACTTGGAAAGCATGTTTGAATGAATATCCTATTTTGCTTCGTTGTTTACATATTGATATACACTGATTTGTTGGATATCAATTGATGATTGGAAAATCAACCTCCATAGTACAAAAGATGACGAAATAGAATAGGACTTTATTTCAATCAAATCTGATTTGGCACGTTTGTGATTCCTTAGCTTTTTGATTCATCTCTTGGAAGATAACAACATAATTGTATAAAGCCAAGGCGTGCATCTACTTCTTTGTACAGCTTTTGAGATATTTGTTTTTGAGCATATAGAATTCTAAGAAAAGCTGCTGTGCGCATATTTGAGATAAATCATCAAGTGTTCAAATGTTTACTTGGTGATTTATCAAACACTTTAATCATTCATATTGCATTCATATGCATGTCGGTGACTCATACGGTTGAGGGCACCAAGACCGTGGTGGCGGTTTTTCTCCGGTGAGCTTGAAGCAATCGTGGCCAGTATTGCGTTCAACATAAGGAGTGTCGAAGATCATCCTGTGACAGAAGTTGAGTTACAAAGAAGTCGGTAAACATTATCTAGAGTGTGTCTAGGATAAGTGTGTGAGTACTTCTTGTAATCATCGTTCTATAGTGGATTTGTGTTGGACTGAGAAGTCCCGTGGATTTTCCCCAGAGGTGGGGTTTTACCACGTAAAATAATTCTCTGTGTGTTCTTTTAATTTAAGCTCTGCACATTACAGGATTGATAGGCCATATCAATCCTGTGTCAAAAGTTTATTATTATTTATTGCAAAAATTCGAATTAGCTTGTTTAACTTTCTCTAGGCATATATATAGACATCCTACAGGTATTTTCACCATGCATTTGTCAATACTAATTTCATCCTCGTTCGTGGAGTTCCAGTTCTCAGAGTGCTTAGCAGACTCGATATCCCCTGCGTGGTGCTCACGAGCAATCTCCTCCATAGCCACCGCCATTTCAATATCTTCTGTTGAACTTGAAGCAGCCATTGTTTACCAATTAATTGTGTGAATCTAAAACTAAAACCCAAGAGAAGAAAATTACAAGCTAAGGAGGAAGATGGGAGAACAAAGTGGAAACAAGGGCCTGCAACCTACTACTACTGATGAAGAAGAAGACTCTGTTTTTTCTATGAACAATATAATAAGAATTGGGGAGTTCAACCATGAAAAAGTCAGGGATTCTCATCCAATAATTGTGTCCAATTCTGCTTTACCCAAAACGTTTGTGCCCACTTTGTTTCCGCCTAGTGGTGTTTTGCACGTGCCAGATTCTCTCTCTCTGGTTGATCAGATATGAAAAAAAAAAAAGACATGTTCCTGTTCTTTTGTCTTGGCCTTCAACCCATGAACAAGTTTGAAAGAGTCCTGTTATTTCGTTTTTATTTAACTCAACTATGGGTCCTGATAAAAATTGGTTTCGTAGGGACAAATAGAAGAAGATGCAGCTTCAAGAGTCAACAACAATATGTGTTGGACATATTGTAAACTAAAAACAACTAGAAACCAAATTGTGTATACAATTCAATCTCCTAAACTACAATAGGGGAAATTTAAAATGTGTCGTTTCTATAGAAGAAGAGATCTTATGATGAAGGTTGGGTAAGTCTTGCAAACCCTGTTAGAAGAGCTCCTAGAAACTTGGCTTAGTTTTAAGATGTCGGTTTAGGGTTTCTCTCTAAAGAACGTAAAGGACGGGCTATCAATATGTACCGATAACATGTCACTAATAAAACATATCAACACGCTATTGATACATTTTTGTCATTTTCAATACAAAACTTATATACTTTAATAAACAACTACTTGTGAAATGAATGAGTCACGTTTTCTCTGTACCCAAAGAAACATTCTGCGAACTAAATAGACCCTAAGAAAACTCAATTAATTAGAATCCCATAACACCCTTGTAAAGAAAAATTCTTGTACACAACCTTCTTTTCAGAAATAATTATCATGAAGCTTTTCTCGCATTACAATAATTTTTTTTTGGTTTCGATCATTATGTGGTGTTAGACTTTTAGTTGGCCCAATGTAGCCAAGGCCCCAAAACTAGGACTAACGGAGCCCAGAATTGGCCCACATATATTTTCTTCCCCAAAAAGTTTCCTTCTTCTCTTCTTCAGCTTGAACAACCTCCGTCACATTCAGAGTCACCGGCTCACCGATCATACATTTCAGCAATTTCCTGCTTTGCTCGTCAATGGAATTCGTTCCTGAAAAAGGCAAACACGTCAACGGCGACTCTTCCACTCTGCTCCTGGTCAGTTCCTTTTTCTAGGGCAGTGGCTGTTCTTTCTAATTTTTTAATTAATGTTTAGCTAGGAGTTTTCCGGACGTTTGAGCTATGTTTGGTTGCTTAGAAAGTCTAGGAAAATTTGAAAATTTGAATCTTTATGGAATGCAGCCGGCTTTGTCTATTGGAAATGTGGGGCAGCTTGCAGTGGACCTCTTAGTTGCGTCAACGAGAGCTGAGAGAATTGGGTATTTGGATACTCCCTATGTGCTTCCATGCGTTGGCAACGACGCATATGGGCCTGTTCCAAATGGCGAGCTTGCTCTCCCTCTTGAAGGTCCTCACTCTCTTGCTTCTCTTTCTTATTTAGCTTTTTTATAAAAAAAATCTGTTTTTTAAATGAATTCATATTTGTGTTTGCAGCTTATGATTCGTCTGCTAATGCAATGACTTTAATCCAACAAAGGTCTCCTGTTGTTAAGGTACGCTTGAACCTTTTGCTACACATTTGGGATTGTTTTGGTCCTTTCATCTTTCTTGTTGTAGTGCTCTGCTTTTGAATCTTAAAGGTTTAAAAAATGGTAATTCTAAACAGGGAAGGATGATTGAATTTGCTAAAAACTTGGCTGATTATGTTGCTGCTAGTGGGAAGAAGCATGTTGTCGTGCTCTCAAGCTTAGATTTTGGGAGGTGGCAGAGAGTTGATATGTCAAGGTATAATGAGCAAGGTTCTCGTTTTCTGTTAGGTCTTTAGATTTTTTGAAGTTTTTTCGTTTAATGGCTATGAGTAAGTTATTCAGTCAGCTCAGACCAGTGCCCTGGCAAGTAAGCATTTCATGCACCTAGTTTAAAAAAATGCCTTAATACTTCGAATGCATCAACTAGGGAAGTGCGTTTATATAGGAATGTAGCTGATTGGATGAAAAATATTTAGGTCAAACTCTCAACCTAATAAGCGAAGTACTTGATTTTGGTAAATCTAAATATTCCAGAGGAAGGGAATGACAAATATTGAAATATCTCTTAAGATTGTTAAACTACGAACATCTTGTAATTCGTTTTGAACTAAAACTACTTTACTCTCTCTCTGCAACAATTGCACAATCATTGTCCTCTTGGATCTAACTGTTGTATTCCCCTAGAATTCTGGCATTTCCTGATTGGCTGCAGCTTCTTAGTTTGGCGTATTTTTGCATCTTATGTTTGCTTTTACTTCGTACAGTTTGGTAATGATACCATAAAAATATTATACCTTCTTCAGTTAAAGCTTCATTTGAGAATAAACTTTCTAGTGTACTTCAGGAATTGTACCAAGAACTTGGAACCGATGTGGAAACTAAACATCTCCATTCTTCAAACATGCATAACTAGTCATAAAAGATAATTATATGCTTTTGAACTCTATTGTTCGTACAATGATGTGGTTGGGGAGCTGGATGGCCTGTCGTTTTATGTGCTTTTTTGAAATGCTGATTTATCTTTTGGCGACATACCAGTGGTTTGCAGACGCTTTACCTGTCTAGCACCAATTCAGATGGAACAGATGATTACTGCGAACAGCTTGGGTGGAAAAAACTGCAGGAATATAAACCCACTCAGAAGGCTTGGAAGTATCTCAGCACATTAGCTGAAGGCAATGCCATACCAGAGAGCATCTTGCCCTTTGAAGGTGAACTAGAAGAAGAAGAATATTACTACCCGAGCTTGCCTTTTGCCGCACTCTTTTCTTGTCTCAAGGTATTCTTTGCAATGCATACCCAAGACTGCAATAAGTGGACATGGACAGTTGTTCCCAACATGGGGGGGGGGGGGGGGGGGGGGGGGTTGGTTCCTTGGCGAACACCCTATTTATGTTTTGCAATAAATGTGTTCATGCCAACTGGTTGCAATCATTTCCGTTTCAATCTCTCTCGCCCAAATGTGTAAACCATGAATTAAGAGGAAATTTTCTATTTTATTTATCCTATGATTTCTCTTATTGAATCAGGCCAAAGGATTGAAGGTCACATGCTTATTTTGCTACTGCTCAGAAGGGGACAACATACCTGATGCTTTCCATTTGGCTGAGGCAGCATGCAAACTTCTGGACTTGAGTCCCAGTAATTTCCAGGGTTAGTTTCTCTTCAATGAATAGCTATAACTATTTCACTATTTAATGTATTTTGTTTGAGAGGAAGGCTTGTCATTCCCATAAGCTTTATTTTTTGTTTTGCCTGTTCTCTTTGATTAGCATGTGTAATACTTTCTTATTCTTTAAGAAAATGTAGTGATTTTAATTTAATGCGTGTCATTTTAAGTCTTGATTTCATGGTCGGTAATGCTTTAGAAATAGATATTGTGTCTTTTTGTGTGCTGGCACATCTATGTTTCATAGCATGTGCACATCAACATTCAGAGTGCTGACAGGAAGTTGAGATTTTGTCAATATATAGATTTTTTATTCTCAATATTTTATATATCATTCTCTGCACTGGTCAGATTTTATTATTCATTAGCTTGTCCTAGAAGAATGGTTACCCAAGGGCATGATTTCAGCCCAAGTCCTAGTCCATCCTGAATGGGGTGATTTACCCTACTGTAAATCGGATGTAGGATGGTGATGAGCTAAAATTAATTCCTGAGGCAGGGTTTGGCAAGGATGCAATTGCCTTGCGTGACCACAGCTACCTAAATCGTCATCCTTGGCTCAGGGTTTGGCAAGGATGCAATTGCCTTGCCTGACCACAGCTACCTAAAGCGTCTTCCATTATGTCGTCAGTTATTATTCTGAGTTCACATTCTTAATTATTGATTTTATAGCTTAACGTTTTATTAGGAGCATTCAGGTATTATTAAAAGTTGTAAACTTTAGCCAGTATATAAAAAAGATCCTTGATTTTCCCCTTTTTTTTTTTATTTTTGTTCCTAGATGCCTGAAGTTTCTTGATGTTAGTTGGTATACTCATCTTTACTAATGGTTTGTGCAGGCAACAGCAATGATAAATGGGTTATTCCATTGTCTTGGAAGACTCTGTATGGACCACCGGCAGACATGTCTCTCTTTTAGACAGGATTCCTCCCAGCTGAGGTAAGATCTGCAAGGATGGAGTTCCTTCAGAAGTTTTGTCAGTAACAAGAGAAAATGTATCAATAGAACTTATTGGGTCGAGAAGTTTAATATGTACATTCTTCAGACTCATATGAAAATGGAAAAAATGTTCTATCCAGCTATGGTTCCCTCATTATTTTCAGCTCTGCGTTGTGTCATTGACGATTACGTCAACTTCTTGATTTGAATACGCTTAATTCTTTTCTTGGTAGATTATTTATTAAGCAGGCTAAACAGCAGGCGATGACTTTGCTTTTACAAAACAGAGTGATTATCTGTCACGTTTACCGTTATGTTATGATTTTGAAAGGCTACAGTAGTTGCACCTAAAACCAAAAGCTCTTAGCGAGCAATTCATAATGATAAGGCTTTGATTGTTTGGTTGGTTGATGGAGGGAGTGGAGAATTCTCTACAATGATACTCTGCCAGCGACTTTAGCATGTGATGTTCATTTCTTAAATCCACTCTCCGCATATGCAAAATGTAAAATGCGTTGACTGAGACGGGTCACCTGTTGCACATCATGGGGTAAAGTGGTTATATAAAATAAATATATAGGTTGGAGAGTGCTAGCGTCAATAGCTCCACAAGGTGTTGCGTATCATGGGATAAAGTGGTTTTAAAAACTAACCATATAGGTTGGAGGAGTGCTAGCGTCAATCGACCAACGCATTCTGAGTTGCTGATCAATGTGGCCTTTATAGTGAGTCCCATAATCATCCATTGCTCAGTATGTGGTGTGCGATAGACGCTAACACTCTTCATCTTGGTTTGGCATTACCTTTTTAGTATGCTATGCGTTGAAGAAGTAGAGACCAATACTCCATGGAATCAAGCGCGCATATGGTATGGTTAGATCAGTGGCATAATTGAAGAGAGGAAAGGAAAAGTAATGGGAAAGCGAGAAGAAACAGGGTGGGCCTGAGGCAGTAATGGGAGACAGGAATTAAGGGCATGGTTTTAATTTTATGCATATGCTTTAAATTTTGTTATGCCTTTCTTGGCTCCCCTGTCTACCTCTTTGATTAAACTAGGAAAAATAATTAAGGAGGTTGTTCGAGAGTGCTTACATAGAAGTAGGTTTACTCATAAACGTTTTTCTGTCGCTAAAATAAGTCCGAAACATCTACGAAACGAGATTTCTATGTTTTTTTGGGCATGATAGCATTTTATTTTATAGACGGACATGTGAATATGAAGAAAGGGATATGCAATCAGAATGGGTCCAATGGAACGATTCATGAGTGTGAAGTGATAATATAATTCCTAATTTCATGCCCTAATCAGGTTAGGTAACAATTTTTAATTCGTAATTTGGCCATTATATACACATTTATTTTTCACAAATCACGATTCTCATGAACCTTTTAAAATTACACCCGATTTCTTCGGAATTGACTTGTTTGTCACAATGCAGATATAAAATGTGCCAAGTTGATTCTTTTTTGTTATTTTATAGTTGGTGTAGAGGAAAAGATAGGTAGAGGTAAACCAAATCTTTTGTTAACAAATATATCCTTCTTCTTTTTTTAATAGGAAGAACGCATATATCTTAATCGTATAGGGTAAAGCTTATTTATAATTAATTCACGTTAGTCGTATTTTTAATTATAATAACGTATACATCTTTAGTCATCCATGTTAATTAATAACATATACATCTTAATACAGAGAGTTTGTAGGATTTAGATTGACACTTTCAGTGTACAATATACATAACGTACTTCCACATTGGAAAGTCGTTCAAACCTAAAGTCGCCCATTATACTTTTGAGAAAAAGAACAACTTTATAATACTTTATAGTTTGCGTGCAACAAATATCGTCAACTTATACATATATGGGCTTAATCAATTTGGCTAGAGCGGATGTGCTCCCTACTTTTGTAATCGAGTTTAAATCTCCATCCTTTAATTTGGATTAGATTAAAATAGAATATCTCTTATATATTAATAAATAAATAAAAAACCATTGTCAACTTACTATTGATTAATTTTCAGCTCTAATACTGTTGTTTATTTCCGAAAGCAAAAAGCAAAAACTCTTTTTATATTTATTTCTTTGGACATCAAATCAGCTTGACAGGCTCTTGGTTCATAGTTTTTTTTTCACCCCTGGTTTTAGTTTTTTGTTCGATATCTTTGAACCGGTAGAGGGATAAAATCTCATTCAAGCCGCAAGGATGTGATCAAGTTGTTCACGCATTTATATAGTTAGTCTTAGAAGTTATGCTCTTCAAATTTATATTGTAACTTAACTTATATAATAAATATATTGGAGCCTGTATAATTTATATTATTTACATACTAATTTGTCCAAAAAAATAATAAAAAAGAGTCAAGAGGAAATTTCATTAAGCCACCACGAGGATATATGTAAAAGGAAAAGTCAGGAAATATGTTTGGAAAAAAAAGAGCCATTGAAGTTGAAATTAAAAGTCAGGAAATATGTGATCAAGTTGATAACAATTTTACAGAAAATTTGTTATAGCAAGGACATGAACCCAGCAGCATATTTCCTAACTTTTAGTTTCAACTTCAATGGCAAATGGTATATGCACTGGCCGACCTACATAGAGCCTAGTGTGGGTATCTGCCTACACTTAATTTCTTCTTCAACCATGTAGGCTAAATAAGACATTTGGCCAACAAATAAATAAAACCTTCAAGATTTTAACCTAAATTTCCCATATTCAAAATATCAAGGTCCAGTTTAAAAAATGACCTAGTCTGACCTCTCTCGCACGTGCATTTTGTGTTTATAAAATAAATAATTATATAAATATATAATATTGCTACATAAATAAATTATATAATATTTATGCCACTTTGACCATACTGTATTTATTACATTAACACACCCCTCACAGGTTAGCTTACAAAACAGAAGTCCTTTTACATTAAAACAAATCAACCCTATTGATTGTATACAAAACTTGTGTGTAAAAATTATGTACAACCAAATTATTATATCGATATTATTTTTTATTTAAAATCAATCAATGAATAAGCAAGAGACTTAATATAGCTCAAGTTGAATAAGCAGTTATCCTTTTACTGAAGTTCTGTGTTTGAATTCCGTCTCCTTTAATATCGCTTGTATAACAATTTAATAATTAAAAAAAACTTCAGGGGAGAACATGTTGTAAAAACAAAGTCATTGGTGCCCCCGCGACTGCACTAAGTTTGTATACTTAGAAACTACACACATCTTCCATGCGTTTGACGTCATTAGAAGATGGGACAAAATACCCTTTCCCTAATTCTGTACGGATTTTTGGTCCAACCGATACTCTATTTTATCAGTAAACTAAAACCACATGAATTAGATGAACAAGGGCACAAAATACTATTATACCATTTTCTTCTTCAATTTCATTAGTCCTCCACGTTAGTTTAATTTTCCCTCTGCTGCAAATCTTATCCTTCTTGGTTCAAAGAGGAACTACGATTCAAGGACCAATTGGACCCAGGCTGAAAAGTACAAACCCATGTAGCAACTTTTATAGAATATTTGTTTAAAAATACTTTTTTACCCCTAGCCCCCACCACAGGTTACCACCCATATCCATGGCTGGTCCTGAGAATTTGAAGGCCCTGTGCAAAATTTAAACGAGAGCCCTCACATCATCTAATATGAAAATATTTATGATAAAAAAAATTTGCCATGACTTAATACCATAAGATAATTTTTTTAATAACTAAAATTCGTCATCGATTAGCATGCAATGACAATCATAAATCAAATTCACGAAAAATTTAATATTTCAATTTGAGAAAAAGAAGAGGAAGAAGAAGACAATAACTTTATTTGTTTTGTTTTGAGTGAGTGAAAACATGCACAACAAAAAAAAAAAAAAAAAAAAAAAAAAAAAATTAATACCATAAGATAATTTTTTTTATAACTAAAATTCGTCATCGATTAGCATGCAATGACAATCATAAATCAAATTCACAAAAAATTTAATATTTCAATTTGAGAAAAAGATGAGGAAGAAGAAGACAATAACTTTTTTTGTTTTGTTTTGAGTGGGTGAAAACATGCACAACAAGTTGTTTTGATTGATTGGAAATTTTTTGTATATATTGCTTTCCTCTTCTTTGGCGTGTTTCCTTATTTTGTTTTTTTTTATAGAAACATGTTTTTCATTTTTTTTCTTGTTAACAAGAAGAGAAGAAATGTAAATACAGTACTGAACTCAAACCTGACTTGCCTACTAAAATCAAGGTGTTGATTTCCAACTCAACCAAATAGTCGCTTGTGTTATTGTCATGCACGCTCAAGTATATATATAATACCTATAATATATATAATATACACACAGAAATTTTTGGGCCTTTCAAAATCGGGGGCTCTGTGCGGTGGCACCACTTGCGCACTCTTCAAAATTGATATCGTATTTAACCAAATTAAAAAAAAAAAGATATTTCCTATTGAGAGGAGTAATAGCATATTAAACTCACACATACTACACGGATGCTAAGACTCGAACTCAAGACCTTTCCTGAATGAGCAATTGCTCCAAATCACTATACTAGTGGGTCTTTTGCAGTTTTAACCTATATGGTGAATATACTATATTTGATAATAATTTTACAGAAATTTTGTTATAGCAAGGACATGAACCCAGCAGCATATTTCCTAACTTTTAATTTCAACTTCAATGGCACAGGGCATATGACCCTACTATATTTATTACATTAACAGACTCTACCCTATCACATGTTAGCTTACAAAAGAAAAGTTCTTTTACATTAAAACAAACCAACCTTATTGACTGTGTACAAAACTTTTGTGTGCAAACTATGTACAACCAAATTATTCTATCGATTTTATTTATATTTAAAATTAATTAATGAATAAGCAAGAGATTTATAGCTCAAGTTGTTAAAAACAGTTATCTTTATATCGAGGTCCTGTGTTTGTATTCCACCTCCTCTAATATCACTTGTATAAAA